TAGTAGTGCTGTCTTGCCGTCGTTGTCGGTGGCCTCGATGTTGGCGCCCTTGTCCACCAACAGCCGCACAATTGTCTCGCTCCAATTTATAGCTGCCCGTAGTAGTGCTGTCTTGCCGTCGTTGTCGGTGGCCTCGATGTTGGCGCCCTTATCCACCAGCAGCCGCACAATTGTCTCTCTCCCACTTATAGCTGCCCGTAGTAAGGCTGTCTCGCCTTGGTAGCATTTAACCTCGAGGTTGGCGCCCTTTTCCAGCAGCATCTGCACGATCGTCTCCTTCCCTCCTTCAGCTGCCCATAGTAGTGCTGTCTTGCCGTTATTGTCGATGGCCTCAATGTTGGCACCCTTGTCCAACAGCAGCTGCATAATTGTTTCCCTCCCATTTATAGCTGCCCTTAGTAAGGCTGTCTTACCGTTATTGTCTGTGGCCTCGATGTTGGCGCCCTTATCAGTTGCTAGTAGCAGACTTACTATTTCCTCGTAGCCCTTTTCAGCTGCCAATAATAGTGCACTTCGACCTCCTTTGTCTCCTAGATTGAGATTGATATCTGTGGAAATAGCAAGAATTTCAGCAAGGGCCTTGTGTCCCTTCTCGAGCGCCCAAAGAAATGGTGTGTGATCTCTCCGAGCTGAAAAAGTTCGCCCGTATTCCAGGTGCTCGGCAACGTCTCCTATTGGCGGATGTCCATCTTGTTGCAAGAGTGCTCGAACAGCGTCGCGATGGCCGTTTGCCAACGCAGCGAAAAGAGGATATTGATATCGCTCCCTTCGGACCCTCATCGTCGAGCTTTGATGGCACGTTGTCCTTATCAACCTTGCGAAGTTGTTTTCCGCAAGTATATATAAGAGGCTTGCATCTGGCGTGTGGCGACGGATATCATACCGCTCGAGCAGGTTAGTAACATTGATCCAAGCGCCAAGAGCAAAGTCTCGCAAGAAGTCCTCCTGTGGAATTCCCATCGCGGCTTCATCGGCATGATATAAAACATGTCGGCTTGCGAATTCAAGAAATGGAAATTTGGTTGTTAATACTTGTCTGAGATCTTTTGCGGAGCCAGAAGATGCTTTTGGAAGTGTCTCATCAGACGAGATGCAACCAGATATGTCGACATTTAAGTAGTTTTGACAGCATCGCTTCAGTCGATCATGGCTCAAACTGTACAGATCATTTTCAAGCTCTGGCCATAGCTCGCATAGCCCGTTATCCTTGATGAGAAAATCCCGCACTGATTCGTGGATGAATTGCACCGTTGGCGTTTTTGATTTGGTGATTTCAGCCAGCCCCTTGGAGGAACTGACCACAAAACGGTTCATGTCGTCGACGGTGACGCGCTCAGAATCCCACTCGGTCATATTCCCCGGTTCAGGATCGAGACCAGCAACCATTGCGAAGTAAAATTCTTCCCGTCGAAGGGGCCGTCTTGCAAACAGTATCCATTGGAGACAGAGCAACAAATCGTCCATATTGGCATTATCTCTCCTCAAAATGTCTTTGAAGAGGTCGCTGAGCTTTGCGGGTATCTCCTGGAGTCTTTTCTTTACGGCAAAGATGCGGCCGCGGAGGAATTCTTTATTCAGAATGTCGACGACCAGAACTGCCCACATAAAAACACCATTTGCCTTCTCCCGTATCTGCGTTTTGACTTCCTCAATGTATTTTCCTCTTCCAGCGTGGAGATGGTTTTGTACATACTTCGCCAAGTCCTCAACATGACCCTGTTCGTCTTCTAATGTCAATTGCCGGCCACTCCGAATGTCGATGGTGGGATAATGGCGACTAGCGAAGCATACGTAGAGCTGGCTTCCGTTCTCGAGAGCGTTCTGTCCGAGTTCTTCAAAGAAAGCAACCATTTCTCGAACTTGCTGCTCGTCACACTCGTCGAGTGCGTCGACGAAGCACTTCAATCGTCGCTGTCCGAGTCTTGCTATAGCGGCGGACAAAAGCTCACGCAGCAATTCGATCGTCCACTCAGGACATTGGCTTTGATACTCAGACGGAGGATGGAAATCGTCAAAAATCTGCTGCAAATCCGCCGCTTTCTTCAATAGCTGAAATAGTAAAGCTCGATACATGCCGATTGTTGACCTTTCGAGCTCGTCTCCTCTAGCATTGAAAAAGAAGGAGGCGAGGATCTCAAGCTCAAGTCTTTCCTTGTCAGCATATGCATGAGTGAACTTTACCAACGTCGATTTCCCCGCTCCAGGTTTTCCATTGATCCATAAAAATCCACGATGCTGGTGAAGTTTCTCGGGGTTAATCCAATCCACGTACGCAGGGTGTTCCAATAGCCACTTGCACGTCGTAGAATAGGCACTTCCAATCGTAGACCGCCGCGAATCCATCTGATCAAAGCTTAGAGAGTCAAGCAATATCCTTCGGCGGTCATGTGGCCAGATCTCCTCAGCAATGGGGGTGGATTCAGTGCCATGCTTATCGATGCTGCAAGAGTTTGAGGTGATCAAAATTTGTCTCCCGTCGAGCTGGCTCCGATAAGATTTACCGATTTCGTCTTTGAGCCGAACAAAACTTTTGTCTCCCTCACCATATACAAGAGGCATGGACACATCAAAAATCCCCAGTAGACAATACGCCTTATCTTCTATTTTTCTGGTGTTGCGTTTTGCTGCCCAACGCATCCGCTCGTCAACGCTGAAATCAGATAAAGGGGCCCCACGGAGAGCTGCAATCGGAATTTGCGTTACTTCGTAGATCTGCCGCTCAAGCGTGTTTTTATCACCCAACCGCTCTCCTTCTCGCGAAAAGAACTCCACTGATTTCGGAGCAAGGAGTTCTTGAAGCGTCCAGCCCCGTGTGAACCATCTGCTTTTCCGAAAGGCGGATTCCCACGCCCGCTCAGCCCCGGTATTGTCGCGTTTGCGAGCAGTAACGTCTGATAGGTACACGTAGCACTTCCCTGCGTCACGGTACCAGCGAAACATCGAGGCGATTGCTTCGGAGAGTTCGGTATGGTTTGCTTTGTCGATGGTGCATGTGTCCACCCAGAAATGTCGGAGATCATCTTTTCGAGCTTGTTCCGCACAGAAACGAATCTTCGTATAGCCTGGCTTACTCTTCCAAGATCCCTCTTTTAGATCGTTGAAAGTCACCTCTTCATCATCCACTCCCCAAGTATGCGAAAGGATCGCGTAGCTCGGAATATCTTCATTGAGGTCTTTTGTCAGGTTAAGCTCACCACGACTGCCAATTTTCACCAGGCGCATCGTGGTATTATTGATCTTGACATGTCAAGAGCACCTAAACATAACACCAAGCATTACTACAGAATGCTTGATTGCTTGTCACGCTGAGTGTAGTGCAATGTAGGCTGCCTGAGGGAGGCGGTGTAAGGAAGTTTTCTCGCGATTGCATTCAGGATGAGTTCGCGGTGGAGGTTCTCCAGGTGGAATGACGATTCTCGGAGGATAATGAACGTAGCTTGTTAAAGGCTTTTTGCGAACACTCATATCTGTATGGGCAGAACTGTCTCGAGGGACGTGAAGGGCGCATGTTGAAGAATGCTCGATCAGGCTGAAGTGTGGCTTGGAGTGCTAGACGCACTTGACAGATATCGCCGTGTCACGTGATTATCTAGACGTGATTGAAGAAGTGGTACAGATCAAACTCTTTGGCAATTTCGAAGTCTATTTCGAGGCCCAAAGCAATCAGCCGCGTACATACCGAATCGACTCAACACGCTCGAGTATTTTACGCCATCGGATCTTTCCTGTCGATCCTCCTTCTCCGCCATCACGCATATACTTCATTTAAGCGCCGCTGGCTGTCACATTGATAAGATCCTTGAGAACCTTGACCAAAAGGACATAATGGCAGATGGATCTACTCAGTTGGGAGACCTCGCCAGACTGAGAGTTCAGGGATGGTGGAATGGGCAGATTCGTGCGTACTAATTCGCGAAGAAAATCGAACCAGCCATTTCCACGATTCCAGAAGAGCTCGACCAGCTTGAGAGTCTTGTCAGCACATGTGACATAGATTGATGTCGTTCGACGTAGGACGACGGAAGAGAGGAAACAGCGGGTACATGGCTGATTTTGATTGCGGGCTGGCAGAATGACTGAGGTTAAAAGCCATGCTTGGTCGATCCCGATATCACTGCAACTTTTGCCGACATTCCTGCCTGAACAACGATACTCGAAAGAACAATGTTGTACTGTCCAAAACGCATATTGATACTCGTTGGTGGGTGTGGGTGTGACCGCAGGGAACTGGACGAGATGATCCGCTGAGCTCGCAACCTCTCTGTTTAAGAAGAACAACAAACGCCCCCTGCGCGCTGTAGGCCAACCACAGATGGCGCCAAAACTTCCAGCGTCGAAGTACTCACGCATTCGGTGCATGATCGAGGATAGATGCTTCGCAAATCAAGAGATTGCTGATGCCGTTCAATGCAGCAAGGGCGCCGAAACGAAACCTTCGTGATTTCGACAGCACTACGGCACCTGGACGTCGTGGTGGACGGCCCTCATCCATAACCTCCAAGATGCGCGATGCCCTCCTTACCCATCTCGACAAAAATCCTGAATTATGCCTTGAGGAGATGGTGGACTACCTATGGGAGCCTGTCACTAAATCCAGATTAGGAGCAGCTTCAATTAGAGCACAAGGTATAGAGTTTCTCCATCTCCTTCATCATACTATACCACAGCATCTCCCTCCCGCCCACTCAATCATCGTCAATGCCAAACCAAGGATGCCTTTCTCCAATACCAAGGTATTCATCTCCTGGACCTTAGCCACACGCTGCAATCTCCAACACGTCGACCTAGCCCATGTCGTAGGAAAATCCTATGTCTACGCTGGCTACTAGGTAACGAATATACGAATATCTATTCGCTGGAGAGATTTTAAAGTGACACTGTACTTCTTGTGCCAATGTCGTTTCAGACATGTAGTTGCGTTGCCGACAAATGGTGGAAAGACCATGAAATGATGGCGGCGTTTAAGGAGAAAGTGGATGGAATGTTGAAGAGTCTGGTGGAGGATGAAGAGACTCTAAAGCAAGGAAGGCGTGGCCCCAAGTTGTGGAGGGAGAATTTGAAAGATGGAAGAGTGTGGGACGGTCATGTCTTATATATCGCCATTGGGAGAAGAGCATGAGTTGGGTTGTTTCGTGGCATATATCAGCTTCATCTTCAACACGGGTACATCATACACCATCCATGTCCAACGATCCGATCCGTTCACCGTTCAATAAACACCACCCCGGCATCCTCCGGCCTCCTCATCTTCGGCGTAACAACATTCATCGAATCGTCAATGACTTGCAACAACGCCCGTCTCGCCTGTTCCTCCGTCTTCATCTTTTTGCTCCGAATCACCAACGGCCTCAGCCTATACCACCTCAACAGCGACGAAATGACTGCGACAAACTCGACCTGGCTGAACTTCCGACCCGGGCAGATTCTCGGTCCAATGCTCCACGCCATAAACGCGGCTCCGGGCGGTGGCGGCGCGATTAATTCCTTGCCCGTCTTCTCGTCGACTCGGATCCAGCGTCTCGGTCGCCATTCCAGCGAGTCCGCACCCCACCAGCGCGGATCGCTATGGATGCCGTAGAAGTTGGTGGACACATATGTATCGGCAGGCACGACCATCTCGTGGTCATTGACGCGCAGGGATTGGGATTCGCCGGCGCACCAACGTGCGGCGTCGGGGACAGGACCCCAGAGACGCAGAGTTTCGTACTGTTGCAGACGCTCTCAGCTTTGAACCTGGATTTTATATGTGGGTTGGGGTCCGGGAACATACCATCAGCGCCAAACATCGAACTAGCAAGGGGAAGCCTTCTTCATAATCCAGTTTGTCTTTACCCTTCATGACAACGTCGACCTCTTCGCCCACCCACTCCTGCACATCTCGATTGGCTGCGAGAAATGGAATCGTGTATATCAAGGCATTCGCCGTAGTTTCAAATCCAGCCAAATTGAACACGTACAGATTGCCAAACAGCTCGTCGTCGCTGAGATACATAGGTTTCGCGGTCCCCAAACCAAAACTGTTATTGGCGGCAATGTTTGTCTTTTCCTCTCGCTTCGCGGCCTCGTCTGCCTCGACCAGCGCACTAACAATATCGGCACTTGTGGTATTTCCACCGCCCCCACCCTGCGTGGTCGCGCGATTATATGCGACAATCTCCTTCATGTAACGGCGGAATTCTTTGACCGTGGCGTTGATCTCGCGGTACTTGGCCGGCATCATCATGCCGAGCAGCGTCCATTTTGAAAACAGCACTGTAAACAAAATATTCTGCAGTAAAAACATTAGTGCTTCGGCCAGACTCTTGGTGTGGCCTTGCGGGACTTCGCGTAGACCGCCATCAAAGTTGTGCGCGTGCCCGAACCCGGCTGCTGACAGGACGTGCATGGCAATCAAGACACAGTCGTTGCGCAGGTCGAGGAGTGTGCCCGAATGACCGGGCCGACGGCGCACGCCGTCGAGCATTTGTCTCGCTTGCCTCAACGACTCATCCCAGACAAGCCTGTTGTTCTGCTCGCGGAAGGCCGGGTTGATGATCTTGCGGTGGCGCTGCCAGTCCTCGCCGTTGACGCTGATGACGCTCTTGCCAAACGTCTCGAACAGGTCGTAGAGTGGTCGAGGTTTGATCCAGGTCTTATAATGAGATTGCAATTCGACGCCGGCCGCCGGATCGTTGACCATGATCTCGTTTTTGACGGGGGAGACGATCACGAAGGCGTCCCCGAGTTTCTGGTGCGGGCGATACCGTAGATCTTGAGCCCAGGAGTGATGGCTGTAGTCGACCCAGTAGCCGAGTATAGGGACGTGACGCAGCCAGCGGAAGCTGCCCCAGATGATGATCCACCAGGCATCTTGCCAGGAGCAGGGGACTACGATGATGGGAATACCTAGCTTGCGGGCCGAGAGGTAGTTGGTGAAAAGTCGAGAGGCACGGATTGTGAGCCAGGCGAGGAAGGGGATGAAGATAAGTGAGAGGAGGGTGGTGAATGATGGCATGGTCGGAGATGGTTTCTTCCTGAGGAAGAACACTGAGGAGGGAATTTGGGGGGAGAGAGGTTCTAGGGTTTAACTCACCGGCCTTACGGGTTAGATGTCTTCTTCCCTAGAAAAATGATAATGGTAGCCTAGGCTGGGTCCGACGTATAGGTGGTTACGAAGCCTCGTATATCGTATCTACTCTCGTTAAGAATCCGTATCGTCGACCTTTCGCAGAGGGGGTACGAAAAGGTGTCTAATTGAAAAGATGAAAGGGCGGTGCGCCGAAAATAGTTTCGTCTGCTCTCGCTTCGCTCCATTTGGGACCTAAACATTGAGCTAATGACAATGCGTCTCACTTAAAACATAGATGATGTGATTCATTGGCTGCTTGCCGAGGCGTTTGATCCCTGGATGTCTGATGGGTTTCCGAAGACGTCTGGTTTTTGTGGCCTTTCTGTCGAATAGTTTGGTGTGGCCAGGGCCAATACGAATCAAGTCGTCCTGCGCTACACCGGTCATATAATCAGTCTAGCGGTTATGGAATTTCTGATTGGCAAGCACCCCCCGACGACAGGTACGTACCGTGGGCCATCTGAAGAAGAAATCGAGCAATGGAGAAAGCGAGGGGCAATAGGCAAACTTCATAACATCGTGGTCTATATTGCTTGGAACCCGCAGCGACTTCAAATGTTTACTACTCTCACCGACGGGCTCAGGCTACGGCGTGATAATGATACTCGCTGGAATTCGTGGTACAACATGGTCGAGTGAGCCCTAAGGTTCAAAGTCAGGCAAGCAGTGACCGTCTTTTGTGCGCAAGAACCGGCTCTACAAGAGGACACTCTGACCCCGGCTGACTGGGTGACTTTAACCGAGATTTACAAATTTCTTGAACCATTTCACGATGCGACAATGGTCAACGAAGGCACGCGAAATTCGATCTCCGACGTTCTGCCTACTATGGATTACCTCCTGCATCATATCGAGGCTGCGAAGGAGACTGCCTGGGCTAACGGAAGATTCTCTAGTCTATTCGGCAGCAACAGTCCCGAATCCTTCTCTTAAATGGACGTATATGGAGAAGATTTGGGATGATAAGCAGGAATGGATTGTCAGAGCTAAAGCTCGTGTAGAGCAGCTATGGAAGGTGACGTACAACCAATCCCCTCCTGCTTTATTCTTCGTCAAGATTCAGTTCCAGCACCAGCTACGAGACAGCCAAATGGATATCAAGATTGGATGAAAGAGCAAAGGGCAACAATCTTCAATATGGATGATGACGAGTACGAGGTATACTGCGGTGAACCTGCGATGATGATATCGGATCCTTTGAAATAGTGGCTTGAACCAGCACAGCGAAAGCGATTTCCTCACTTCTCTTTAATGGCTATCGATATTCTATCCATTGCACCTATGTCTACCGAGACAGAGCGACTCTTCTCCAAGGCCAAACTGACAGTAACTGACCAGCGAGGATCCATGAACTCTGAAACACTGAATCTCTTCGAATGCCTACGGTCCCGGGACAAGAGTGCACTGATAATCCCCTCAGCAGTAAGTTTCGCATTCGTAAGGTGTTCCATCCCCCAATCCACTAATCCCAGCGTTCCTATATCGATTCGACAGTAACGGATCTCGCCTTCGAAGCTTAGGCACGCGATTAGAGAGGTGGACGAACCCATTTCTCCGATAACATCAAGAAGGTTGGGGCAAAGGGAAAAGGCGGCCTCAATTCGTCTCTTGTGCGAGCAGGCTTTCTATCCATATTCCATAATCATATAAGTCTCTATGGACTATGGATTTATCTGGCATGCCTCGTATGGAAAGTTGTTCCCATATGTATGGAATACAGGAAATGACGTCAGACACAGTTTTCCTCCTACCACAAATCTGACGTTGTGCCTCGCCATATCATCGAGACTTGATTCGTTCGGGGTCCTCTCGAGAGAGAAGTCTGGATCAATCCGGGAAATTTTGTCAGCGAGTTGCGTCCGCGTCGCGGGCGCATCACCATGAAGGCGTTGACATCGGGTACGAAAAGGGCGAAGGTGGAGTGTGACGCTCATTGTGTTCGGCTGAAATTAATTTAACGCGGAGTGTTAGGATTGTTGTTAAATGCTCTGATTTCTATCAAACTGAGGTCCTGCCTCACATATTTATATACAGGGAATGATTGGCACAGCTGAACATGTTGCCATATACTGTTCGACGGGATATCATGGGATCCGATCCAAGGACCATCTAGATATCGAGGCCAGCGCCATACACCGTCCCTGGCTCTACCTGGCCACATGGTCCACGGATTGGATCCGATGGTTGTGGTATATCATGGGGTCGGATTCATGGATCATGTCGATATTGAGGCTCGTCCGTTAGCGCTTCATACTCGAGTTTGATCAGAAGGGCTTGTCTGAGGTGGTCCACTGAATGGATCCGATGAAATACCACGACCCATCGGATCTAATCCATGGACCATGTCGACATCGAAGCTCGTTTGTTAACGCTCCGTTACGAACCATCTCGAGTGTGATCAGTAGAGTTTGCCTGGGGTGGTCCACAGACTGGATCCGATCCGTGGATCATGTCGATATCGAGGATATCGACATCTATCGAGCAGGGCCCCCGGCCACATAGTCCGCGAATTGGATCCGATGACGGGGCGTGACAAAGCCAAGCAATATGCTTATATGATTGGCCAGCAGGTCGCTCTTAGCGTCGCCACACAACGCCAAGCTCTAACCAGGCGATTCCAAAATTAAAAATAAGTTCGTCAGAGATGGACTATAGGAGGGGGCCTTTCTTTTGGTATTTCCGCCCTAAATCCTTTATCGCCAATATAGCAGATGGAGGATCGCGCGCGAACCATAATTTTTATTTCACAGGTCTAGAAGACTGGATCTGTGAATTGGGGACTAAATAGAGGGACTGTGATATAATTATGCGTTTTTCGCTTGATTGGGTAAATATTGCGTAATGCTGGCGAGCGCTGATTGGACAGAATTCTTATCCAGATATCCAAATTATCCCAAATAAATCCAGCATCATGATTTGATTTGATTTGGATTATGATTTATCTATTGTTGAACAATTGGTGACCTATCGTTCGCAACGGACCAACTCGTTCTGCGACACTCGCTCACTAGGCTGTATCACCATCGATAGGCAATAGCGTTGACGTAAGCTGTGTAGATAAACATATAGATGGGCTCTATCCTGCGCTCGTTAGGAGAGCTAGAGCACTCCTTCAATCTAAATTGCATAAGAAGTTTGATAGAAATCTTCTACTAGTGCTTCAGTGGTGGAGCCTGTGTGTGATAACTCCCTTGTTTGATATAGATAGATACCCCTATTATCGCTTTCGTAGAGAGAAGTGGGATGGGTGAAGCGGGCGTCTTTGCTGGAAAATGCAAAATGCTAAATGGGAGCCTGTTCCGGTCGAGAAGCACCCCGTTGCTTCATGGGTGGGACCAGGAACAGTGACCCTTTAGAAAAGACGAAGAAATCGTCATCTCTCAAAAGCGATTGCGAAATGAGTGCCTGTGGCTACACTGTCCCGGCTATAGCTCATCGAGAATGTATAGAAAGGAACTCTGCAGATAGATAGCCACCATCCACTGATCACATACGTACACACTTATGCAGCCATACCATTCCTATCACAATCGCTCCATCTGTCTATCGATCTCGGGCATTCAAGCCGGAGTGAGACACACTTTCGTTCCATTCCGGGAGCAGAGAGTCAAGGCCAACGACTCCTCCCACGGTCCTGGGTCTCGACTCTCCAAGAGTTGAAACTCTTGGGCCATGCGGACGACAACATAAGCAACTTCGGTCAACGCATATCGCTGGCCGAGACAGATGCGTGGGCCGCCATTGAAAGGTAGATATTCCCAGCGTGGCTGCAGTCGTCCACTCTCCCAGCGCTCTGGACGGAATTCTTCTGCGTCCGGCCCGTAGAAGTCTCTCCGTCGATGCATTGCATATATATTATAGCAGACTCGGGTGCCCTTAGGCACAAAGACTGGTGAGAGGCCGTCCATGCCTCCTCCAAGTGGCAGAACAGTATCTCGTACTGCCTCGCGTTGGTTCCGTGGGACAACTGGATGCAAACGTAACGCTAATGAAGTTAGCGGGAGCTGACGGTCCAAGGGGGACAAGATAGGAGAACGCTATCCTCACATTCATTTATACAGCACTGGACATATTTGAGGCTTCGAAGCTCCTCATAAGTTGGTAGCCTACCCTGTAGACCAGCTACTTCTTTACGCAACTTGTCCCAAATTGCCGGATGCTTGGCCAACATGAAGAACAGATTGCTGAGTAGACTAGCAGTAGTATCACGGCCAGCTAACAGAATATTCATCAGCTCATCCAGAATGCGATGCTTGTCGGAGATTCGCCACGCCAATTCGTGTGAAAAGATATACTTCTGGCGCTTCGTCTCAGGTTGTTCTTTCTCTTTGGCTTCCTTTCCGGACTCAACGGCGTAGAGTGCCTCCTCGACGAACTGCTGGGCGAACTCCCGACAGATGCGATTGCATTTGTCGGCCTTCCGGTCGCGGTAAAATATGTTCAATGGGCCCAGAGTGGCCCGCATTATGATGGCATCCTGGGCATAATTAAATGCCTGCGCAAAACTGAGCTCCGACTGGGTCTTCTTCAGACTACCGACCGACTGTCCGAACAGGAACTCGGTCGCGGAATCAATAGTGTAGCGAAAAAAGAGATCCTGCAAGTCCACTACTGTTGCTCCATCATGCGGAAGTAGTGAAAAGAGGTCCTGAACTAAGTTCTCAAACGACGTCAGGTCTGCTATCTGGTCACGGGTAAAATTGGGCCGCAAGAGGGCGCGCGACGAGGCCCAGTGGTCGCCATCGGTGTCGAAGATGCCTTGCCCCAACAGAGGGTTGAACGCTTTAAGGCGATGGCCAATGCCATAATCCTGGAAATTAGTTGATAGAATTGTTTTGATATTCTGCGGCTCCACGGTTAAAATTAAACGATGTAGAAGCTCCTTTACTGCAAACGTGTTTCCGTAGATACGAAAGCGCTCGCAACTCGCTTCAAGAACCTTATGCTGCCGGAGAACGCGGATGATCGTAGGTATGGTGTCGAGCCCCAAGAAAGGATCCTTATTGTAGGATCTCGCCACTGGTTGGCAACCATGGCGGCGCGCGAACTGACGGCGGATAAAGAATCGCCTGATGAAGACAAATGCGATGGTCACCAGCGCGGCGGCCAGTACGCACACAAACTTTGAATGGAAATTCGAATACATTTTCCATGACCAGTACGTAGATAGCACCGCAAAAGAGTAAGATGGGGGATGAAAGGATCAAATTAATTTAGAAGCCTGATCAGAGAGGGGGGCCCAAGGTCTAGGCAACAACCTTTACGACCCAACGCGGGTTGCAGGGAAATTTCCCGCCGAATCTGGCGGTCGGTGCCGCCGCTTTTGGAGGAATTCTTCTCGAAGCCAATGTCATCCAATACTTCTGTTTAGTGTGCATTGTTCCTCAAACGCCTCATATAGATTGGTCTTCTGTCTCTACAATTTCTAGGGAGTCGAACGCAGGTGCAACTATGCATTACGTTCTTCTCACTATATGACATCAATGACCGTGACGACAACTACCGCCATAATCATTGCCATTCCCATTGCACTTGCTCCTATCTGCACCGCAGAGTTGACGCTGAACTGCAATACCGTCCCCTGTGTAAAGTTTGCCGCGGCGCCCTCAATGGCCACCTCCGTCAAATTCCCACACTCATCATTAATCTCGGTATCAAATTGAAAACTGGGTAGCTGGGCAATCGCGTCGTCGAGGGGCTCACGGGCTGGGTCAGTGCCTTGGGGCGAAGCTTGAAGGTACGCGGATCGGTAGGTAGAGTTGGCGCCGACAATGGAGAAGTTGGCGATTCGGGAGTATTCGTCACAAGTGGACTGACTGACTTGTTGTTGGCGGGGGTTAAGTAGGTTGACCGGAGAGTAGATGGCGGTTGTGACTGTGGCGAAGACGGAGAGGAAGAAGAGGAAGGAAGTGATAGGAGAGAAGTGTGATATTGACATGGGTGTTGGTGTAAGTGGACTGTGTGTTAAGTTTTGGTTGCAGTGGCCAGCCACGGGATAAGGAATGAATTCGTCAGTGAGGTTCAGAGAGTGTGATGAAAAGAAAAGAGCAGCCGGGCTACGAGAGAGAGGTGCGATAGAAGACGGGATAGTTTGTATTAATACAACACTTGCTCAAAGAGCATCGACTTCGAAACACGTGTTTGTGTTGATTTAAATGGTGAACCATGGACGGTCGCGCCAATGACGCCCAGGAAACTGTGAACATCGGCACTGTTGAAATACCAATGTCACCAGATCCGACAATTCTGGGCTCATTATAACTTGTAGCTATCGTGACGGGCGATCCGGGTAGCGAACGGTTTGAGAGGTGTTTGATGAAGAGATCTGAAACCAAAGCTGTATCGAAAACTCTAACAGTGGAAGCGGAATTGGTTCAACCGGGCTGCGACTATGCCCGAAACGGCAGGCTCGCTAAGCTGGATCCAAATTTCCGTGCGGTGACTCTTACAACAAGTTCCCAATAGGCCGAGCAGCCGCCATAGGCGTAAGATTCAATCAATCAATCAGGTCGGTCTGTATCAAGAGGAAACAATTTCACTCTTGGGAAGCTGAGCAGAAAACAGAGCGCATTCTTCCCCCGAGGAACAGGATCATCACCGCCACCGTAATCCAGAGGAGAGGAGGGAAGCACGGCTAAAGGAGCAGCGTTTTGTCCTACTCCCAAAAAGAGGGCATAGAAAGAAACGCCCGCCCTACGAACATCACGACCAGGGGAAGACGGCGGGAAATGAATTCAACGACACAGTTTCCTTCCAAGAGAAGCATTCAGAGCAGGGAAGCACAAGAGTCTAACGGACGAGGCTCTACGTAGATTGCTAAAAATAAAGGAGAAGAACCTCTTTGATCCTTTTACGATTTTAATCATATCCTCCTACATTCATCAGGACACGGCTGATGAGCGGGAAATACTCTGGAACATGGAGAACGCACTCACGAGTGAGGAAAAGTCAACCAAAGCGAGGCTCTAGGTTTTCTCTCCCAGATAATCTAGTAGGGACAAACAGGCGAGAACAAGTCCCAAGTCTACATCCATATTGACTTTCAAACGGACGACCTTCGCAATGCCTCCAAAATTGGGTTTTATTAGGGGCGGTGTTTAGACGAAAGAACTTTGCTGTCGGCCCTGAAGTGGCGTTCGCCGCGAGCCCCTCAAGATCGTGTGGGAGAGATGAAGAGGGAAAGCTGTTCATCTAGACGGCACATTTGGAGGTAAAGGAGGCATAGACTGCATCTCCCGTCACATTCTACGACTGCAACCACCACAAGCTGCCCGCAACAACAGCAAGCAGCTTTCCGACAAGTAGCCTGAGAATCAGGACTATCTATGAGCTTACCCCGGATCTCGCACGGCACTAACTCGTTACCGTCTTAGGAACGGAGGGAGAAAACAGAGCATTTCAACTTTTTCTTTGGCATTTCAAATCTCCAGGAACCTCTCCAACAGTGCTACTCCGTATCTTTCCCCAACTGATGTGGTCTCGGCCGTGTTGTTGGGTGGTAATTGCTATTCGTCGTGGCCTCATCTTCGTCAATCAAGGATCGGGAATGCGAATTAACTCGACCAAAAACCATTTCAAGCGCGGTGCCTTTTGCCTTCCGTGGCTTTTGTTAAGTGTATTAGCCCTGTTCCCTGACATCTTCCTCTTCATCATCCTGTGCACTCTTTCCCTGATATCTCCTCATTCAGATATTCTCATGTCCTCTCATTCTCCCACAACACAGGCTTGACCAACATAAACAACAGAAACATGTTCAAGCCTCCCTTCCCGGCCCCCTCCATTGCAAGACCCCGGACCCTATATGCCAAAAACAAAATGCAAAGGCTAAACGAAAGGAAATTCGTGGCAAAATCCGGAGTTACTTACCCCGGCATGGGTATCAAATAGAAGGTCCTCCTCTTTCCTGTCAAGTAGATAACCCTAACGATGTCGAAATGAATAATAGAGTGTCCATATATGCACTACCCCTGTATATCAAATACCCTAATCCGCTGGTGATTGTAATGGTTGCCTTTTATCGAGTGGTGAATCCCCGGTGGTCCTCACTGTCCCTGTATATCCCGATGTGAGAGAAAGATTGTCGCGTCCTGCGCCATTCGCTCATGCCATAAGCTGTATTGTTGGGGGGGTTGGAAACCCAGAACTCTCTTCAAAACGCCAGTTTGATTCGAGGGAGAAGACTTTCTTTTCCGTAATCCAGACCAGGATGCAGATAGCCATTAATCCTTTTCCAGAAAAGATTAAGCAATAGATGGGAATGGTGAATGTCAAGGAGTGGAATAAGAAGAATAATAATAAAGAATAAGTTTGTCCTTGATAAAGGAGCAATCGGTCGATAAATGAGTGTGGTCATCCAGATATAGGGAAACCCGATCCATGTCAAAGACCGAAATCCCGGTAGGACGGGTCATCAAGACCGGTCTACACGTCAAGGGACTTGAGGTCGGTGGAATGGAAAGAGTCCACTATATCAGAAGAAAATCCCATCCGTTTTGCTGCATCACGTCCCGCCAGTGGACGTTCTGATTCCTTGGTGCTGTCGTTGAAGAGGCTGAGTTTCCGGCGCCGGCGGCGGCAGTGGTGGAAGCTGAGGCGGAGGCAATCGGTGTCGAGATCGAGTCTCCTGGACTTCCGGTCGTCACGGGCGTGGCTTCACAGACACCGGCCGAGATCACCATGTCATCGTTTCTTCTCCATACTTCGTGCAACAGGCGCACCATCCGGCCAAAAGATCCGTGGTCGGCCGCATCACCAAGCATGTCGCATCGTTCCGAGAGAACACGGCGGAAGGGAGACGCGGGAATGGAGTTCGCCCCACAGACGAGCATAGGCCACACTAGACAGCGGTCGAAGCCCGTCGGCCCCGCGGGAACGTACTGAAGCAGGTCTGCGGCCTGGGCGATCAGGTTGACGGTGGCCGTCTGGTGACGGTTGTACTCAGGGACCAGCGAGCAAAGGTAGACGCGTGCGGCCTTCCGGAAGAAAGCCGTAATATTCTTGGACAGCTGCTTCGGTCGAAGAGCGCCCGATTTCGAGTAGGGAGTTTGCAGAGGCTCCGTGGGCTCGATTTGATCCAGAGTTTGGGCGAGAGAGGTGATGTGGCTGCACATGCCAATATCATCGAGTTTTCCCTCCAGCTTGAGTGAATCGAGACAGGCGACTTCCGACAAGAGATACATGACGAAGTCGTTGCACCCCATCAATTTTTCCAGTCCCGTGGTCGCGCCGGTGAAGAACATGTTCCGGTAGGTGTTGGAAAACCTCGGCGCTTTTCCGAGCATGGTCGAGCCGAGAATGTCAATCCAGGCGGTCAGAGTCATGTTGAAAGGTGGGGAGCCTCCGGTTTGGACCAGATTTTCTAAAACGCCCGGAAGGTTAAGCTTCTGCACGATGTCGGTGGCAGCTTGGAAGTGTTGGTGCCAGGGAATCAATTCCTTTTCGAGGTCCGTCGCCGAGCCTACGCAGCCTTGCAGCGAGATCATGCCTAGTAGAGCGTCGAGCATTTCGCTGTGATGCGTATCCGAATTGAGGGCGTCAACGACAATGGTCACGAAAGCAAGCTTGTGCCGCATAGCATCATCCTCGGCGGCGGCGTTCGGGAATGACCTGTTCCCCTTCAAGTGGGTGGCGGCAGCAAGCAGACAGGAGTGAAGATATGCCTTGTTGTTTTCCAGGGCCGGCAGTATCACATCCGCTCGGACCGATCCGTGTTGATTGGCCTCGAGGACGGGGAAGAGAAGGGGCAGCACATTGTCGAGCAGGTGGTCGAACAAAGGACGATCACAGTCGTCGAGTTGAACCATGGCACACTGGGGCTGAGAGTTCGGAGCGAGATGAGGGAAGTCGAAAAAGTTAAAGTCGATCCCTTCCTCTCCACTCCACGAATCTTGCCGGCTCTCGTAAAAATCGTGCTGGACCCAGTCGTCCCCGGTGTAGGATGGAAGCATAGCGTGTGAAGGCGGAGGCACGAAGGTACTGAAGGTCGATATCGTCGAGTCTCGACGAGTGAGTTCATCATTGACATAGGTATGGCGTTCGGTCTTGACATCTACTTCCCACGGAAAGCCTTGGCCATAAGGATCGGTGTGGGGCATGTAGACGTTGGGAGCGTATGGGTCGAAGATACCGGGAGTGGTCGCAAAAGATTGGTCAAAGGTATTGTCGTATTCATCTTGGGAGTCTTCAGATGAAGCTCTGGCCATTTGGGCCAGTGCATCTCGGTGAGGTTAGTACAAGGCTCGGTCAATGAGAAAGGGGAGGGTGGTATCATTACATTGACCTTGTGGGCCCAAACTCTTCTCATTTGTCTTTGTCCTTTTGATGATGATCTTGATATGTTCCTTTTGTTTTCTTCGTGTCTCATTGTTGCTCCACCAATGGGGCCGCTTATATTCGCAATCGAGGCCCAAGTGTCGACACGCTTTACATTTCGGCTTGCCTTCGTCACACTTTTTGCGTCTCAGTCGACATGTGAAGCAGCCTTGCATGAGATTCAGCATATCCGTCTCAACCAAGTGGGTGTGAGTGGGACTTACCTGATCTTGACCTTCGATGCATCTTTGAGGATTTGGTGGATGGGGAGTCCTTGGTTGTAGGCGCAGCCTTCTTCTCGCTCGAGGAAGTCATTGCTGAAGATGTTCTTGAGAACGATCTGACTGTGCAAGGTTCACTCGGCGTCCACACACACACACGCACACACACAAAAAAAAAAAAAACGACAAGATGCAAATATTGATATCGGCAAGGACAGGATGCCAGCCGTGAACCGCGCTGCTCTGGATTATTAGGAGGGAATGGTCGCGAAGACTGGCCAGCAGTGTTCGCAGAGGTCTATGGGAGGGGGATTGTCGACGAGGTGAAGGGACAACAGCGAGGGCACCGGTATGCCTGGAAGAAAAGTCACGGCGACATTGGTCCGAGGATGTTTTGTATATGAGAGAACTTCGAAAATCTTCGACAAAGGTGGAGAGAGCTATATTTGGATGATGGAGGGGGAGATGAGGCTGCCGAGTAGGTCGAGCAGAGAGAGAATCAGGTGGTCGAGAAACAATTGCCTGCATGGAGGACGAATGAGAGAGAGAAACGGCATCTGTTGGAGAGGGTGTATCTATGAATATCGCGTCTGTGTCTAGAGGCGCTCATCGGGTATTGGTGGAGGGCATGACGGAAGGAGGGGAATTGAATGATTGAAGCAACCAGAAAGGCTGGTCGAACGGGGGTCCATTGGAGAGAGAGGAAGCTCAACAATGCTCGGTCGATTCGGTCGGTCGATAGTCTGGAGCAAGCAAAGAAGGAATCAAAGTGTGGGTGGAATGCGATGGTGATTGGAGGGAGGGGAAAAGGTTGGCGCTTCCAGTCTAAGATTAGGATGGACTTTGACAGTTTCGACGAGTGGCCGGCCAGTACGTACCAAGAGCAGGTGAATTAGCGCCCATCTTGACCATGGCTGCATACGACCCCTGTCCATCATCTGGGTCCCCCCGGTCAAGTCCAGGTTGTGGATATCCAAAACGGTATCGTTTTCTGGTCATGTCAAGACCCTCAACTGCCAACCGTCTCCCTTTCCCCTCAGCCCACGGCGGCCACTGACTGGTCGAGTTACCTTATTTTTGCAGTTCGAAGAAATCAAAAGGTGGACATTTGAAGAATGGTATTGGCATTGGACCTTTTCCGGTGTGGGCTGGTCCCACTGGCGAAGAGTCACCGGGTACGCTCCAAGAGATGCTGTGGCATTTTGTAGCAACATTATGATTTTCGTGTCGCTGCTCTGGTTGGAATTGTACTTTTACTCGGGAGGTACAAATACCAATTCTGAGGAAAGAAATCACGAGACAAGGTTACCAGAGCCATGACCACCAGCAACGCATCGACACCGTCATGCGGTCGACCACCCAATGATCAATGGGAACAACTTTTGGAACCAGCTTTCTTTGGTGTTCCGAACAATGCAAAAGATGGAGAACATTCCGAAGAGTTTGACTTGCAGTGACTCGCTTGCCCGCATGCTGCCGGTCGAAGAAGCTTTTTTTTTACGGAATGACGCATTTAGTCGATCAATATCATTTTATTTTTTCCCATCTCGTTCGCGTCCCCAAAGTCTGCAGACGGGGAACACAGTGCCCGTCAATGCCACTCCTATTGGTAATTTCGAGAGCAGTTTTCACAACACAACATCGCTCATCCTCCAGCAACTTTGTCCAAGTGCCACGGTCTGGAAAATACCCCTTTCTTCTGTACAATGTGTCACTGCAACACGGTGCATCCACAGTTCTTCCGGGGAACGGCGACGGACTTTGAGGCAGCCCTAGGCCGTTGACGATCTCGAAGGGGGCAGAGGGCTCTTCTGGCCAGAGTAAGTGCTGGCGCAGGAAGGATGAGAGGGCCATGACAAACAAGCCGATGGTGTGTAGAAAATGGTGGGAGGACAATGCTCGATTGGACGAGGACGGTCAAATTAGTCGATTAGTGCTGAAGCCACACAAAAGCTACCCTGGTCACCGGAACAGTTTGTTCCCTGGTTCAGTGAAGTCCAATCTGGCTGTCGACCGCTGCGGGAGCAGCGGGAACCAACCGTGATGCCAAGCCCACTCTCGTGCATTAGCCTTGCCGCTTTAGCGTGGTGGGGAATAGTACCCCAACGACGGCACTAGTACAAATACTAACTAGAGCGGCACAATACTTGGTCAGTGCTTCTGCTTTGTGGCTAGTAGATGGTTTGTGCGGCTTTTTGATGCTGAGAATCCGAGATAGAGCTCCCTCCCCTCATTTTTGCGTGCTTCGAATCCTTATTTTTAGAAGTCCTCGCTTCTGATCGGCCTACCTTTTGATGCCGAATGTTGATCGATCTCAATTTCGCATTCTGCCATTGATCACAAACCAACACATGTTGCATCAAACATCAGGTATCCATCTGCTTCTATTATGAGCATCCTTTCCAGAACATCGTTCCCACTGTCACAGGAGCCGGGGCGGGATGGGCACAAACTCCTGGACCCTCTGAAGCATTTGACGTTTGCTCTTGACATTGACATCAGCTCGAGTTCAATTCCATACATAGAAGTATCATCCACCTGATGATTGTACGGTATCAGGCTGAGCTCTCGCCCAGATGAGAGATAAGCCGGCTGAATCTACCTTGGCCTTGACGGCTATTGTCGTTGTCTTTGCTTCCAGTTCACGTCGGTTTTCGCTAGATCACGGGCACTCGGCTACTTTCTTGTGCTACCCAAATCCCAGAACACTGCTCCCCCATCCCTCGCACATGATGACTAGCGACCACGAGTTTTTCTCATGCTCCCGAGAGCAAATTCTGTTCCTTCATCACCATCACGTCCAGCCTCCCTTGCTTTCTCTATCACAGATCTGACAACGCCATATACCTGGTAAAGTTCGGAGCACTCATGGCTGGCGGCTCCCACTGTTTCCCTGACGGGGGTGGTTATTCATCCTGTACCTTCGAATACACTACGAACAGGTCTAGCTCCACTGTCACGCCATGCCGCTGCTAATTTGACAAGACGAGAATTTTTCGTGGCCCACATGCCGTGGAAACATGCACATCGTCTCGAGAAGCCCTTTACACTTAGCAATCGTGCTTGGGAATCAAACTTTGCAGGAACTGATTGCGTCTAGAGAGGCTTTTGGCACCACTACCAAGCGAGGCCGTTGAAAGTTCACTCCATTCTACATTCCCATACTGTCCTATGTCCGGTGTTGTCCAACTTCCTGTGCCGAGTACCGATGTGGGAGAAAACGGGTACGGAAGTACATACCGGGAACGGTGGGTGTTATCCCACCGGACCTGGCGTACTGCATCATCCTCTTGTACCCCAACCACAAAATTACCGCCACCCTTTTCTCATGCCAGCCTGTGGGGAAATTAGCGGTGGGCTCACCGCTGCCAAGGATCGTGGTAGAAGCTGCCATGTGCAACATGCCATCTCGACGACAAAGGATGAGTGCACGAGTGCGACACGTTGGCAGCGCGACAATTTTCGTCAACAATCTTGCGCGACATGGCTCCCACTTATCGGCAGGGTACGTGAAATAATTTTCGTGTTGAGAACCAGAGCCAGGATCATCTAAAAGGGACAAGCTCTGCAGCTCTTGACCTTTTGAACCTGGTCCCATACCGAAACTTGCTCGCATATGCATTCAGCATCCAATATCACAACGGCGAGTCGTTGGGGCGATCAAATGGTGTCACCTCTAAGCAAAGGTCGAGTCCTGGATAGGCAAGCAGAAGAGGGGAATGAAAGTTCGCTGACGAGAGGTGCTGGGTTATGTCCCCGCACTAACTTCCGGCTAATCTTTGCGCTAACATGATAGAGACTTTCGGATTTCAGCCAATCTGTTGACTATTCACCGCTAAGCGCTCATCTCGCGGGAAGGCCCGCGTTCGCCAACTCAGGTCTCTAACCTTTTCAGCACGTTTTTGGTGCTTAGGGTTGTCGGTCACATTGCGTTCAGGCCCGGGAGAAATCACATTTCAGGCCCTCCATCAACGCTTCGAAGTTGCAACGGGACAATCCAGATCTCAAGGGACCAGAAAACTCCCGATTTCAGGGTCCAAGCCGTGACTTTGTTGCCTTCCTCGAATCCCGAAGGCCAACACGGGAAGACCTATGAATGCCGTGAATACTCGTGAACTCATTCGCAGTCGCTGAAAGGATACGCAAAAAGAGTGCTGATCAGGCAAGCATAGTCTTTAGATTAGATCGAATTACTTTGTTGAAAAAATTTTTTTCTCCCTTTTTCGTCTTGTGACATGCTTGTGGGGATATGGTGCTCTGGTCACGCACCACCTCGATTCGTAGCGAGAGGGATCAGCAGGGCGAGCTCGTAAAGAGGGAGGTGATGTCCGACAGGGCCCTGGGTCATGATCAGAGAGATAAGATTGAAAGCAGGGCAAGAAAGAGAAAAGGAAGTTATTTGGGGGGAAACAGCCAATCAGAAAGAAGCACTGGCAAAAAAGGCGGGAGGGAAATACTGAGGAGGTTGGGAAAACACAGGGGAGCTGGGAGGGAGCGTGTGGGAAAATTGAGACAGAGGGGTTTAGCGGCACGGGACGCAAGAGGAGAAAAGGCCAAAGGGAAGAGCCTGAAAGGCCCGTGGGCCCGTGAGTAGGAACCCTGGAGGGGAGCGAGTAAGAAGCGCTGGATGCTATTCCGGGATACACAGAGCGCGGTGCTAAACTAGATACGGTATGACTGGTGCTCCAATACCATACGATAAGTGGACCGGTATTTTTGGAAGCTGCCCCTAGTCACAAGAAAGACTAGCATCTCGGTGGATGCTCTACTGCTATTGGTGAAGATGCGGGGGATAAGAGTGTGCTTGGTTGTATCGTCATCACCCTGTTAGAGTATCTGATTGGCTAAGAGCACAAGGACATGGCGGGGGCGGCCATATCCTGACCGCGACGGCTCCAGCGCGTATTTATTCATATACGGGCGTCGATTGGCTTGGGGCTTGTTACCGCCGACCTATGCCAGTCCAATGCTCTCCTCCTCCCACTGACTGGCTGCCTTGAACGCGTTTCACATTCATCGCACGCATTTCTCTGCAGTAGCCAACTCAATATTCTGCATCCCATCTCTGCTTCGACCTGCGTCTACCCCTGGCTACATCTCTCCACTCATCACACTCGTTCTACTGTGTCTAACCGCCCGCCTAGGGTTCCTCCTCCACCTACAGACCACCGTTATCTATACATATCTCATTCTCCTTCTTGCCATCAACCAACTCCACCATCATGGTTCAACCTTTACAACGTTGACCTTCTCCTCAAGGAAAACGTGGTATTCTCCTTTGTAACAATAAACAATGGAGTGGTCGACACGATCCTCCCAGATCCAAGTCCAACCAGTTGAGATGCCACAGAAGCCTTTCACACTCTGTTTCCTCGGCCACCGTACACATCTCCCCCGGCCACTGTCCGAAGCCACCGAGATCTTTGACACGGACAACGAGGACGAGGACGACTCAGGACCTCAACCGTGGGATTCTCAAGATGACGATAGCCAGTCCACCTTGTCCAGCCGGGACGAGCTTCCCACGCCTCCTCACACGGGTGGTCTTGACGGCTTTGAATTCCATTTTGACGACAAGGCCGTGGTAGGACCCCAAGGGCCTCATCTCTTCCAAAGCACTCCCGAGATCTATCCCAACAATGAAGACGGTGTCTTCCTCAACATGTCTCCAATGGCGGCGACCGCTGAGCCGAAGACCCCCGCCAAGCCTATCGTTGCTCTCAACACCGCGGTGGCCGAGCTCGACGAGTCCCAAGTCCGCGACTGGACCCCCCGACAAGTAGCTGACTGGATGGCCGAAGCGGGCTTCGAGTCCAGCGTTGTCGAAAAGTTCCTCATTCACGACATCTCCGGCAGTGTCTTGATTGATCTTCAATTCGAAGATCTGAAGGAACTCGACATCAGCTCCTTCGGCAAACGCCACAGAGTAATGAGCTCCATTCATCAACTCCGCAATAGCAGCATGATCTCGCTGGAATCCCCTCTCTCCAGAACTCCCTCCAGAAACACCCGCAGCCCCCGAGCTCTCCAGCGAGCGGCTCGGCCCGATGAATGCCACGTGGTCATTTCAGATCGATCTCGCTCTCGTCGACGAGCGCGACAACAACAGCAACCACAACAACAACATGACGTCGTCACTCCGGCCGAGTCCATCTCCATTGTTGGAATCGAACAGGTCCTTCCCAAGGAACACAAATGCTCCAAGGGTGAGGACTGCCCGAAATGGCAAAAACAACAACGAAAGATCCTCCGAATGCAACGTGCCTTCGAAGAGGATGCCATTGCCCAAGAGCAACAACGACCCGTCTCAGAAGCCCGGTCGGAGGCCCTTCCCTCCGTCGTCGGCTCCTCCGATGTTCTCGGGCCTTCTTCCGTCAAGATCACGGCCGAAAACCTGAGCGGAGTTCAGCCTCGTGATCCTCAAGAGAGCGTACGACAATTCCTCAACTTCCAACATCTCCACGCCCCATCTCATTCTACCAACCCGTCCCCTCCCCCCGCTGCCTCGGCCTCATATGCCGCCAAGTCCGCTCACCTTGCCGAGCACCTTCGTGGTCTTCCCAAGCTCACCATTCCCGTGAGCCAGAAGGAAGATGAGAGTCCTTCCCGAACTCCCATCTCGGCTCTCCAACAACCCACTCAAATCCAAGCTCAACTCAAGGCTCAGCTTCAGCGTGACCCGTACCACTATGGCGGCGTTGCCTCGCCAGCAGACATTTACCGTCTTGACACCCCGATGTCGGCGACCGACCTCCCTGTCACCGCCATGGCCGTCGATCCATGCCAACGCGATATCTCCCAATCCGTCCCACCGGAGATGCGATACGGAGCCGCTCCTGTCCCAGTTACCACGGCCACCACCAATCCAGAGCCCCTCCAGCGTTGCGTGTCTACTCAACCCCCGGCCGCCCCACGCCGACACCATACACGCCAACAATCCTTTACCCCCTCCGTGGCTCCCGTCCAGGAGAATGTAGACCACAACACCACTTCTTCCACCCAGCAAACTCCGCGCCCCAAAGCGGCTCGTGCTGTGACTGAAATGGACCTTGCCAACCACCAAGGCTGGATGCGCAAACGCAAGACGACTCGCATGCTCCGCCACGAATGGCAGGACAACTACTGCACGCTCGTCGGTAACAAGCTCACCATGCACGAAAGCCACTATGCCAACGCCATGCCCATCGAAGACCTCGACGTCGACGAATACACATTACACGCATACTCTCAGGCCTCAAGTTCCAAACTTAGCGCTGCCTTCAAAAAGAGTCTCTTGGGCCAAGGAAAACTTACTGACGCCGAACAATCATTTGCATTCTCCTTGGTCCCAGACACTGAAAAGGCTTCGAATAAGAAACTCTTCGACATCAAGAACAAATCTCACCATTTCGCCGTTGACTCCTCCAAGGAGCGCGTCGAGTGGATGCGCAAACTCATGCTGGCCAAGGCCATGAAGAGGAATGATACCTACCAGATCTAAATCCTCTCGACTACACCATTTATAAATCGTGCTTTACACTCCCACCCGCCTGCGATATCCCATATTCCCTTTTTATACCGTTTATTAACGAAACTATTGAACGACTCTCCTACTTAAGATGTTGCCTCGCGGCAATTTTCTTTTATCTACCACCAAATCATCGTCGACATTGACATTTGCATCGAGAAGATCCGAAATGGGGAAGGGTGGGAACCGAATCGACTACTACTACATGCATTTAGCGACAGGAGCATTCCCCTTTTTCTTTTTCATTTGGATGATTCTCTACACCGAGATACCACTCGAAAGCCTTTTTTTCTATGTCACAGCAACCACGACATCACAAATTCAAAGAACTGCCTTATAGCAGTCGTCTCACCCTCTTAAAAGGGTGGGCTCTTGAGCCCTGGACAAGAGTCCTCGTGCATTTAGCTAGCTAGCTTAGCCAATATAAAATCTCAAATCGAGATATTGAAAACGCACGACTAGGTCTTCTCTCCTCCTACGCGTCCGGTGACGTCATTGGTCCATCCTCGAGTCCCGCAGCCTCGCGCGACTTTGACACACCGAAAGCGTGACTTGCTTATTGTATTTTCTTTTCCTCTCACGACTCCGGCCTGTCCGAAGAAACTTAAACAACGAGGTCACTCAGGCAATCTTCCAGCCTCCTCTCGCTTCAGATGCCAGATAAGAGGACTCGCAAGCAGCGACGCCTGGGCAATGCGGCGAGCATCGCATTGTATGATTGTGATGTTGTAATGCGGGCTTCGAACCTCCCGTTCAGCTCGACAGGGGGCCTCTTCTGCAGGACAAAGTGGAAGACGGATTGCCGGATGTCTGATGCCGGCATGACAACCAGCCAGGCCAGGCCTGAAAGTAGCGGGGAAATTAAAAAAAAGAAATTAAAAAAAAAAAAGGGTCACCCTCACAATTCTCTAAGTCCATCTTGACAGCTCGTGTTGAACTCCAGGTTGCATCTGAAGACGAGAGCTCTCGATCAGCAGACAGCACTCTTGCTAACCTTGGCGGGAATCGGGACTTTTTTGGGTCTGGGCAGACACCAACGTAGCACTTTCCGCGGGTCGATTATAAGCTGACCGTAAGTAGTGCTTTTGGCAATCCGCTGAGCAGGGATTTGTGCCGTGCACGTCAGTACCAAGTGCCACCGCTCGGTCCCGTAGATCTTCCTGGTCTGTATTAAGAAATGCGGAGCCGACAAGGCTGATTTCTTCGGAGGAACTCATTATGGTGGAAAAAGAAAGTGCGGACTTTCTCGGCTGTGGAAAAGAAAATCAAAAAATTTTCTCTTTTCCTTTTTTCCCTTTTTAACCGGCGCTTCGTTCGAGTTGTGGCAGAGAGACTGGTTCGCATGGTTCGCATTTTGAAAAAGGGCGACCAGTTTCAGTCTCGCTTTGTCATTCGACACGGCCCAGCGTCCTTTGCAGCCGGCATTCGTATCCCAACCCCATTCTCGTCCTTCCCTCCACTGAATTTGAAAAGGAACATCTGTGTCCGAGCCGGCCGCATATGAGACCAAAACACTTTGCGGTGACGCGGCCATTATGGTTGTCGATCAAAGGTCATCCCATCGTTGAAGTTGTCGCGCCAGAGAATCGTGAATGTCAGGACGGAGCGTAGTGGTGCCATGTGCAATCCCAACTTCGTTTTTGCCAGATAAGGAGGTCTGGATTGCTCGCTCGGTGATCTCGTATGCTTGACTAACCGATTTTGGAGAGATCTAGGCCCAACATTCCCTTGAAGACCAAATAAATTTCGAAAGTTTTCAGGTTGACTGGATCAAATGTTCCACGCAAGACAAGTGAAATCAAGTCCAGAAGGTCTTCGTTAGGACAGCTGATTGACGAGAGAGTGGTGGGTTAGACACCCTTACGATATCCTGCCAATCCCGCATGATCACTATAGAATTCCGAATCTCGTGGTTCGCCTTCTCAATTGCTGCACCTTGCCATATGTCTTGCTTCCCTGCAAAATTTCTATTCGTCATCCAACACTTTGATACTGAGCGCTCAAAAGCAAGGTGTCGATATCGACCGGGCATGCTTGATCGTGTGGAGTGCTTACATAGGCGCTGGTATGGATCCTTCAATCTAGCGAATGGATGCGGGCATTTCCTACAGTACTGCGGTGGATCCGAGTTTGCAGCGGAAGCGAGCGGAGTGCATATGGGCTGGTCTGCTTCCCCTTTGCATTGCTTGCCTACCAACGTGCAAGGCTGATTCTCAACCTCGATCTTTCGAACTGGGAACACCGTTCTAATATCTTCATGTCGCGACTAATCCCAAGAGGTCGAGGTAGTCGGATCGGTGGGTTAAGTCTGCTGGCCTGACGATCCTTTTCTCAGGTGGTCGGCTCCGCCTGATGATGCTCGATAGCTGTTCACACAGTTCCTGGTGAACTCCACGAGATGGCATTGAACAATTGGGAAGCCCAAGCAGCCCTGCCCTATCCCCCAAGGTCGTCCCTCTTTTCCCTGTGCCTGCACTGCTGACCAGCCTATAACCAATTCTCCACACCACCACACCCGCACACTAAGCATTTGTACGGTGTTTCACATTGACACGCTCCTCAAGCCATATCACTCATTTGACCATTATTGAGATGTCAGGGCTGACAGCCGTTAAATAGCTGAACAAAGACACCAGTATAAGGTGAGGCGGGTAGAGCATACTGCTAGGCATCAGATCCTTCAGTAGTTGTAGTCCGTCCGCTTGACAATTGGTGGATAGCTTGCACCAACCAGGGGAGGATTCTACTTGCATACCCGCTCCCACGGGATGTTTGAGATTCGAATTCGACATGCAATCAATTCATGCATCTTCATACAATAGGATTGTGTCTACGAATGGGATTGTTGCGGCTAACCAGCTTCACTAGGTCCAGTTCGGAGTCCTGGTGCAGCCAAGTAGCAATCACTAGCGAGGAACTAAGATAGAGCCTCATATATCGGTGATAGGAAATGGTTCCCTTCAAAGTAACAATTACCCGTCCACCCTTGCAACGTCCCCTGGCGTCTCCGATGGAGGATTGAATTCCTGACAGGCCAGGAGCTTGGGATCTCACATCATGACAGATATTGCTTCGTGAGCTGCCACCAGAGGCATCGTCATGATATGCTTTGGCAAATAATGAAACTTTGATTTCTTGTCACACGCCTAGTTCATGGCCTCTTGTCCTGAAATCCTTGAGAACCCACTTTCCATTACCCACCCCTTGGTTTCCGTCTTCACACACAACGCACGTTGTGGCACATGTTGTGTAAATCCCCTGCTTGAGAGTGGCCAAGTTGACGGCGGGATACCGTCAATGCCTGGAGGTGGAAAGGTGCTTTGATCCTCTCACATCCGAACCGTGTTTCTTTCATATAAGATACCGGATGAGAGCCATCCCTTTCTTCCTTCTCATGACTTCCCTTCTTGCCTAGACTTCTTATCCACATCAGCTCACGTGGTGATTTCTATCAATCGCACTGAAATTTCAGTCATCTTCCTCGCCAAGTCGAAATTATCCGCGTTGAGGGCCAGTGTCCGAAGACCGAACTGCCTTTCTCACATACGACGACTTCGACTTGTTGAATTCCATTTCTGTTAGCTGGCCCTTTGAGGTGAACAGAGCGCACCCAATCACGTGCAAACATAGTCCAGACTTCCCGTTTCTGGCATATTGGACTCTCTCTTTGCCGTTACCAGTCATCCTCCATCGTACCCTCGACTTCGTCAGTGGGTTGCTTCTCGGACAGGTTAGCAACCCTGTGCACCTTATGGTCGTATAAGGCGAGTTTTGGTCACGAAACGCCGTCTTCATCGTCGGTTAGCGAGTCATTGACACCGCCTTTGCCACAGCTCATTGCATTCCGGCAGTAAAAAAGATCCATCCCACCATCAACCGGCGCATAAAACTATACCGATGGCCCAAGAACCAGGAAACGTGAAAGACATGCAAAGGTAACGGGATTTCTTGTTATACCGGCGGGATTGATTCATGCTAATATGATCACCTCAGATCTTTTCGTCTGACCCTGGCAAGAGCCGCGAGGCTTCCATGTAGCAATATGACGTCTCGGTTTCTCACAGATGACAGCCTCGACCGTATATCGATGTTATCACTGTTGCTTCAAGCCGCACCCAAGAGTACTGAAGGCAAACTCGTTACAGACCTGCTAGACCAAGAGACGGATATCTCGATGGCGATCGTCACTGTGATGAAAGCAGCCATTGAAGGGTTAGATGAAGTCGTTCACAATCAAGAGGTAAGGGTCGCTGGTTGGTCGGTCCAAATAAAAAAAGAAAAAAGGCTTCGACAATTGCTGACTCTGTCAAGGCATTCTGATAGTGAGAATAACTTCTCCTTCAACTTTGTCGAAAGTTCGTTTCTTTCCTCTTCAAGGTCGTTAGCTATTGGATAGAAGAATGATTGTTCGATTGGCTGGGACACCTGAGGGCATCAGGCAAACTCAGTTTAGCTCATGTTATGTCGTAACATCCGTCCATAGAGGCGAGATCATGGAGATCAACAAATAGTTGATTGGCAAATTCTAATGGTTTCGAATGGAGCCAACGTACACTATCTTTCGATATGATTGATGTGAGATGGACGAAGACGAGGGTAGGTATCTCGTGCTCACACTGCGAGGAGCCCTCCCAACAGCTAGCATTTCTCCCCCTCAGATTGGCAGCGGTCAATCCACCAAAACTTGCGACAGATAGCGGTGACTTTCTCCCAAGAACGAGACGCAGGAAAGGAACTGATATTAACGTAGTCATGGGGAGCGTCCGCTTTGGGCTGAGGTCTTGCAGATTGTGTTCTCTAGTTTATCATGAGGGAGAGACAAATAATAACCTCGAATTCAGGAATAGCAAGGGTGTCGATTGCTTTGATGCTCATGGTTAGAGCGTCAAGGGTTGCATGGTCAAAGAGGTTGGTCCGATTCTCTCCGCTCAGGTGATGGACGGACAGCAATAGCCAGTCCTAAGCAATAATTTGCTCAATCCCTGAAGGCAATCCGGATCGTTTGAGGTAAAGAAGGAGGGTGATGGGGTTTTCGAGCACATTCTCGAGGTTCGCGGAAAAGGTGACAACACCTGGTCCGTGGATCTATCACCTGGTCGGATGACGACCAGAAACCATGGATCAATAGCGCTCAGTCTGCACCTAGAGTAAGAAGCTTTGTGCGCTGAGCCGCGTGGTGGTCCGGAAAAGAGCAGCTTCAGCTAGCCGTGTGGGAAGGACGGATATATACCTCCAAATGTCTGGAAGGGAAAGATGTTGGACAAACCCTATGTGATGACCCAGAACTGCGCTCAGATCGTCAGGGCCGAACCACAGGTATTGTTCCAAGACGATGTAGAACTCGACCCTAGATACATCTCAGACAACGCCCCTGTTGTTTTGCTTGAGGGCCCACGTTGTGAAGAGCGCCGAATCGCTCGGTGAGATGGCGAATTACCAAGACCTTCACAGAGCAACAAGATCTGTTTCACGCCTCGTAAACGGGACTTCAATGCTGACAGATCCCTGAGACAGGCTTTGAAAGAAGTTGGCCTTACGGAGCGGCAAGCGGGGTTGAGTGACTTACGTCAACGACCATGAGATGTAAGATTGATACCACCAACCCATCGTCGAGATGGGCATCGGGTAAGGACGGACGTTTTTGCAAGGAAGATGTGGCATCATTTTACAACAGAAGCATAGCGCTAGATTGTTGATTCTGATGCGGTTTTGCGACGCCATTCGTATAGGCTCTGCGCTCCAACTAGGAAACATGTTGAAAGACCTGGGTCCTGCATTGACAGAGAGAACACGACCGACATTGTGGGATATCGGACATGAGCATTGTGCGCAGAAGTGGGTTGATGACCGCTGACTTACGGACTCCGTTGACTAATCCTCTTGGGAGCTCGGCGGGGATTCACTCTCTTCCAATGTGTACCGCAGCCGATAGCCTCATTCCTTGGAGGTGGTATTAATCCTCCTGAATACAGGGCTTGGAAGAGTGATATGGCCAAGGCGATTGAGACAGAGATTGGGAAGTCCGAAGAAATGATTTGATGGGACTACGCCGGGGGAAGATCCAGCTGTCCGAACAGCGGCACGGGAGGTTCCCGGATTGACCTTCTGTGAGCGATGGAAGAAAACGCGGCACGTCTGAGCAACAGAGTCAGTTTGACAGAACCCTGTTCCTGCACCTTCGATTCTTGGCCAATTGAATCCCGGATAACGGCTGTTCTTGTCTATTTGTCGCGCGATTCTGAGGGACAATTAAGAGAAGAGCTCGCTCCTATGCAGCTGGACCCCCTGGCCTCATCGTTTTAGGACTAGTCGCTCTCGGCATTGGTTCTATCTCCAGTTGGTTGTCACGTGTCGAGGACCACCCCTCGTCTACCTTGGCGAGTGGTCCAAGAAAGTCGTCGTTGATTATGTCGTGTTTGTCCTCGTCATCGAAAGTCAGAGAGGGATCAGTGACAACATATAGCCGTTTTTCTACAGGTACAGCTGTAGCCAAGCAACTGGCAGTATGTCTCTCACGCTGCTCCTAGCCGACTCAACGATATCCCTTTCGGTGACCAATGATTCCACAATGTTAAGGCCGAGGTTGAGAATGGACCTCACCGACGGTAGATGGGAGTACAGAATAGTAGAGCGAACATTTTGTCCTGATTACAATTATCACTGCTCCCGCTGCTAGCATGGTGACACTGTAGCAAACATTTTTTACATATACTAGTGCCACAGCGGCAATGAAGAGCCATTTCTATGGAAATGGGCCTGAGGGAAGGCTAGATATCCTGAAATAGAAGCGGAATCACCACTCCAGAAAAATTTTGACCCGAGCGAAATCATTCAGAAGGCTTGGGTGGCTACGTGGCGGCGATGACGCCCAAGTGGCTGAGCCCGCATATGAGGCTGGCCAATAGGCATGGACGTGAATTTTGCTGCGGTCTCCGAGGCCTGCAACCAGAGTTGCAGTGCATCTGTTGCAGTTCAGATTGGATCACCGTTGCTGCAAGGCTTTAATTTTTCACACCTCAGCTCGGCGAGGATTCGGAGGCCACGACGGTCAAACGCGGTGATCGTGGCTGAACTGCACGCTCTCCACATGGCAGGTCACGCCGCAGCTTGAACGGAGATATATATTCTCCCTTCTGGATTGCGTCTGTTCTCCCGTCATCTTACTATCTGCACATCCGTCTGTCGTTCAATCGATTATAAAATCTCAAACCGGGTTGATAATTTCCCCATTGGGCACACATCCACTCCCTTACAACCGATATCATGCATTTCTCTAAGCCATTGATTCTTGCATTCGTCATGAGTGCCTCTGCTCAAGTGGACATCGGTTCAGCCATCGATTCGGTCATTTCAGACGCAACTTCGGTCGTGGGAGATGCCACCTCGATCGGCGGCTCTGCTATCACATCAGCAGCATCGCTTGCATCCTCAATTGCCGACAGTGTTCCCTCCAGCGTAGAATCGCTTGTTTCATCTCTCGAGTCCGAAGCGTCGTCGATAGAAGCCTCTGCCGAGTCGGTAGCCTCAAGTCTTAGCGCAAGCGCCGCCACCGCTGCTCCGTCAGTACAGAGCAGCATTGAAAGCGAAATCAGCAGTGTCCTAGCCAGTGCCAGCTCTCTGGAAAACAGCATTTTGAGCAGTGCTGGCGCTGCAGCAACTTCATTTTATACCTCGGCCACGGGAGCTGCCGGCAGCATCACATCGTCTTTGGCTAGCAGTGCCTCAGCCACTGCTACTGGTGCATCTGGAAATGGCGCAGCAGATAGATATGTCGTTCCTGCTGCAGGAATGCTGGGTGCTGTTTTTTTGGGCGTGGCCGCTCTCCTGTAAATTGCATGTACTCTGTCTTTCGGTGAAGAAAATCGACAAGTGTCGGAAAAATTTCACGGGCATTTACGTGGTGGAGTTAATTCGGACTAAGGCATCAGCACTTTGTTAGGGAATCGCAGGACCGGGAATTCGATAAACATGATTTAATGGAAATTAATTTGGTCTTTCCGAGATGTCAAGACTTCATTGTTGTTTTCCATCCTTCTTTTCTTGACACCACGCGTCCAATAGCGTATGGTACCGTAACAAAGTTCTCTGTACAGAGCGACACAGTCGGTCTCGGAGTTGCAATCGATTCTGCAAATACGTCTGAGCCATCACTGCAAGAGTAATCTTGGTCCGTCAGGAAGAACCCAACATGAAGGCATGTCGTCGTTGTTCTCGTTGCCCCCCTGAATTCCAAACCACCTGCCTTGGGTCAGGCAACTTTTGCTTCTGCTTCCATTGAAGTTGGATGGGCTCTACTGCCCGTGCACTCGGTTCGACGTCACCCCAAGACAACCTCCTCGTCGTCGACCTGATGGTTTTCCATCATCTTCGACTCTCAGATGATCGTGTCGAGGTGTCCCGTGAATCAGAAGGTGAGACAAATGAAAAGTATCCGGGTTTCAAGTCGAACTGTAAGGGAAAATGCGATGGTGGTGACGCAAGAATCTGCCTCCAAGAGCTCGCCCGAATTTTCATGGAATCCGCAGGTCCCTGAGCGGCCAAAAACTACAGGAGACACAGAAGTCCCCGGCATTCGCGGGAGGAATCACGGGGGTTGGTTGCAGACTGCGAGCGATGTCTCAGTGGCCCCGGCTGACCCGTCCGCCTCACCTTTCCTAGAAGCCACTATCTCTGGAATTACGCGCACGATTCGACTGATGCAGCCGATCGAAACAAACCACAGCACTAGGGAGACGTCATGATCTCGGCAGAGTGCATTTATCAAGCTCAGCTAGCAAACGAACACACCATCTCCCGGACTCTTGAACAAACCGGTCACCTGAATTTCCGAGCTGGCGAGGATCGCCGGATACCACCGTAGTTGGGCACCGACAGCTCGGCTCTTTGAATGGTGGCGTGACCAGTAGGGCGCTTTGTGAGGGGCAAGAAGCCGTTGAGATTGTCCAGCAAGAGGAGCAGGGAACCTTCGAAAGGAAATGATCAAATGTCGGTGAATTGGAGCGTCATGACTGGGGCGAAACTTACTTAGCAGCATATTCTCGATCCCAAAGGCCACTTGAACGTCGAGATGGAGACTTTATCATGTAATATTGGGCAGAAACGGAGGGACACTTGTTGTGGACTGAAACCGGGCCTGGAGGAAGTGGGCGATAGTAACCGCGCAAAAGCGGGGAGAGGTTGCCATGGCGTCCTTCGATTACATTCCTAGGTTGGGTGCGATTGACTCTTGACAACGACGTGAAAGGGAGAGGGTGAAAAGGATGCAGGAATGACGCCGACATCGACTGCATCGAAACAAAGGAGTCTCGAGAACGTTGATTAAACGGCACAGGCGAAAGCGCATCTCTGACATTACCCATCTCTGGTTAGGGAGCTGTGATCATGTCACCCGGTTCAGCAGAGGTGGTGGCTGTTCAGCCGATTCTTGAGGAGACCTCTGGGGGTCAGGAATGGGTGGATGGCACATCGGTGGCAGTTTGTTCCAGGACGGCCTGCGGTCCGGTTGGGCAGAAAGTGACCTCACTTCTCACCGTTCCCAGCATGCCGAAGTAGAAAGTACCAGGGCGGTTAATGGCTTCTTCTGCAGTCTATCTCTTCACCCGCATTCTTGTGATGGAACGGTGTATGACTCTGACACGATTATACACGGGGCCTGATCGAGGTTGGTGATGGGCAAACCTCGATCCACGCGATGTTGTCCATTTTGGTGTTGCGCAGCGCCCGAACAGAGTAACGGGTAAACGAGCCAGTTAACTTTAGCTTTCGCCTCACCTTCGGAAGCAAATGTGGACGGATCGACACGGGAGACTCTGTCTGTCCAGGAGGTTCGGTAGAGCTTTTGAGCCCACAGGCATGGCCCTGGCAGGAGGCGGTATGGTCAGCATCCAGATCCGCAAAGTACACCCACAGTTGGGCGGCGAGGTGTGCACCAAGAGAGTCTCATTTTACAGAGCTCCGGGATTGCTAAGTGAGGAAGTTGGTGAGCAGCCAGACTCGGTCAGAGCCCCCCTGCCATCGGACTGTTTTGTGGCGCAGGCGCAGCAATTGGAAATGAGGCGTCGCCCAAGATTTGAGGGTGGATAAGCTTCATGATTGGCAGGAGGATGGGGTTCAAAAAGTGGCTCAGTCGTCTGTTGCTTGCCAGCCCCAAAATAGGAGTGCCGTTGCTTGCACCTCTTCGGCTGCTGACACCATGTTTCTGGGTTTCATGTTTCTGGCGGATTGGAGGGACGGGTGCGGCGTGCCAGTTTCAGAGAGGAACACCCACCCTGGGACTAAAGGCTGTGGTAGGTCGTTGGCACGTTGTGGTCATCTGAGCAATTCACCTGCAAGAGATCAAGGAATCAAATCAAGGAGTCGCTGGTGTTGCTGGTCAACAGTCAACAGTTGATGCTCCCGTTGTCAACAGCGAGTTGCGGTGGCAAAAAGAAATGGGAAGGGAGACTGAACGGGGAGACTGAGCAATCGGCTGTCTGCTCCTCCCCCACTGATGCAGGAACGGCAGCTCCACGGGAAAGGCTCCTTAGACTGGGAATTTTCGCTGAGGGAAAATTGCAGTCTGGCAGCGGGAGCTGAGCTGGTTCAACTGTTTGGCCGCACCTAATGCGGGCCCCGGGGCACTTGCTGGCGCAAGTTGTCTTGTTTAGGGGGGGGACTTTGTCCAGGGACTTTGGATTGCGAGACTCTTCCCCCCAGCCTATTTGGAGTCTTATGGTCTTTTGGTTGTTTATCGTCCACCAGCAATTCCATCCCCATTCCGCGCGGTCAGTTGCAGCGTCGCACGTCATCCCTTTTCGGGCTCCCTGGCGACTGGCATCTCGTTCCCCCCTTGAGTCAGTGATTCTCGTGCCAGGGCTGCCCAATCACACACCAGAAAAGAAAGAAAAAAACAATTCCACCTTACCTAGTTTCCTGTTCCATTGTATCGTCTAGTAGTCCGTCGGCCATGATCCTGGTCATCCCAGCCCAAGGGTGACGGGCGTGCTACTTGCGTCCGCGCATTGGTGCAGTGTGCTGCCTGGCCCGTTTGGCAATTCTCTCTGTTCCATAGCCTTCTCTTGCTTCCCATCCCCCTTCCCATCCTTGACGATTGACCCATTCGGTTTCTGTGCCAAACTGCCAGACACCCTCCCCCATCTCCGCCTTATTTACGGATACTGCCGTGTGTTACTCTACAGTGACATTCAGTCCACTGTCCTCGTCATCTGAGTCACGACTGGGAAGGCTTAGTTCTAGTTGCCTGATACTAAGCTGTCAAAAGTGAGGAGCCTATTGCATCTGCCTGAATGCCGTACCAGGCTTCGACGCCCAAGCCTACATTCAATGTGACTCCCTCTGTCATTATTGACCTTTCTATAAAGTGTCCCGAACGTCCTGGTCCTCTTCCCTCACACTCCTCTTATCATCAACATCCTACAAGACCAACGCCTGCAATTTCATCAAACCTTTCTGTGACAAAATCCCTCGACCCCCTTTACGACGTTCTTCGGATCCCGCCCCCATCGCCCATAACTAGTATCACCATCACCACTTTTAGAACCTCGCCACGAACCCCAAGACCATCCTTCTAGACCTGCTCATCAAACCATTAAATCCCATTCAGCTTCCTCCTAATCTTCTATATATCCGACAAACCCGAAAGTCCTCTTCAGCAACAATATACATCTGTCGGCCTGCAAAGTCCGATCCCTCGTCCACACAATGCCTCACTACCACAGCTCCTCAGGCTCCAGCAGCGGCGGCGAGAGAGTCTATCACAACTCAAGGCGAGAGGCCCGAGACCGCAAAGACCCTCGACCTGTTCCAAAACGTGAAGTTATCGTCATTCATCACCACACTATTACCCGTGATGATCCCATACGGACATCGGGCATGAGTCACAACAGATGGAAGTAAGGCTGGTCGCCCGGACTTCCATTATTCACGCAACCTCTGTACGAAATTTTCGGGCAATTGAGCATAAGGAACGGAGATACCAAAGCAAGGGAGTTTTCATGGATTGGGCATTGGATATTACTGTGGCACGCCGGGAGTTGAACCCGATTTTGTCTTTTTACCAATTTGACATACGAAGAAGCATCACTGTGGAAAGAGCATGGGCAGACTGGCACACAAGCGTTTTCATTTCATTTTACTTTCCCTTTGTCAACCCTGGATCAAGGACGGATATGCATGGATTGTACTACTTCTGAGGTCCTGGCTACTGTCCCAGCCTCATGTTTCCGACTATTTCCAAACCATCTTGAATGGCCTGTCACAACAAACTCTCAGATAGACACAGAAAGAGAAGGACGCGAGTCTTGTGTGTACCAGCAGCTCCTATTGATAGTTTAGCTTTCGGGAGGTTGGTCAGTTATCGATTGTGGTATCGCAGCCTATCGATACTTTGATGGATCTAAATTTATCCCTGAAAGGGCAAATTCAAAAATTACCATGAAGCTTTTTTCCCCCTTTCCCCTAATGACCATTCCATTGTCTCTGTGTCTGGTGATCTTTTCAACTTCATCTGAATGTCTCGTTCTCTTGCGATGTCTCGGTGCCCGGTACCATAGTCACTTCACCCATAACTATTTCCTACCCAGAAGAGTCGATCAACAAACGGAGGCATTTGCTGGGCCATGAGATCGCCCGTACGGTGCGTCCAATGATGGTGGAACTGGTGTGATCTACACAGCCTCGGAGAGAGGGCCCTCCCCAATCAAGCGTGACGTTGGAGGCGGCGGCTTAGCAAGTTCAACTGAGGATTAGCTGCGGACGAAACAGTGGGGCAGCAGACGGGCCGGCTCTCTCCCAACTTGTCGGTTTGGGCTCATTAGGCCTGTCAGAAGCCCCTGCAATTTTTGAGATTCTTGATTCCTTCGGGTACTGCGATGTCCTCGGTAGATTTCGTCCCTTCAAGTCACTCCGGGCCAAAAAGGGTTCCTTCTCCCTTGGCGGAACTTTTGATACCTGGAAGTTCATGGGTGTCATCGCTCATTGTCCGGAGAATGGAGCATTTCTTATCATCGCGCTGCCGGAAGGACAGGTGGTGTTACGCCAGTCTTTTTCGTCTGCAAATTCATCCACAATGAAGCGCGATGCAGTAGTCTGGCATCTCCCATCGACTACTACTGCATGCCACGGCAATTATCTGCCGAAACCCTTCTTTCCTGGGATCACCAGCCGTGTTTCGTCATGCATCACGCGCATCTATCATTTCGCTGCCCGCCGAAGTACTGTGCATGCATAAAACCATTCCGACTCGCTATCTGCTGAAGAACCCAAAGTCTTCTCTTGTTGATTTGACGGACCTGGCAGCACTTGTTGGTTCTGCCACGTTGACCATCCCGATTCATCGTCTTCCACCGTCGGGTCAATGTCAGGGCCAGATCTATGAGCCCACCAACTGCACATCATCGTTGGTATTGCGACGACACACTTTCCCCCAATCTTTGCCATGTGCTGTAAACCTGTGATGTCCTTTCCCCTCCCCTGGGGCTGAGCCCCCCTGACAAAAAGTCCTATTCCGTCAATGAATATTTTCCACGTCGCCAAAAAAGACATATCCTTCGCCCGACCCTCCCGAAAAATCCTGGTGTCTTGTACCAGACGAGCAAGAGAAGGAACGGTGCTGCTGGATCTCCGTGGGGTTAGGGTGGCGATGCAATAAGAACAGCAGTGCAGAAAAGAGCTTCAACCGGTGAGCCCTCTTTTGAACGGCTGCATGAGATTTGTCTCCAAAGGCTTTCGACCAATCATTTGGGTTTTTACCGATCTAAAATTTCAATGGCAGGCTATTTCCTCTAAACACGTTATCTGATGATGACGTGAAGCATTAAGGTATGCTGGTTCAGTGTACTCTGCCACTAACACTACCTACAAAGCACTTTCGAAACAAAGTCAGACTGGGGGTGGCTAAAATGTGTGCAGTACAGCCACTGGCTGCGTCGCTGGTTTTTCTTCGTGTGCTCGACTCAATGTCTAGATTCTTTCACACTCTTTGTTGTCCCGTTTCGCAAGATCCGATCCACTTGGTGGTTCTAGACTCATTGATAACGTCTGATATCTGACGTGAGAAGGATTTTTCCGTCACGACCATATCTCTCGGCCCTATTTTCATGCAGGGAAATGCAGCCACCCGTACCTATGCAAAGGGGGCCTTGTTTCACGACGATCACCATGGGCCAACCCTCGATGGAAGGGATTGGAGTGTCCTCCCCTGCATCCCTCGTTTTTGATCATTTTCTGAACCAACAGGGCTCCACGTTTTGGTTCTACAGTCTCCGATTTAACACTGAACTTGATCGATGATAGGTTGATTTTTATACCAAGACCATCGGCTTCCTCAACCGCCGTGTCGCATCGGACCTTTGAGGCTTCCCCCTCCCGACCTCTCCTCGAACTACATTCCTCTTGGCTCACCGCAGTCCACTTGAGAGGTCATTCTTAAAAGGGTGCTGTCCGACCCTTCGGACAATCGTTCTCTCACAAGGGCCAACTCTGTCATATACTCTCCGGGAAAGGAAAACAGCTGAGGTATTGCCTGCCGACACCGACCTACCTCTCCTCCTCTTCCCCCGCCATTCTTCAATCCACCTCACCGGCCCGTCCATTGAGATAATCATTCTGATATTGGGTTGTCTAGTGTCACTGACTTGGAGCAAGTGGCTTTGAGTTCCAAATCGTCACCATGGCCCCAATTGCTGCTGTTCTCTGCGGCAAACAGCCACCTCTTGCTCAATTCATGATCAAGAATCTTGCACAAAAGATTGAGTGTGAGTTTTAGCTTTCAAAAGTTCATGTTATCAATCTACACGATCACCACTGACCGAGCCTTATAGTGGTGATGGTCTGCACCAGCGTCGACAGCGCAGTGTCTGAGATCCCCGCTCTTCTCAAGGGCGAATCCGTCACCCCATCCTCCGGCCTGGGGAGTAACGCCGAAGGCGCGGGACGCTCCGACGTCTCTCTCATCATCGTGGGCGGAGGATATTCCCCAGCCGATCTTGAAGCAATCCGCTCCGCAGTCGATGCCGTCAAGCCCCTGGCTTTCTTTGTTGCTGACACCAGCAAGAGCCCACCTGGCGCCACGGGCCCGCCTCCCCCAGATGTCATCAAGAAACGAATAATGGATTGCATTGAGGGCCAGGAGAAAGGCGAGGGAGAGTTTGCTCCTGGTGTCTACATGTACTGAACTCTCGGACAGAAAGGGACAGGGGCGAGCCGAGGATGTGGCCCTCCGCCATGGGGCCTACCTTGGCCTTTGAGGTCCAACATTGACCGTTTAAGTGTCCGGTGGCGAATGTTTTGACGACGACTTACCGCTTACCAGTGTAAGAAGCTCGATCCCACCAAGGTATTTGGTATAGGACCAATGACATCTACCATACCCTCATTTAGGTGAGGCTCCAGAACCCAATTGATTGATTCTCTTGAGTGGTGGGTGTCGAGTTCCTGACTAGGTGGTACTGTGACTGCATTTCAAAACTGCCCGATCTGGAAACCTCGCAAGAATTTCCATTTCGATGCAACAACAAATCACAAATGATTGGTCTTCTAGGTTTTGGCTCTTCAATTAGCGGGAGAAATCATGCCACGGGACCACACATTAGAAAGATTAGCTTATCCAGCGCATTCAAGGTCTGTAAAAATGGACCATTAGCAATGCCGATCAGGACCCGTGCTGGAAATACCATAATGAAAGTCTGGTCGTTGGTGATTCATGCTTACCATACAAGGGACTATTCTATATTTGGGAGAGTCCAACAAGCCCCCTCATGTTGAGTTGAAGAATGTTGCAATATATCCTCTAAGGGGAGGGCAGTTTCGGGAACGACTGTACCTGAAGGTGAGAGACCATGCACCTTTTTAACGCTGGAGCTCAGATTAGTTATGACAGATGACCATAACCTTCTAAGCACCAACTACCGCCTTGTTCACCCCTTTGACGCTTCCAAACCCGGAGCTATCTCCCTGGCAATATCGTTCGTCCGGAACTCCGAAGACCTTTGCGAGCCCGACGAGACCACGATTTTCTGTGGTCGTCGCTGTTGATTTCAAGATCTAGACCACACACCCAAGTGATACGTACAAGGAAAGAACTCAGGGCTTAAAATGAGCCTACGCCCAGAGGACCCGTAAGAGCACACGGGACCCGAAAGGGCAATCTAAAGAGCGTTTGCTTGGGAGCCGAAAAGAGCCCAAAACGGCCTCCCAAGGAATGAGCACAGATCTAGAACGAGCATGCTCAGGTAATCGAAAAGGAACCCCAGAGTCAAGCAGAAACGTGGAGTAGGGACGAAGCGCGGCGCAAGAACAGCAATGGCGTGCAAATAGCCAGAGAAGTCGACGATTCGAGCCAAACCGCCATGGCACGGCGTTCTACGCTGTCTTATACTGTACATAGCCATAGCTGAGCCGCCTTCCCTAAGCTACTGCACCTCTCTCCGACGACTCTATGGAAGAACGACAGCTTGGGGTGCGTATAGCGCTTTGGCTCATTTATCTTCCAATTTTACGGTGGCAAGGGAGCACAGACGTTACCCATGGATACGGAGTCCGGCTGGCTCGGCCCTAACTGCAGCCCGCCACTGCCTCAGCCAATTTCGTGGACGAAGGACGACTTCATCTTCATCCTGGAGCGGTATCGGACCCAGTTCACGTGCTGCCTGTAACCTACGAAAGCAGGTGAGACTCCATGTTTCTATTGTTTTGTGGACATTACACTCATGCTCTTATAATCTAATATCCTCATATTTTCATGCACCGATATCGTTTCAGAGTGCTGAAGAGCAAAATAGCCCATCTGTGTTCAATCGAATACGATCAAATCAGCTCCGCACTGTCTTACCACCCCTCAAAGACACTCACGACAACTTCACGCTTCCCTCACGACGCCTTTGCCCTTTCCATCCGTCTCCTCTTGCCCCCACGACGCCTGTCTCATTCATCTGCCTGCACTCCCGGAGTCGTCTGACCGCACTCCTGGAGGGTAAATGCTAAGATATAATATCCTAGGCATTTCATGTGAGACTTGTTTTTCGTGAGAAATGGGCCAAATTCGGTCATCCGCAGAAATGGCCCTGGGTTTGACTTTCCCGATGATTTTGCTTTGGCGTTCAGGGTTCCTGATACATGACATATTCCTCGCCGAATGTCGCCAACGTTAAGAAAACCTCGTCCCTATCCTGCGACACCAGGAGACGTCTAGAATGTCAGCTTCCGGAGGTAGGTCTTCTGAATGGGATATGAGCGCTTACGTGAAATTCCCATTAGAGTCGCAGTGATCTGGAAACTGACAAATCCACGCAGCCATCTGTCCAGATTCCTGCATTCGGATATTGCTGCCTTGCCTAACCCGTGCACATGGCTTAACTTCCAAGATTGCCATGACCTGGTTGTCGGGAAGACGACCTAGAAATCCATCCACTCTTGCTTCGTATCCTTTTCCGTTTCTTTTGTTTCCAAGTTGGAATGATTTTCTCTCAAAACTCCAATCCGCCTTTGGGACAAAATGGAATATGACCGCGTTTAGAAAAGAAACTAACGCAACATTGACAATCTGCTCGTCGTCGGCAGAAGGTTGTTGGTTCTTTGTGTCGTTGCTGATCGGAGGTACCGAATCCGGAATGTCAGTTCTGACAGATTGTTGGGTGACCGATGGCAAACTATCGCTGTGGAGAGAGAAGGAGTTCAGCTTTTTCTGAACAGGTGTCAAGAGATTACGTGTGATTATCCGGCTTGGAGACTTCACAGCATTTCGTAGCAGGTCGTTGAATCTGGATCTCGTCCGATGTGCGATTGGAGAAAACTTTGGCATAAAATTCTCATGTTCCGGGTATTTCGTCACCTTCACTTGTTGGTATCGGACTAAGGAAAATGTCCCGAGGTTAGGAAACGCGATCTCGAGATCATCAAGAGACGTCTCCAGGGAATCCAGATAAAGTGTCCACGGCGGAAAAGAGGCAAGAAGACGGATCGCCTCCAAGTAACGCTCGTCTCTGAGCCAAGTTCGTCGCGTATCTTCGTCGGCCAAATCCTTGGCTTTTTTTTCGGTCCATAGGACCCGGAGGTGTAGAAATTGCTTATAGCGAATCTTAGACGCTGACACAAACTGATCTAGGTCGAAAATGGAACCTCCGACCCGCTTGTGTGGTGTGGCATACTGATACCACTCATCAGGAGTCTCGGGTAGGGGTGCATTCTCGTCATGACCCCGGCTCGAGGTCCATGGCAGAAGAATCCATGAGAGGCTACTGCGAGATTGGCGTCTAGCTACAAAGTATCTCCCGTGAGTTGGAGTTGTTGCACCCAAAAACCGCGGGCTGCCGCGCCAAGACTTGCCCCTGCCAACAACAAACACCCCACCAACACAACGAAATTCTCCATCTCCCAACTCGCCATATCCGGCCAAATCTCTCTTATACCTGGCAATGAAACATCAACACTGGACAATCCACCTATTCCGCCGTGCTCTCTCCTCAATTTCGGCCGGTCGTGGTAAGCGCGAATCCGCAACAATGAACGAAGACCATCCCTATCTCCATGTCGCCTCTTTGCTTCGGAAGATTCATCGTCATCGTGGACCATATCTTAGCCCGGATGATCTGGAGAGTCTCGGCATTAAGGTGTCCGGCATGGATATCAAAACCGGGGCACCAACGGACTCGGGACAACAATTCTGCACTCTGTATCCAAGCAAAAAATTTGACAAGCTCTTTGAGAAAGTATCAGCCAAACATTTTCAAGATTTAGACGAGGGGTGTGTCTACAGTACAGCGTTTGGGATTGGAACAGAGCTGAATCACTGTTTACGAGAAATGGGAGTGTTTTATTGCTGGGACCCCTCAGAACGGATCATTGCGTACTGCGTTCGATCGTGAGTGTCCAGCTTTTCGATAAATGACTTATACTTATGTCCTCGGAACAGAAGGAACAATTCAATAGTCGAGCAACGGCTGGGTAATGGTGGCAGGTACCAGGGAGAGCCTGAGTTTCAAGCCAGAAACATTTTCGAACCGTACAGAAAGTCCATTCCTCATCGAGGATGCTCCGTATTCGATACAGCTGTTTCAGACGAACGGTTGCGGAAGAGTGAAGTGTTCTGCGCCGCCGGTTTGATGGCAGCAAGGTTAGGAAATGCCGACAAGACGGGTGACCGCATTGTGCCTGTAGGCATCTACCCCGGCAACCGACTTGATACTAATTATGGTGAAAGGTGTTCATTTACTCTTTCTCCGGCTACCAGGCTCGTGTGATTCAAGCACATTACGAACATCCTCGCTTCATCATCCGGAAAACAGAAAATATTGAGTTTGAAGATGGGTCAGCCGACGACTTCAAACTAATGCTGCGGTGGATGATGAACATTCCAAAAGGGGATGTCAAGATGCCTCATGGAGAATCGAAATGAAGTTATGTAGGAATCATTGGGCGGACCTGAGGATGCTACAACATGGTGGTGGTGCTTCTAATCGAGTTCTCCATAGAATGGTCCCGTCAGACATGCCGTGTCCTGACAAAATTAACCTACGACAGTCGCGCTCCAGGGGCACTGTTTCTCAGGGAAAAGGGACAGGACGACACACCTGTACAGATACACTCACCGTTCAGGCCCTGACTGCAGGAGGCAAGCACGGAGTCTTGTATGCTAGACGCCAGATTGTTCGCCGAACACAGAAGTCTCGCCCTACCTGATGGCTCTCATTGCTTGCCTCGGTTCACTTTCTAAGCTACTACCATGAAATAAACTTTGCTTGGTGAACACAAAAAGAAATGTGAGCCCGTCCGCAGGCTTCCCAGAGTCTTGGCGAAGATGTAACCTGATTGACGGCGATAGGGCGACTTGAGCATCATACTCACGGTTACGACCCCCTTCCCCCCAATCCCAGCACGGAATAAAGCAGGATTTTGTCAACACCCCGGTAATTTTCGATCGGAATAGCAGCAACGAACAGAGACATGGCAAGAGAATATTTCTGAGTCTTTCATCAATCACGCTCTGCGAGGCATGGGGAGTGTGTGCGTGGTGTGTTCGAAGTACGCAGGCGCTTTCCATGTTCGATCGTCTAGGGCTGGATCATTCGCCAGAAGGATTCGCGTATCTTGGATTGATTTATACTTGGAGATCAACCCGGAAAACTCCTCGACAAGAGTAGCCACATCTTTAGCACCGACATCCGGCTCTTCACCAAAATAAACCAGCCCTATTTTTGCGTGGCGATAAACTTTAGGCATGAAAAATACACGACGGCTTCATGAATCGTCATGAAATTTGATTGATGTACACCGCGCTAGCCCAGAGTGACCTGTATCAATCTGGATGCTGTGCTCTTTTGAAGACCGCGTGGAGATTGATGGTTATGTCGAGAGATCTACCATTTGCAGAGAATTGACACCATGTCGTCAAGATCGCCCTAGACATAAGAAACTGCTTCATACCCTGGTTGATGCTCCAGTTCTGCGGTGAAGACTCGAATGGAGACAAATTCATCTCCTATGCCTGGTGCCATTTCTACAGCCCAGCAGCACTGACTGCACAGAAAGTCGACGGGAAGAATTACCGAGCAGTTCACGAGGGCAAGACTGTGGCCTGTCTTATCAGTGCGCAGCGAGTCTCGCTGCATATGGCCTGGCCAATATCGGTTGCATCTGTTTCAAGTTGTGGTTGCAGTTCGGTATAGCGCCTCCCAGAGAAACCCCATTGCGGGCTCTGCCACACGATATCGAGATGGGACCTCCACTGGAATTGTTTGTCAGGACTCTTGAGCAGTCATGGTCGTAAGGCCCCCTCCCCCTCCCCCGCGGGCCCACGGTAACATTGGAAGTCAGCATTTCAATTTCAGTTCGAACAAATCGGGCCATAAGACCCAAAATTTGCCCTACCGTGCTGAGGCAGGCCATTCAGGACTCTGTTGCCTATCAAGCTGGTTCTGATCAAACTCGAAATGTCCAGCTCGAGTGTCTAGGTCTCTTGCAGTATGCTCCTGCCTTCCCTGCAATATCCATATTTGCTTCAGGTGCCTGTCGCCGCCATTGAGCCAGCTCGACCGCGCCAACACCCCTTCCATTGATACGGACACATGTTGCTATTGATAAGGTGGCTTTGGCGGCGACGTCCTTCCAATGATTGATTGGGGAAGGAGGTTTCGATCTCTCCTTGTTCAACGCAGCCTTACTGGAACCGATGAGTATGTCGGTTGTTTGTGTGTCATCGGACGCTGCCCGCCTTGCCACTTGGTCTCGTACATCTCATGTGACTTGTCGTACAACGGCCTTGGCAAAATCAGTCAATTTTTATTCCCTGTCTGCGAACTCAGCTTCTCTTCCAACTCGGTAGTGACCGAGCCTTGGATCCGCTCGCACATCCCTCAAGTCCAATCAACACACGCAGCCTAGTCTTGGGTTTGGAGATAGGTACCCGCCGAAAACATGATTCTCTATTGTACGAGGCTGCCAAAGGTAAGCGGCGTATAGGAATGATCTATGGTAAGATATCCTCCCACTTCAAATATATAAACATCCTTTCATCCTGGACCGATGACAACTTTCTCTTATCCAGAAATCAGAACTTTGAGAGTCAAACGATCCTCTTTCCCTTCAGCAAGCTTTTTCATTGTCAGTGATTCAACCCTCCACAATGCCTGGCATCACCGTCCAACCTATCAGTCCCTCCAAGCCCGAATTCGGAGCTCTCCTTCATAATGTCGACTTGGACAATTTCTCGGATGTAGACTTCGACATTCTCCGTGATGCTCTGTACACCCATAGCGTCATCTGCATCAAATCACAATCGAACCTCACTCCCAAGGGACAAGCTGAGCTTACCCGCCGCTTTGATCCTCAAGCAATGTCATACGGCCATGGCAAAACCATCGATGCCAAGCGTTCAATTCTCCACCCTGATCTGAAAACCGTCCCTCACCAGCCCGAGGTCCAGGTGATTGGAAATGGTTTTGTCCCCGAATACGAAGGCTTGAAGAACATCACTCTCAAGCACCCTCATCATCGAACATTCCACCAAACCTTCATTCCTGATGAGCAAGACCTTGACTTCACCCGCTTCTATCGCTGGCACATTGACGCCGCCTTGTACGGCGGCCTTCACCCACCATTGGTCACCACTCTTCTCGCAGTCAAGGTCCCAGCAGGCAGAACCCAGACCCTCCTCTACGATGATGGAAGCAACGATACTCTCCCCGTCCCTCTTGGCACCACGGCTTTCGTATCCGGCTACACCATGTTTGACAACCTCACCCGGGAGCAGAAGGAGTTCGTAATGACCTCCAAGATTGAATACGCTCCGCACCCTTATGTCTGGATCTCGACTGCAAAGTCTCGCCCAGATGGCCTCGGCATGGTCTCCGAAGGCAAAGAAGTCCCCATCGAAAACCTTCCGCCTATTGGGGACCCATCCGATATCCAGATCCTCCCCATGGCATGGCGCAATCCGGTCACGGGTAAATTTGCCTTACAGATCCACCCCTCCGTGGTGCGCAAGATCCACCTACGCGACGGCGGTGTGATTGACGACTTGGCCCGGGTCAGGGAGATCGTCCATGACCTACAACGACCCGGAATCGCCCCTGAACTTGTCTACGCCCATGATTGGGAAGAAGGTGATTTGGTTCTGTTCAACAACCATGGCGTCTTGCACAGTGTCGTTGGTGCCTTTGGCGAGGGAGAAGTCAGGTTGTTCCGCCAATGCAACTTGGCCGCGAGCCGACCCCCTGTTGGGCCGGAATAAGTTGTTGCCGCTTGATTGCACAATTCCAGCTTTTGATTCTGGAGCTTGGTTGTGGCTTGTTTCGAGTTCTTGCGTGAGCGATATGTTGGGTCCAGCATGAGTAGAGCCCATATAGATAGACAGAACTCTTCTTCTAGTTTTCCAGCCAGCTCTGCGTTCTGAACGATATGAGACAGGGAATAAATGAAGCAATTTCGACATACTCCATACTCCTTTTATTACATTTATCTTCGTTACACTCTAATCTTCCAAGATCAGTGACAGCGGAAACCGCTCCTTAGCCAGGGCAGCCTGTATATTTCTGGACCCTGATTAAATGGACCAAAGGGATTTGACGATCCTGATACGATCGGCAAAAGAAGTATGTGAGTTACTACAGACGGAATTGGACCGACTTCAACTCTCTATTCTGGTGACGGGCTTTGATTAACGACACGATTGGCACACTAACGGCTCGATCATAGATTGCAGGCAAGGCAGAAACTCCGCTTGGGGGGTATATTTGGCTCCCAGCACGAATGGAGCGTACGTCGAAAGAATTTCCGAGATTAGAAAATTGTTCGAGTCCACAAATCATGAGCCACGTCCGTGTATGACCATCAGTACCGAATGGGGAGGATTTGGCGACGAACTATCGGTCTTTCAGACCACGGAATTTGATGACGCAGTCGACGAGTCTTCTATTAATCTTGGTGGTCCACGCTTTGAAAAGCTCATTTCTGGAAGTACCTGGGGGAAATCCTACGCAGAGCAATCTTTGGGTGGATGGAACGAGCATCCCCGAAAGGACAAAAGTCATTCGGCATGGATACTGCGGTGGACTCATTCTTATCAAAAGCTGCTCTTGGGAATGCGTTGGATTGCCAGAACATGTCCACGATTGATACGAAAATCATCCAAGTCCTGGCAAGCACTGTTGGGAGAAGATCTGCAATCCCCGGAATGTCTCTGCCGAAGAAGCCAGCCGTAACTCTCAGTAGGAGAGGAAATAGCTAGGAATCAGCACGCTCATTTTAGATCAAGATAAGATGTGCTCAAGTACAAGTAAAGACTTTCATGGGGGACTTGGAAATGGCGAGGTAATTGATATCGGTTGGACGACCCACTTGTTGAACCCTTCCCTGAGTTCGTGGAGATCATGCGGAGGAGATTGGCATGCAAGGCGATGCACAGATACGGTTCGGACTGGCAAAAGATGAAAGTGGTGTTGGCCCGGCTTTGGCTGCTGTGACGGCGGCACGAAGTGGATACAATAGTCCAAGGAGGTGAGCCAGGAGCCCACTGTTGGGGTGCCTTTGGAAAGAGGTCTTGGTGTAGTTGAGGCATCAGCGCTGAGATAAGTTGTCTGCCACCGACACAGACTTGTAGGGACAAAACATCCGAGGGTCTCGCGAGGGCGAGACTTAGCCACCTTCGTATCTGATAGAGGTTCCTGCGAAGAGTCCAAATCGCAAAATTTCGAAGGCATACGATGGTATCCTTGACATTCGATCCAAACCAAGGAGGAATATGACGTTGTCCCTCGGAAATATGGTCTTTTTGGGCAAGCATATCTTCCTCAAATTGACGTTCGTTTCGTTCCCAACACTAACCGTGGACCTATAACTTTCAGATACCACCGTCCACAGATGGCAAAGACTAGAGAGGCGTTCAAAAACAAATTCACGACTTTGTTGGCCGTTGTCCCCCCGAAATTTTACCTCTGGCAGCCTCATATTCTACCTTTAGTCAGCAGATCAGATCTAGAACGCCCAAGACTCGTAGGGGGCCCTTGAAAGCCGCCGGTGATCAGGCCCACTCCGCATTTAGCTAGTTGAAGGTTCATGACAAATCTCCCTTTTCAACTGTGATACTGCTTGCCCCACGTTGCATCTCCCACAAGAGGGCTAGCAAAATCACAGTCCAAAAAGCACGGTGAATCACGGCTTTCGACATTGGCCGTGTCCAGGACAACAGAGACGCACTCAACGAAGCCTTCGGATAAAGCGGATATGCCTCTCCGCGACCACTGAGCCTATTGGAAAGGTGCCGTATCGTGCATCGTATTTCGTATGAGGAAGGATATTCTGGAAAATATGTAACAATAAACGAATGTGGGACACAGACGGCTAAGAGATAACCCCGGATCAAGGCTCGATCCCCACATTTCCACTATGACGTGGATGATATCCTGGCATGTCTTACCTTATCTCAAGTGATTGGAATATATACCTTGCTCCCACTGGGAAAGTCAGAAGTAGGTATGTGAAAAAGCGTAGGGACAAGTTGAAGCAATTCATACCGAATCCACATTGAACCAACCGACCCGAACATGACTCAAAACGGCTCTGGTAGTCCTCAATATGAGCTCTACTATAATCCTTTCTCAATCTGCTCGCTCATGGTTCTATTGACATTGCGCTTGAAAGGCGATCCAAAATCCCTTTCTGACGCCGTCGAACCGGCGGAAAAAGAAATCGACATCTATACCGGCGAGCAGATGACGGAAGAGTTTTTGGAGAAGAATTGGAAAGGCCAGGTAGGGACAAAAACCTTTTCGAAACGAAACAGAATAACCATTCCGAGAACTGACAAGACTGCTGCTCGTATTTGTCCAGGTTCCTGTTCTGCTCTCCCCGTCTCTCTCCGTCCAGCTTACGGACAGTCTCGACATCACCAATTACCTGGGTGAGAAGTACCCTGGCCTGGCGCCTAGTGCACACAAAGAAACCATTAAAGCCCTCTTGGACGAACTTCACAATGTCAAGTATATCACGTTGTCGTTCAAGGCAGAGGAGCGCCGCGCCGAAGCTATCATCAACGCAATTCAGACCTTAGTCGCTGAACCGACTTCTTCGGAGAAGTACAAGGCTGCGTTGAACAAGAAGCTCCAATAGTAATGGGCCCCCTTTTCCTTGCCTTCAACAAATTCTGTCCCGATCAGCACTCTCGATTTCCCCGATATCTATGAGTTCTTTTTGCTAATACCAATCGGCAAGTCTCTTGAATACGTACGGAGCCAACCCACATTCACCCGAGGAGACAGCCAAAGAAGAGAACAAATCGCGCATCTACCTGGGGAAAATCAGCAAAATAATCGTGAGCAACGGTGGGAAGCCTTCGAGCGACGGACGGGTCTGGATTTTCGGCGAGGCTACTGGCCCCACGGCATTGGATGCTCACACAATCGTGTTCATTGCACGCCTTCTCGACGCGGGTCGTGCAAATTTGATCGGCGACGACATGCTTCAATGGGGTAAGAAGCATTTGGAATCAAAGGAGTGGCAGGGGATCGTGCAGGGCCGACCTACCTTGCATAATCTGTGGGAGAAACAGCAAAAAGAGAAGGCGTGAGCTTTTGGCTGGTACTTCCCTATCTTGTCCTATTCAGGACGAGCAAGTTGGGATAGGATTGCGATGTGGCACTTTCGACGCCCTGGAAATCTTCAGCATTTACTTCTGGACTTTTTCTGGACCTAGATCCATCTGCTTTAGACTTTCTTATGGTCTGTGAAACTTCACTAAAGCTGAACCAATTTTGATCACCCAGCTTTCAGATGTTCGAAGCAATTCAGGGCACAGACACGTTGCCTTTAGGCTTTCAGGCCCCCATTCAGCCTTGTCCTTTGCCTAGCCTTTGAGCTAGTTAGGTTGTCACAACGACCAGATGGCGGGGGAGGCCTTGCAGTAGCGTCAACCTTCCAGCTTAAATGTACGGGAAGAGGCTATGCTGTGGCGCATGTCCGGATTTCTCCTAGTGATGAATGGTGCACTCTTGGAATACCCTATTCCTTCGGACCGAGAACTCGGGATTTTCTTTTCTTTTCCTTTTTTTGTTTTGAAAGTTATGAGCTGGGGGCGAGTGATGAAATACGTGAGAGAAAGGAAGGCACGGGAGACGAGAGAGGGCGGTACTTTTCTCAGCCTTTGGCCGAGAAGAGCCAGTTGAGTGCCAGCAATCTGGCTCCTTGCCTCGAGTTAGAACAGAATGGGAATGGTAGTAGGGTGAGAGATAGGAAATATGTATCATGATGACTGGCTCGCTGAAACTTTCGCTAGAACCGCTGGGCGCTGGCAAAATGTCTTTGTAGACCAGAGCCTTGGGACATCGGAATTCGACAATTGAGCCAAAGCTACATTCAACGGCAACCAGTGCCACACAAAAGTCGTTACAAGCCAACACCAAAAACTCCCGTCGCCTGGTTCCAGATTCCTCCTCGTTCGTCATAAGATGTCGACCCTAGGGGCAATGATCCGCGGGCAATAATCTGATTTCAACCAGATCTCCATAAATCTTGACATTTGCGCGAAAACGTGACCCATCCAATGTAATTGATCAGTGGTGTTGGTATATCAATTCTCGGTGGTGCAAGTTGAGTCGCGCTTACGTCCACAATTCGGACAGTACTCATTGTTTGCTATGCTGTGAGGACCATCTCCGCAGTTACCGCAAAACCACTTTTCAGGACGTGATCTCGTCCCCTTAGGAAGAGAAGACAGATCTGGAGGATCCCAGACTATTTTCGGCAAGTCGTAGCAGGTGCTTTGATGTCGCTTCACTGGTTTCTCCTCGAAAGAGTCCGATGGTAGCCATTCATCATGAGGGTGGTTGGTTGGCGAAGTGTGCCCCTTGTAGCTGTGGCCGAAACTGCGACCCAAGGCGTCAGTGCCTTTAGCATGGACAACCACTGGCCCGGACTTACCACATGATCGGCTGGGTACTTAGTGATGCTCTGATACTGTAATAATGTGGGTGACGCTCAGGAATTCGACGGAGAATTGAAATATAAGTTGAAATCAGCTGAGAACCGTGGACCGACTCTATTTATCTCCCAATTCAGAGATCCTCCTTCTCCGAGACCGCTGAGGAAATTGACCTCACCAACACAAATCTCTGAGGTACAAGGGAGGCTGTGTGAAATGTAATGAAGAGACGTTAAGTGACTTAGCTTCGTTTTTGAGACTTTCTCAGCCAGTAGAATGCGTTTTCCTGGCTGGAATCGACTATGCATTCTCTCGTTCCCGGGGCCAAATGGTGGCGCAGGATAGAATGTGGAAAGAAAAGTGATAAAGGCGACGACATAGCTTGCTAGACGGATCCACATGAGACAGCAAAAAAGGAGAGAGAGAGGGAGGGAGAGAGGCCTCTGCTAGGGCGATTGGAGTGGCCTTTGCCTTTTGCATCGGCAACGACGGATCAGAAGGCTGAAACAAATTTTCTCAAATCCGTCATCGAATTTAAAAATTCCCATCAAACCATTGGCGCACGCTGCCAGGGTACAGACAATTGATTTCTTTTGATCCGTATATTTTTTCGCCAGGAAAAGGAAAAAGCGCATCACATGAGTCATGCAGCATGCGAGTCTTTTCAATCCTCGACTCTGATCCTGTCGGACAAGATAGAGTTACGCGAGGCACCAGGTTAAAGGGCTTTTCGAGTCCATGCCGTGCATGTCCGCCTTTTTAAGGCCGCACAGGCAACCGCCTAGCACAGAACACATGACAAAACATCATAACGTACCAGCGATCGGGAAAACACAGCCATTGATAGTATAGTGGGCAAACATGAACACTGCCTCATGAAAGGCTTGCACGATGCGATTGCCGAAAATCAAAGTCCGCGGTCGTGGATTTGCTAGACGATGTGCAACGGGGCGCCGACCGTGTTAGTGGTTAATGAAATCATCACGGATGGCCCGATGCAATCTGCTCGTCATGGACGACAGCTGATTGATGCATTTATGGAGTTGAGAATCTGTGGGAGGCTGGAGGAGTGGGAGATGCAAGCCACATTGTGAATGGCGGTAGGTGGACAGGTGGACGGATGTACGGGCGTTGTTGATGGTTGCGAGTCGGAAATGGGTCATCGTAAGAAGCTGTCTTGATTCTGTCTGGCCTCTTGGTCCAAACATCTTGGTTTCCGTCCGTTTACGCGATCTGCAATTTCTTCGTAGGAAAGATGCAGAGTCAAGGAGGGGAAGGAATAAGCCAAAAGGAAATAAATCGGCCGCCCTGTGTAGACCGCTGTTGATTGGCCATCTATCCTCTCCCGTCATTGGCAGACATGGAGTTGCCATAGCACACTAAAGGGAGCCAACTCCCGAAGCATACATTTCGATATGTGTGCCCATGCCCCAGATACTTCTGTTCCAAGGACCGAATGAGGAGCCTGGTGCTGCATCATGTCGGAGTTCGAGATTGAGTGGGTCAAGAGTGTCCAGAGAGAATACATCGGGTCCATAGAAGGCGCATAAGGATTCGTCCTCATGCTTGTTGCAAGTCTGGCATCCAGTAAGAATTTTAAAAAGAAAAAAGAGAAGAAGAGAAACAGAAAGGGAAGGGAAAGGAAAGGAACAAGTTTGGGTTGGGAAATACTCCGACCCAACGGGGGGCAATCAAACCTTCAGTACCCATGTGGATTCATGCTTCGCAAAGACCATCTCTCTCATAATGGAGTCAAACACTCTCATAACAGTTTGTTACCTGGTCAGTGCAAACCATGGTTCAAGCGAAACATGAACGAAGGCCGCATCATAGGCCCATGGCCGGGTTCATCTCTACACGCCCAAGTCGTACTTGAATATTGTTGAACAATTGGTGACCTATCGTTCGCAACAGACCAACTCGTTCTGTGACACTCGCTCACTAGGCTGTATCCGATAGGCAACAGCGTTGACGTACGCCGTGTAGATAGATATATAGACGGGCTCTATCTTGCGCTCGTTAAGAGAGCCAGAGCACTCCTTCGATTCAAGTTGCGCGAGAAGTTTGACAAATATCGTCGATTAGAAGATGTCGAGTACAAGTTGCTGCCGGAAGCAAAAGGAGATCGAATGGTGTTCTTTGGAAATAGTCTTACTGCAAGCCAGGAAAGTGACAAGATAACAATAGCTGATTCAAACAACGTGATATTCCAGTGTGTTCCACATTGGAGGGGCCAGACAGCGAGACGAATAACACTGCCGAATCTGTCATCGTCTCGTCTGCCGAGCAGGATCTCGGAGGTTGATCAGATAAATACACTAAGAATAAGACTACGGACGCTCATCCAGACTCCCAATTCCAACGTCATTGGGCTCGTAGATGTTTGGCATGTAAATCATCTGCGCCCAAATTATCCGAATTGTGATCATCTGCCGTTGTCGTCCTCGTCCTCCTCCTTCAGGTCGGCTTGGATCTTATCTCTAATGAACCTGAAAAGGTATTCTGCTGGTGTGAAGGCATGCCCTCCATTTCTGGGTGTTCCCCAAAATATCCCCACCAACAAACCCTGTTCATCCATGATCCAAGAGCCGCTATCCCCATCCTTCGCAAAGACGCCACTGCCATTAGGAGAGTCGATGACAAAGTACTCTCCATTGGGCTTCTTTCTTTAAATTCAGCACGTTTGCCGTTCACATAGCCAACGGTGTAGCCTGTCGTCCTTCCTCGCTTGAACACGCGTAGCCTATCCCATGTCTCCGGAACTCGCCAGCTTCTTATCCCCAAGTAATTTCGGGGGCTCGGCGGCACTGCCTTTTGCCAGAGGTTGGAGGACATTTTGGTGGAATGTATTATTTACCTTGACATTAGGAAACACTCTTGTGATTGCCCAATCCTCTTTGATGTAGTCGGAGTGGTACGGATCCAGTTTGGGTTTGGCCTGGGGTTGTCGCCAGGTACCGCTGGAAACCCAGACCGACGCCATTGCGGGTTCTTTCGTGATATTCTTTGTGTTGTCAAGGATGCCTCGTAGAAGTTGAATGTCTTTGCTCGATGCTTCTTTGAGCCTTTTGATGATATCTTCCGACGTTCCAGTCGCTGCTACTAGTGCTGCTACTGGCTCTTGTCTTTCCATTCTGTCCAGTTGTGTTGATAAGTATGTCGATGTTTTGATTGAGTCTTCCAGATCCGTCCTTTGTGTTCTCACGGATCATGATCCAGAAATTTGGTCAATTGTGGGAAATTTTCAAATCCAGGAAGCATGTTCCTTTTAACGAGTTTGCGAAATTTGATCGAGAGTTCCAGAACCTCGTACGAAAGTACCTGAAAACGTTCGGTTGTAATATTTTGATCATCAGCCGCACAGTGACATTTCTCGCACAAGCCCTGGAAACACGATCTCGTAATTCATCTTCCAGGCTCCTGTTGGCACTCCAATCCACGGACTGGTGAAGTTTGTCCTCGCCCTTTTCATTGTCGTCAGGTCTGAAGACGCGATGGTTACTTACTACATATATCGCTTTCGAGGGTTCCCCTTGAGAGTGATGAAACCTCCAATGGTTCCAGAGCCCTGGAGCTTCAGATTGCCACACGAGGAACCTGGAGTGATTGGCGCATTCTTTCCGAGAAAGCCAAAGCATGAAGTGTACGTTGCACCCTCTTCGATCGCCCCTTCGATAAACTCCATCGGAAGGCCCCAATGTTCTTCCTCGCTTTTCTGCTGCGCATCCTTTTTCAAGTCCTCAGTTGCGGGATTCTTCCCCATGATAAAGATAGTTGATTTGACAGGCTCGCTTGGACCCCAGCTGGACCGCCCGACGCAAGAGATAGACTCCCAATCGAAGTTTTGCTGGTTGAGAAAGCGCTTGACACCAGGGAGCGCTTTGTCATATCTTACGGCCTCTTTACTTGACGAGGAGATGGGGAAGCTCACTCTAGGCAATCCGCTTTGCGACTTGAATCCAAGATCTTTCTCGATGAAGAATTCTTCGTACTGGTTCGTGTCATCGAGGGTTGCTCCAATCCTGCCTGATATAAGCGCGCCGCCTTACAGAGAGACAGCTCCCCTTTGAGGTAAGGAATCTAGTACTCATCCGTAATTTGATGAGGCTCTACTTGGCCAGAACTTTTCTCCGCCCGTGTCAAGGCTGGAGTCCTATGAGACAAGCTTTGTTAGACGACTTTTGTAGCAGGACCACTCTGGTGACGTGTGATCAGAGTGACAGAACTCACAGTCTTCTTAGTCTCGGACATCTTTTCACAAGATTGGAAGGGGGAGGAAGTCAGACGTAACCTTTGTGGTGGTATCAAGAGCCGAAGGCAGATACCAATGGTAATGGCGAATTATTTCTCGAATACACCAGAGTACTTTTCCCGGGAAAGCTGGCACAAAAAGTGATGTAAGTATGACACCTTCCGGCGAGGCTGAGCAAAGTCCTCGATTGCTAAGAGTCATGTCGGTGCCGGGTAGATCACATGGTTATTGGCGCAGCAGACTGCAGTCCATGATCCCAACCTATGATCTCGCCTTGCCCAAAGGCCGTATGATTTGGGCACCAATGCATAGGCCGTTTTACCCTGAAAATAACCCTCCAGTAGCAACTGTCTCGGGCTCGATGACGACAGAGGAGGGAATGCCCAGAGAATATACGCGTCCCTGTCTTCTGTTAGTACTGGCTCCTCTGTAATGTTTTCCTTCCTTTCTTGATTACAGCTCGTACCAAAATGCACAAGTCTTCGTTGATTGAAGCGGAAACTGTTGATTGAATTATCTACAAGAGGGAGCATTTGAGCCGCGAGGCAATCAATCATATCAGCTACTAACCCATACTAGGCTTAGTGGAATACACCTATGCAGAACCCTAGGTTCTTTGTCAACTGCGTCCTCACCGAAGAAGCGTCATGATTTTCTCTACATTCTGTATGCAGAAGGCTTCGTGTAGTATCCGTGAGTCAGTTCCTCGCGAATCCTCCGACAACGCATAGCCAGCATAACCGAGCGCAAAGCAGGAGGAAGCTGCTTGGTCCTGTCCCCAGAAAGCCAACCTTGACCACCGGCGTCTGCGTCTGTACGTATGCCTTCGAACTCGTCTCCCTCTCGGTGAGGCGGAATCTGAATTTCAAGGAAAATAAAGGAGGAAATTGCAAGAGAACCGTCGATGTATACAAGAACCTCTGTACGGGTGCGGCGGGGGCGTCAATCATGACGCACTTTAAACTTGCGAGGCGCATATCAGTCTCACCTCGAGAAGGATTGAGATATACGTCTTATCGAATGCACCCCAAATTTCCGCTCGACTAAAGGTATGCAGCGGGAGACTCAAGAGCGGTTTGGTGGTTCTTAGCTACGTGTGACCTCGACGGCTTTTCGACATGGCAATGTCGATGGGCGAAAGAAGGGGAGGGGAATACAAGCCTTCCGCTGAAATGTTTATTTTGGTAGATTTTGCACGTCCAAGCCGAATGTTTACTTGGGCCTCTATTTTAGTAATCGCATGCGATATTCCGCAGCTATTTTGCGAACAGCATTGTAGAAGACCATGGAGGATGGTGTACGTTTCCAACAATAAAGTAGGTATTATTTGTGGGGGTATCAATTAGTCGAAGTAAGAGCAAAAGCTGAAGTGAACTCGACAAGCAGCCGGAGGTAAACAATGGCAAGATGAACACGCTCACCAGAATGTGATAGCGTGACGTGGAAATGGCCGTCAGATGCATCCAACTAACAGCATAGCAAGGGGGAGAGTAAGAGTGTCCGGCCTCGTGAAACAAGGACCGATGCTCGGTCCCCGGGTTGTGACGGATCGAAGAAAGGTAGATTGTGAATGTGGGAGGACATCATTCCTAACCCACGGCGGATTCCATGGCCTGTGTATCGAGGATCAGGAACCAGCCGATCGGACAAGTGTGGTCCGGAGACTCCATGCGACAGGTTATGCAAGGCGATTTAAAAACTGGACAAGTTATCCAGCCACCCCTAAACAACAATTCCGTCATGCTTCAGTGACAACTATGTCTCATTTTGTCTCTGTGTGGTGATGTTCTTTTCCCTTGTTGAGAATCGCATCAATCAATTCCTGAGAACACTTATTTGCGTTCGGTATTGGATGGCGTCCACTTCCGCTCACAGTTCGGTCTTCCTTTTTAAGATGGTGTGGTAGTGTCATTGTCGAAATATCATTTTTGGCGGAGGGATTTGAGGCGGTCGACGTATCATTGGTGAAAGGATTTGAGGCGGTCGACGTATCATTGGTGGTGGAGGGATTTGAGGTTGTCGACGTATCATTGGTTGTGGAGGACTTTGAGGGTTCTTCCACGAGAGCGGCCTCGGTTAGATGCGCCATCGAGGTGTGCGAAGGAACTTTCTCCAGATTCTTCGATGTGCGCGCGGAGGTTGCTGCCGATGTCACTGACGGACCCGGCGTTGCCATGCCTGACGGGATTATGGAGTTGAACGAAGCGGTCGACGCACGACTCAAACTTGGATTCGGCACGGCACATTCCCTTTCTTTGGTCAAGAAAGGGTGTTCAAGTAGTTGCTTCGCCGTCCACCGTTCTTCGGGTAGCCACATGATCATCTTCTTAGCGAAATCAATAAATAACTCCTTTTCTTCCCCTTTCATTCGTGAAATCGACGATTCAAATGTGATATCATCTGTCACGTAGTCAGGGTGCTTGAATTCGCCTTGAGAGTCGAAGTAATTGGACGTTTTGGCTCCACGTTTGAGGAGTTCTTTCGGTGGGGGCCCCAGAAGGGCGATCATAAGACCCAAATGTTGATCAGGGTGGTAATGGCCGGGCCCCGTCTCAATGGCATCGAACAGACCGAAGGACTCGATTAGATCCCACAACATCACACCCAGATTCCAGATGTCGGCCGGATACGACCATCCACATTGCAAGATGACTTCAGGAGCCATGAATGCGTTGGATTGTATGGGCTTTGTGTTCTTCACATCACCCCAAGTGGCAAGACCAATGTCGGTGATTTTGGCCGATGCTATGACCGCATCCGTCGGAGCTTCGCCAAAATCGCTGCGAGACGTGTATATGATTCGACCATGCGAGTCGGGCAATTTGCGCGGCGATGGATGTTCCATCTCATGCTGAACAAAACGGTCGAGGATCGTGGGGTCACCGAGCCCCATCATGATGTTGTCAGCTTTCAGATCAGTGTGCACCACGCGACACTCGGTATGGAGGTAGTCGAGGCCGTGGAGTAGAGCAGGTATCAACTTGCGGAGTTTGTCAGAGCTGAATCGCCGCCCGGGAAATTTTTCCATGCAGATGTCGATGGGTTCCCGGAGGACGTCGTAGACGATACAGAGATGTTCGCCATGTTTGCCCTTGACGCGGAAGGTATCGAGCATGAATCGAATATGGTTGTAACCGGGGTGCGTGGGGTTTGCTGAACACAGCTTCTGGGCGATTTCGCGTCGGCCCTTCAGAAACTCATCGCTCAGAGTGTTGACGTTGATTTTTATCGTCACATATTTTCGATTCCCCGAATGCGGATCACTGATAGAAGGAATTGAGCAAAGGGCCGAATCACTTTTCGGTTCGTTTGGATACTTACGCGTGTAGATCTTTGGCCAGCCAGACCGTTGCTGTCATGCCAAAGCCCAGCTTGACGAGGATTTTATAGCGGTCATTCAAAACATCACCGAGCCGAACTGGATAAAAATGGTCTGCATTGTACTTGGGGAGAGTCTCTTCCTCGATCTGTTTGTAACCGGAGACAGTGTCAGGATGGGGATGAGGCGAGTTGCCTCTCGTGTGTAGCAAATGACTGAATGACTGGCGATTGTTATGGCTATGTGCCCGTTTGAGCAAGCCCGGACGCATTTTGAATGCCCAAGGAGATGATATGAAAGAGGGTTCAAAGAAGAGAGCAGGCAATGCCCATTCTCGTCCAGATCCGGGGAACCGGAAGGGTTGGTCTTATTGATGTTGTCGATATTTTTAAAATGAGGCTGGTGAAAAGCTGAAACGTGTACCTTGGAGTTGCGGAAGACGCGGCTGGCCCGGGCGTCATCAGGTCGGGGGTTTAGAGTACGAATTAGATAATCCAGAGCGTTAAGGAATGTGCCGCAGGGTTCAGGCAGAGGGCCATGAAAGATGGCAAAAGATGAGGCTTTTTTGAGAAAGGTCGCTGACTATATCTGGAGTTGCATTGGACATACTGTATATGTCAGGATCATGGCCCCCGTTGAGAAGGACTCGTAACACGAACGATGACGAAGGACCAGGCGCCAGGGAGTCGGGAACGGGATAAGGATGAAGCAATCTGGTGAAGCGCGCCTCTTACGTGACCGGGTTTGAGGGTGTGCTCGCGAAGTGATTAAAGCGGAGCGTTGAGCGAAGCTTTTTTTTAGACTCCGACCCCCCACGCGCGAGACCTAGGGATCAATTTTGATCACGTGACTGGAGTCGTCGCTGATTGGTCGAAAAAAGATAAATCACATGATCTCGAAGCCTTGGCAATCTCGATCGTAGCTTTGGACAAGGAGTCTCGAAAGTGGCCGGGGGGAACAAATGCGCCGCTGTTTAGCTGGCTGCGGCCACAGAGTGCAGGCAACCACGGCCAATGCACCATCACGTGCTAGGTTATTTCCATCCGTGCTTTCCTCCAGCAAAACTCCATCTCAACCAACACCATTGCCACCGGCTGCTATTCTCACCGGCCGACCAGATGATACCTGTCTTCCGTGAACCCACTCCGGCAAGACTACTTACCCTGCTATTGTCACTGCTACTAAACGACCGATAGACTTTGCCCTACCCCGCCCCCCCCCAAATGACCCTCTTTCGATTCATTATCGGCCAGATCCTGTCTAACTCCTTTCTGCTATCAGCATTGACCCTATTACCCACAATGTTCAATAAAAAGGCTGGGACAAATGAACAAAAATCAAGATCGACAACCTTTACAATGCACATGCTTTCAGCTCAGGAATTCTGAATCCTATCACGCCATGAAAGCTTTTATCCGTTCTTCGCCACAACGGGTAGGGGGGATATCTGATACGGGGGGGTGATGTCCAATACCTGATTGACTCGCTTGATGAACCTGCTATCCTTTTTGATTCCTTTTCTCCTGCTTTTGAACCTTTTTAGCCTTTTTTCGCTCCTCTCTTTCTGTCCTTGCTTTTCGCATCTCAATACCCCGTCGCATGAGAATCAACAAAGTTGGTGCAAAGCCGATATAGATCAACGCCAATGTCGTATAAGCCCATCCTCTTCCCATCGCCGAACTCATCGGTTCGATAGCTGCTGATGCTGCCGCCCCAAGCTCACATCTGACAAAATTGTTGGCTGCCGTAGCTGAGGCGGCCTTCCCGGGCCAGATGTCTGTCATGAGCACATTGAAAGTCTGATATGTTGCAATGGCCGCGTAGCCGAGCAAAAAGAGGAATATCGCCGGTCCTGCCAGACTGATTTTGTGATCCATTGTCCAGCCGTATCCGATCATGAACAATGAACACAGAACCAAAAGTGGTAAAGCCACCTCCATGCGAGCTTGTTCAATGGGAAACTCGGACAGATCTTGTTTGACGCCCTTGACGATGATGATTCCGTGTTTGTGGGCATGTCGACGATAATTCCAGTCGATCAATTTGCTTGTGGTGAATGCCGATACAATGCCACCCACCCCGATCGGGATGAACATCAAGGAGATTTGAATATTATTGAGCCCGTACACATCTGACAGCGATGAGGCGGCGCCGGTGGAAATCCCATAGAAACAAGCAAGGCTCAGTCCCGTGGCAACCAAGATCACGATCGATTCCGGATCGATGAGAATCAGCAAGGTAGGTGTGGGATTTGGAAGGCGAAAGTGATAATTCTTGCGTAACTCGGCCTGTTCAGCGGGATCAAACGCGGCACCTCGTCGTGCTCGGCGTCTGTGACGGATGACGTCTGTCAAGGACCAGTTTAACGGCGGCGGAGGAATGGAACCATCCCCGACGATGTTGCGACAAGTCTCAGGGAGAAACAAGAACAGAGGGACGCAGAAGACGGCAGAGAAGATGAGAAGAAACCAAAAGATCCAATGCCAATCCAGAGACTGGCTAATCGCGCCTCCTATGATTGGAGAGACTGAAGGGCCTAACAGACCACCCAAAGAAGCAAAGGCGATGAATTCACCTCGCTGTTCTGATGTTACGGTATCCCCCACCAGGCCGTTGGCCAGGGCAATGGTGCCACTGCTTCCCGCGCTTTGAATGCACCGAAGAACGAGCAGGGCAGCATAACTATTCTGCAGGCCGAGTCCAAGATTCGCGACCAAATAAATGGAGAAGCAGAGAATATATGCAGGACGCCGACCCATACTGTCGGAAAACCCGGCAATCATCATCGGAGCAATGCCTTGCAGGATCAAGTACGTGGTGACGGTCAAGTTGATCTGGGAGCCGGAGACATGTAAGGCATCCGCGATGCTATTGAGGGCCGGGAGGTAAATGGAGGACGATAGGGGTGAAAAGAACCCAGCGAGCGAACCGGCTGCAATGATGAGTCTCTTTTCCTTCGTGGTGAAGACCGAATACTGCTTGGGCACAGGATCAGGAGTAGGCTGTTCAGAGGGAGGCTCTTGTGCAGCCCTGGCACTTTGCCGATTGTCGGGATTGTCAGGTATGATCGAGTTGCTCTCATCGGACTTTCGTCCAGGTTTCAGAGTTGATTCTCCAGTTAGGGCTTGCGCTCCATCTATAGAACTTTGAATAGTATCTTTCTCTGCTCCGTTTTCGTCCTTAGTGCCCTCCATGATCCTAGACTCCCGAGCCGAGACGGAGAGTAAGGCGTGATCAAGAAATGAAGAAAGACAAGCTTATTCTGTAGCAAAAGATACTGACCAGATCCCGGTGTTTTCGCAAGATGCAATATTTGTTTTCGATCGTGTCTGTACCCAGTCCTGTACACAGGCAGAGTTCCGTAGATGTCAATGTCTGTCTTTCTCCTTTAAATAAAGAACAATCGAAAACTCCACGGCAACCAATCTGGTCATTTTAACCCTCACGGTGCTTCTGCCCGGTACCGGCAAGACAGGCCCGAACATAAGGCGCCTTGAAGCAGCACGATAGGCTGCGAGACGGCTGCCCGAGGCACCCCTAAGCTTAAAATTGCTTACAGAGACCAAGCTTCGACGAAGGTGACATCGCTAAACATGAACCCCGGCCCGTTCAAATGCCCCCACGCCGGCAAGCCCTGGAACGCAACTTCCCAGCAACTATTCAGAAATCAGGATCAAATCACAGAGAAGCAGGCAGGCGCTGATAAGCACGTAATTACGCATCAGATTTCAATGCCCTTTTTCCAGTTTACCAATAATGTGAATTGTCGAACGGTGGTTGACCCCTTGCTAGGTACCCTGGTTAATGGAGACCGGGAAGAGGTGCCCGGAACGGACTTCAAAGCCAGCACGAGAGGCACCGATTGACTTCACTTCTCATTTCTGACTTCAATTGATAGTTCATTTCTCACCCAGTGTGATGGCGAAGATATGAATATATGTGAGAGGCCACACCGTCTTCGCCTCAACTCAAGCACTATCATCGAAATCACACTCAACGAATCACCTGGACCCACGAGATCGAGATTGAGACTGAATCACCTGCCCGCCCACCGCAAATACGCAGGACACGCATGAACCAGACACTACTGACTCCAGTTTCAGGTCATACAATCCGCAATCCGCAACCTGCAATCCCCAATCCACAACCCGCAACCGCAACCACAACCTCCACTCAGATTGACTTATTGACTCTCCCAACCACGACTCCCGACCACGACTCACTCCAAAACACCCAAGGATCCTAGCTCATAATGGGAATCCTCAAATATATCGAATACGGGCTAGCCCAACTGCTCTACAACCAAAAAGGCCGCGACAGCAAGCTCTTCACAAAAGGCGACCTATTCAAAGACATCCCCCAAAACATCAAAGTCCAAAGCCCCGAACTCGGCCCTTCAGGCTCATACATGAAGACCGAACATACACAATTCGGCGCATCCAAATTCCCTCAACTGACCTGGTCCACCACCGCCAGCAATGTCAAAGAGTACATGCTGATCTGCGAGGACCCCGACGCGCCACTGCCCTTCGTGCCGAATCATGGCATGTATTACGCAATCCCACCCCACTGGGACGTCGATCGGGCCCGAGGACATCGAAATTGACGGATCGAAACCACTTCCGGACGGCGGGAAGTGGTTGAGTGGCGGGTTTCGTCTGGGCAAGAATTTGCGAGGCACGATATATTCGGGATCAAGACCGGCCGCGGGTCATGGCGAGCATCGGTACTTTTACCAGGTGGTCACGTTGAAGGAGGAGGTCAATGTGGATAAAAATGAAGCCTCTCGCCACGAGGGCCGAGTTGCTGGAGGAGATGAAAGGGAAAATTGCCGACCGGGGGGCTCGGATTGGGAAATTTGAGCACAAATGGTAGTTCGGGTAGCGGAAAATGGACTCTTCCTTTCGTGCCCAGGGGAGGGAATGGTGTTATATGTGACCAAGAAATCTGTCTTTTAGCGACTGAAATTTCGCTTTTGGTCTCGCAACAAAACCGTACCTACCCTCAAGGAGTCAGGCCCAAAAAGAGGGCTGCTTCCATTTCCATCTGGGAAAACACTTCTCCGAGTCAATCATAAGCATAGCATAATATCAAACCTTGTTATTCGTACAAGACCATCATCGTCACACTGTTCCCAGAGGACCTTCAGCCCATAAGGATCCCGATAGGACGTCGTCACCAACAGGCCAACCAAACTCTGCCAGCATAGGGTCATCCAGGAAATTCGAATAATCTGGCTTTATAGTAGCTGATGCGGCACTCCCGTTGGCAGCATTCATATTTGACGTGGTTGATCCATCGCTTCCCGGAGGATCTGATAGGACCGTTCAGTTAGCATGTATTGGCGCATTGCGGAACATTCCATGATGGGGATGGGGCCTGGGACTTCATACTGCTCGGATTGTCTGTCAAAGGAGGCGGATAAATGCCCACGAATCCACCGAATTCCTCCCTCCACCAGACGAGTCCGTCAAGAACGACACTCCCCGTCAATCGACTTCGAATTCGCAAAGCTATAGCCTCTGAGCCATTTGGCTTTTTGAACACCCTATTGCTGTTCCACAGCTGAGTAAGCGCAACGCCATTCCTGGCCGGGAGATCGTCGTTCTGCAACGACATTCGTTTGTGGAGACTGATACCGAGGAAGAGCGCAGCCTTGGCCCGCTCTACGTCGATGTACCGTGAAAACGAAGTCTTGAGCAGTCGGAGAAGAGTGTGGCAAGGCCATGCAAGGCCGAAATAGAAAAAAATCCCCGATGCAGCCAGGCAAATTTGTCCAGTCTTGTCAAGATTGTCAAAAGATTCAATGACTTGACAAGACGCGGTGCAAAGGTCGTAGAGTGATGTCGGGTCCTGTGCTATCGGAGACTTGTAAAGATTGAGCGATTGGATGCTCAGGGTCGCAAGCTGGACATAGAGATGATCGAGATCTGGAGGCGGGCAACATTAGCGAGTCGTCCCAAGAAAACAGTCCAATCACTTGCCTGAGGAGTATTCCAGGCCTACACTACCAATCTGGGCTTGAAAAACGGTAAGCAACGTGTCTAGTGATCTCTCCTGTTCAGAGGTCATGACACGAAGTCCATTTTGTGACACGGCGATACAACATCTGGTGACGACATCCTGCAGTTTTAGCTCGAATTGCAATTTTCCCGAAATTTTTTGGAATAATGCCCGTCTTTGGTCGAGGTCGTGAGGGACGTCGACGACGGGAAATGCCGGGAGCCCTTTTATGAGACACGAGCTTTCCCAGGGGTCAGCACAGGACAGCTATCATGGACAGCTCAGGGTATTACCGTTGATAAAGGAGCATGCAATGGCCCCAAGTTTCGGCACGTTTATGAACTTCGTCGTCCGTGAGCCTAATCCGGACTTTGCAGAATTCCTGACTGGCCACAGGAAGGTGGAGTCCTATTTGCATGGCCATATGGAGCAAGGCCGCACTCAGCGGGAAACTCAAGTCGGATCCAGTACTGGACTTGGGAAAGGGCCAATAGAGAATCAGCAGTAATCCTTGGATAATCTGTAATGTGACAGTGGAGTTCAGGGTGAGCAAAGCCATGGTTTGAATTTTTGATGGCAACGCGGAAAGTAAGGTCGGGTTTTTGGGATAGGTACGACAACCGACTCCAATGATGGCCCAGAAAAGAAACGGCGAGAGCGCATAGTACGCATTGGGGGTGATAGAAGGATCGAGAATCGGCATCAGCCTTGCATAGTCACGGAAATATCTGCATTGGATTGGCGTCTTAGTCCCCCGTAGATCTGAAGGGTGTCCGGCCAAAACTCACATTTGGAATAATGCATCGATATCCTTGGAGTCGATTGTATGTCCCTCCAAGCTCCGTGGCAGAGTGCCAGACGACTGAAGATCTTGAGCTAGACTTTCTGGGGTTTGCAGTGTCTCAGCAGCTTGGGAAAATGACCTGAATGATATCGGTGCGATAGTAGCATCTCGGAAAAACGGTGCTACCGACGCTAGTCGACTCTCAGATTCGGCAGTTCGACGATCATTCACGGCGGTCCATGAGGACTCTGGTAGTACCGAGGCGTCAGGCTGACTGGAGGACCTCAGTTGTTCTTGTAGTTCGCCTGTTCGATGTTCAAGTTCGGAGATACGCCTAGAGGCGAGGACCTGTTAGAAAATTGCAAGCGCAGGGGGGAAATCATAGTCGGTTGTAAGCACATACTTGCGCTTGTGCTCTCTTTTGAATGGCTCCGAAATGATGCACTGCCTGTTCATTTTTCGACACCTTGAGCAAGGGTTGTCCGGATCAAGGTAAGCATCACACCGGGCCTGCAGGCAAATTAGTCCGAGAATCTGTGGCAAGTTTTTTTGGGGGGTCACTGTTGGACCTACTTTCTGCTGTCGACATTCTGTACACGCGCGCTTGATTTGCTTCCCTTCGGTCCTAATGATCGCGGTTAGCGATGGCCGCAAAGGACATGGGTCAGACGGACTGGGGAGTATTGGTACCGCTCATCTTGCGGTCTGTCCAGTGGGATAACCGTCTGCGCCAAAGCAGGATGGGATAGGAATATTCTCACGAAGGCAGGAAATCTGGTGGAGAAAAGAGAAAGACCGGGACACGTCCTGCTCTAATATGCGGACTGGGAACGGAACATGGCACGGCAAACAAACCCCATCCGGGGAGTCCCGCCTTTGGCAGGTCAGCCGATTCCCGTGCTTTTCGGATAAATACGGTCTCCGCATTCCGGAGGGAAATAGGGTATCTTGTATATACATTCTCCAATTCCAAGCCCGCCAAGGATGTCATATATTAGACAGCCTCGCCATCTCCCAGCACAGTTTCCACTCTCGCTCCAGCCTGCTGTGTAGTAAGAAGTGTTTTAGCAACGGTTGGGCGCACTCCCAACGCCGTAGATGCTTGTTCAAATTCAGAAATTTGGCTGCCGATTCCATTTGCAGTCCCTGCAGTCCGCTTTTCCTGGCGGCGTTGGCTGTCAGTAGTGATAACCAACTCAGGAGCTCCGTGTCCATTTCCTGGGAATTGCAAAAGCGTACCGTTTCCGCTAGTTCTCGAACAATGCGACGGTACCCAGAGCAACGACAGGTCCAATTCAGAATGTTGGCATGGTAGACAAAGAGAGCCTTACAAATGGCACTTTCGACCCGGTGAGCTTCACCAGATACTCGACACAATCTCATGGCGTGAGCACTATTTGCACGTGGATCGTACGTCGTGAGGAAGATTTGTTCGTCCTCGGATGAGCTTCGTCCATACTTTTCGTCAATGCAGCTAGTCCATCGGATCGTATTCCTGAGAACGGCCAACACATGGACGGAGAGCTGTCCGCTCACAGCGATTGATTGGAACCCGGGTGTCAGCGCCGAAATCAGTCTGTTGACCGTGGTTGAAAATGGTTGTGTTGGATATCGTAACTTGAAACTGTCTAATGCTGGATCGTGCAAAGCTATTCTGTCACCGAAGATCAATAGGGCGTTGCACTCTGCCCTATAAAGGCGGATTAGATATTATGCCTAATCAAAATATCTGCCGAGACTGACCAGGACACGAAAGCCACAAGAGCCCCTCCATAGACGTTCTGAATGTTTGCGGCATGGGCTCTCACCATCTTTCGGAGACCATTCAAGTGTGCTTCATAGGCTTGTACATCTAGGAAAACATTCTAAATTCTTTAGCAGTGGAAGTGGGAATTTCACGGAAAGACGTACATCAATGATCATAAGGAAAACGGTTGCGAGGATGACAGCTTCATCTACCACCCCCCAGTTCAATTTATTGCGTATTCCAGCCAAAGCCTGGCCTTTATGATAGAGAGACGAATTAGACAGGCCAGTCTGAAAATTTTGACCTGCTGCTTTGAAACTCAAACACAGTGCGACAGCTGCTTCGAATAGCTCTACATTCTGCAGGGCTGTAGGGAACACATCCCTGATCAGTGGATTGTCTTTGGTGTGATATTTCAAACCAGGTCGTTGCGAAGGGCCCCAGTTATGAATGTCTTCCCAGGTCAGCGGAACCTCTTCTGAAGGCGGTCGGAAAGTGCCTTACAATGATCCATTGCTGCGACCACCTCGTCACCTTGCCGAGTGGGAACAGAATCAAACGGATCCAAAAAGTTAGATTTTGGGTGTCGAGGGAGCTTCATATCAACCACCAAGTTCTCCGATCCACTCTCAAAATTTGACCGCCACGGAACTCTCTTCAGTGTCGGATCCCGTTGCGAGATGGCCACCACTGAATCAGAGCGACTGCTTTGGGGCAGCGGCTTTAGACCAAACTCATACACAAATCCGTGTTCCGTCTTTAATTTGAGTGTCACATCAACATCGTCGCTCACCGGTTTCGGGCCGACCATCGATGTAGTTGATGCATCCGACCCCGTGTCTTGTCGGTTGACCTCACGCGATGATTTCTTTTTGGCCCGCACCGGTAAATTTGTTTTCTTCTTCCGCCAATATGCAACACGCGCCGCATGGGCACGGGCTTCCGAATGTTGTAGTTCTTGCAGCCGGCGCTTGTTGGGTTTCGGGTGGTCTCTAAATGTCGACAAGTCGTAGTTGATCAAAGTCGCCATGACTAGGGCACAAGGCCATAATATTGTCTCCTCAGAGGGAACCGAGTGAGTTCTGAGGTAGTAAATGAATTGGTGCGTAAGGTTCTCGCCCGGCGACTTCGGCGGTAGGAGGCGGAAGAGAATTTTCGCAGGGGAGGCTCGACAAATTCAATAGTCCTCTTCTCCCGCCTATTTCTACACGAGACAAATCAGGTAAAGCGTTCAGTGCCGAGGAAAATGCTCGAGAAGGACAAAGAAGTTGAGGGAAGTCAGCATAGTACCCAGGTTATCTGACCCGTGTTACATCCAATGCCAGGGTCAAAGGACAACAAACGAAGAGACAGCACCGCGAACAGGGTGCAACAGAACGAAGAACACATAGAAACCCATCCCCTCAATATGCTTAGGAATCGCTTAGAGACAGCAAAGCAGGGTGTAGTGCAGGAAATCCGATCGGTAGGTGATGGGCGTGAATAGCAGTGACGGATGGCATTTATGCGGTGGGCCCTGTGAAATCTGATGGTGAGCCCCAAATTAACCCGCCAGCCCCTAAATAATTCGGAGTAGCTGTGCCCATCAGCCCTTCGGGCGTGCTTGTTTGAGCCTTCCCTTTGGGTCCAAGCTCGAGCTATTAGTAATCGTACTTCAGACGTGAAGAAATAGCGAAGTAAATGGCCGGGAAGTCCCATTTTGCTTGGTAGTTGGAATGTAAAAAACTTCTTACGAGGCTAGGAAGTTCTACGCAGTACACACGGACAATCTTTGGTATTATGACATGCTTGTACACAAGCAAACGGGTCGTCAACGGTTGAAGCACGTCCCAACCCTGGAACAGGAAACCGATCTGTTAATTGGCCACTTGAAGCGTGATATATGGACAGCTGAGTCTATACACTCTACAGTACGTGATGCGCTTTTATCGATAACGACGGAGATCGGGGGATCTTATTTCCGGAATGCAACTTTTTTCCGTGCAATGAACAAAACTCGAGATTTTCGGCACGTACACTGCCATTCCCATGTCCGCTCTCATACGACAATGGTGATGAGGATGAGTGTGTTTCCAGCTGATCTGCCCATGTAGGATTATTCTGTCTTCTCCAGAAAATATGGACATTCATAGGTGTCGCTTTGTTCAATACCCTCCACAGCCTATCAATGCTCTGGCTTTCTCTCACCCCTCCCGCCCAAAGGAAAGAACTCCCTCTGATCTCCGCCTCGCCCTTGGTCGCAGTGATGGTGATATTGAAATATGGAACCCTCGAGATGGACTCTGGGTGCAGGAAACGATTTTGAAGGGAAAGAAAGACACAACAATCGAGCAACTCGCCTGGATACAAGATAGGGTGGTGAATGATGCATCCGACGGATTAGGACCTGCTCATGGTTCATTACGACTTTTCAGTACTGGAGGTTCAAATTCCATCACCGAGTGGGACATCTGTACTGGTTCGCCAAAAAGACAAGCCGAAGGAAACTCTGGAGACATCTGGTGCTTTGCTGCCCAACCGCCAATCGAGGAGTTCGAAAAGAAAGCAACACTTGAGAATGGCTCTGGCTCACAGCTTTTGGCGGCAGGATGCTCCAATGGAACAGTCATTCTGTTCTCTACTGAGGATGATGATCTACGCTATCTACGGCACATCATCGCACCACCCGTGAAGAAACCAAAGGTTTTGAGTCTCACCTGGCGAGACCGACAGACTTTGGTTGCTGGATATGAGGATAGCATAATTCGAGTGATTGACGTCCCCAATAGAAAAATCATTCGGAACATGAGTTTGGGAAAGCCGGTCGACGGCAACAATTCCGTGGTGTGGACCGTCAAGTGTCTTCCTGATGGCTCAATACTCTCTGGGGACTCTGCAGGAGAGCTGAAGATCTGGGATTCGAAGAATTTCGCCTTAGTTCAGCGACTCAAGTCCCACAAAGCGGACATCTTGGATATTGCCACGAGCGCTTCTGGCGACATGATATTTTCATTCGGTGTAGATAGGAGGACTGTGACCTATAAACCGGTCACCGTTCACCCAGGAATCAGGGCTTCGAGATGGGCTGAAGTCACTCACAAAAGGTTCCATCGCCACGACGTCAAGTGCTCGTCAAGTTTTGAGAGCAAAGACTTGAGCGTTTTGGTCTCAGGTGGTATGGATGCCCGACCCATCGTTGTCCCAATACGAAGGCATCAGACTGAATTGCACCGGACACTTCCACATCTTCCCCAAAGATCACAAATTTCATCTTCACCCATTTCAAGGCTTTTCATTTCTTGGTGGGATCGTGAAATCCAGGTGTACTACGTTCGAAAATACCGACGTCCTGCAGAGACTAATTTCGACAATGACGCCATGACCAACTCACCATACGAAACTCTTGCAAGACTCGTCATGCAAGGAGGCGAAAATATCCAAGACGCCAATATCTCCGAAGATGGACAATTTATCGTCGCAGCCACCATCAGCAGTGTCAAATTGTTTCAACTCCGAGAGACCCAAGTCTCGGGCAAACCTTGCATCCGGACCAGGCAAATCGAACTTCCCCATACAATCGCCCGTCTAGGTGCAAGGCGCGTAGGATTCTCTCCTGATGGGAAATGGCTCTATACGATTCGAAAGGACAACACCATCACACTTACGAAGATCACACCGTCAGAAAACCCCAAAGAACGCCCCTCGATTCATCAAAAAATCGTAATACTCTGTCGCACGACGCGAAATCTTCCTCCCTCCGCCTTGGGTACCTACCAACGAACCACCACACAAATCGCATTCTCTACTGACTGTCGAGTTCTCGCCGTGGGAGACCTGTCCGGCGCCATCGACGTATGGGTCGTCGAAGGCCACGAGGATCTGAACGTTGTCGAGACCGCGTCCCATCATTCCGATGACACGTCCGACTCGTCTTCCAGCTCCTCCTCTGACTCAGATGAAGACGAAGACGAATCCCCCATAATCCACGGGCAAAAATGGATTCGCAACCCATCTGGTTCTCAGATGCCACAACTAGACTCGGCCATCCTTGCTCTTACTTTCCGCCCTTCGCCTAGCACATCCAGTTCCGGTTCGATGAATGGAAACCTCGGTCTCCACGCCACACGGCGCACTCCACACCCTATATGCCACGAACGACCCTCGCCAGACATAAAACTACTTGCCATGACCGCGACGCATCAACTGATTGAATTCGACGTGCTAAGTAGCAAGTTGAGCGAGTGGTCACGACGGAATCCCTCCAAGTACCTCCCGTATGACTTCACGCGGATCAAAGACCGAGTAATGGGGTGTTTCTGGGACTGCACTGATCGCGAGACTCGAGGAGAAAGGTTATGGCTCTATGGCCCAACGTGGCTGTTCATGCTGGACATCTCGCAAGATCTACAGGTGGAGGAATCCTTTACTACGGCGGAGACGGAGACAGCGACAAAAGTCGAGAGAAGCGGTCGGCTCGGCCGGTACGATGTGCTGGAACCCGTGAAGGACAATGGCAGAGAAGAAGACAACGCGGGAGCAACGCCAAGCAAACGGCGGAAGCTGCAGGACAAGATACAGATCCGCGACCGAGGTGCCGATATCAGAAACAATAGCAAAAGCAGGAGAAAACGAAAAAGTAACACAGGAGCCGGCGACGCCATCCCCGAACGCCACCGCGAAAGCGCCATGGGGAGCGAAATGTTGAAGTTCAAGAACCCAGACGATGACGTCGAGATGATTGATTTCGACGCCCCTCTCAACGAGCACACCAGTGAAGTCGCCGACGATGACGACAGTCAGAAAGACGCTCTAACTCTCATGAGACGGAACGCGGACGTAGCTCTTCAGGGCCAAAGCCAAGGTCAAGATCAAAATTCAACCGACAAATCATTATCTTCAACTGCTAAACCCAACGCCCGACGCCCGCACTGGCATACATTCGCTTACCGCTCCATTCTGGGGATCGGCGTGATAGGAACCAGTGGCAGCAGCTCGGATACCGAGGATCCATCATCTTCGCCGGTAGTGTCAACGGAGAATAATATCGAAGTGGTTATTGTGGAGCGCTCCATGTGGAATGTGGATCAACTCCCCAGATTCGACGGCGGGCAAGAATGGGAGACGTAATATTGAGTTCAGGTACGGATGGAGAGCTCCTCCTTAGTTAAAGATAGAATATAGTCAAGCAGGCCAATCACAAGACGAAGAAAAAGTAATGCCGAACTGGTCCGATCGGACTGGTATATTGCTAGGGCGTCTCGCGACATACGAGTCCCCCAATGTCGACTTCTGGGTATACTCCATACCGTGCCTAGGTACATACAAGGTATATCAATCATGTTTTGAACCGTCAAACAACTTTGCGTGACAACACCGACCAGTGAACCCATTGATTTGTAGCTAGATGCCCGGCCTTTCCTCTTGACCTTAAACTCAGACTGGCCAAAATGCCAAAATTGTAGCAAAATCTCTCGTCTCTCGCTGGTGAAAGACGTGACGCCAGTTGCACCATTGCCCAGAGCAGCGAACCAGGGCTGCTATACCGTATAGTGTGTAATAGATGCGAATGCAATGTTGAAACCCCCAAGGCATGACATGTAGAAAGCTTTCCCAGTTTTAGGATCCGGTCCGTGCCCAGATTTCATGTGCTGCTTTGATTTTGTCTCCCTTAAAAACATATACAAAATGCCACCACTGGATGCCGGAAACCATGCACACTCACAGAATCAGAAATATCCTCATATAATATAAGGTGGTATCATCGAATCAAACGTAACAACATTATCATGGAGACGGAAGGAGATGGCGGGTGAGGAGGACGGTGATGAGGTGGAGTTCTGCCTCCAGAGGAGACCATGTATGATATGTGGCCGATTCTATCGACGGCCTGGTTGATCCATATGCTGTGGACTCGACCACTGTATAGGAGCCTCTTGTTGTCGTTCGGCAGGATTCTTAACTTCGTCGCCTCGTTGGTGAGGAGCGGCACCAGGGAGCGAATTGATCATTTCGCTAGCCAAAGATTGTACGACGTAACTTCGGAGCTCTCGCTCCTCCCTTTCGTCTTCCCGCAGCAGTTGCTGTCTGACTGATTTGTCCATGTTTTCTCTTCGAATCTTGCGGATCTCATGCATGATCCAGAGGAGGACCTCTTCGGAGCAGCGTGTTCTAGGAAGGTTATAGCGAGTTTGGCGTACATAACGTCGCGTGACGTCGGTTGCACCGTCATTTGAGAAGGCAATGCAATAGGCGATCTTTCGATTCCAGCCTAGATCCATGTCAGACACGGACATTTTTGAGAGAGTGATCGACAAGATTGCTCACCTTCTGTATAGACTCTAGGGTTATCCCACATCTCTTCACAAGGGTCAACGTGAATCCACCTTCGCTGGTGCTCACTGTACACCTCGGTCCACACATGATCTTCACTATTCCAGATCCACCTGACTCGGGCACCGGCAGCACGACACAACATGCTGAAACAGTTTGCGAATTCCCCGGCCCGGCCCCTGCGGGTTTCCAGCAATGTCCAGACATCGGAGTATCGAGGGAATCTTTCAAAGGCGGAACAGCCGGTGCATTGGTACAGTTCGACTCTCGTGGCTCCACGAGCGACCTCATCTGGGGTCGGTGGGGTCTGTCCTTGGGCGACAGTAGCACCATGACATCGTGAGCAAGGAGGGTTATTTACAAATGAGAAGAATGATCGTTTAAACCACCTGAATGTCTAGGTCAAAAACAAGGTCATGAAGCGGTTTGAAGGAGAAGATGCATACCTCAGCAGTGATCTGATGACACAGTCCTGGTAACCCCATTCGGGTTTGACATTGTCGCCTCTGGAGGCGGCCATGCCTTTCATCAGATTATGTTCTTCCTCGGCTTCTGCGTAAATTCTGTCGATGGGGACGTGGGTCAAAGCCTCATCGAGAAGACCCGGGTTTTCGTATTTGGTAGGAGTCATGGACAACGTGAGGAGGAGGTTTCGGAATTTGAGGGAGGCGGCATCTTGAGGAGGAGATGGTACTATAGGGAAACTTCGATACGAAGTGTAGGTGGGCGGTTGGTGTTGGGATGGTCGGGAACCGGGGTGAGCGGAAGATTGTACAGAATTTGGAGAAGGAGGGAATGGCGAAGGCGATGAATGTGAAGCGTCTCGAGGGCCGGATCGAGATGAAGAGCGCGGGGTTCTTGCTTGTTCCTCGAGTTCATTTAATCTTCTGGTTCGCAATAATTGTTCGAATTGTTTAGTCAAGTCCGCCGCGTTGAAGTCGAACTCGTCGTCAATGATGCGCGGACGAGTATTGTTCGCCATGATTGCAGAGTGATCTCCTAGCAGGTAGAAAGGCGAGGGAAAGGAGAGGAAGAGGAAGGATCGAAGAGCTAGCAGGAAGGCAGTCGGTGTCGTTTGGATTGTGGCTGTCGAGGGATTGGAGTGACGATTGGCGCAGTCACTGGAGCACAGCCGAGTTGGGTTGCCTCGCCACAATCCGACAGGAGATGAATAAAGGAACAGCCCATTCACCGGGGGAGGATCGTTGGGAAAGGTGTAGAAGTAGTGTCGAGATGGAGACAGTGGCAGAGACGGTGAGGATTTGTAGAGAAAAAAGGAAATGCGTGAAGAGGCAACGGCGAGGGTGAAGATGATGTGAAGGCGAGTACGTGGACGAAGATTGCGTGAGCTTGGGTGGTAGAATAGTAGAATACTCCGTATGGAGTCGCTGTTAGCGTGGAATAGCCCAGTAGTCGTGCTGCCAGTTCTGCTAAAGTCTAGCGTTTGGGGGGGTTCGATGGGCCTGGAGTGCCAGGTACGTGACTGTGCCTCGCTTGCGACGGAGTACAAAATAATCTACGTGCTGTGTAGGATATGCTCGCCCTGGTGGCGGATGTACGTACTACAGTCGAGATAAACTTCTATGTAGGCATGGACACTATGAGGCCAGGCAGAAAGCAAATACTCGATCCCACTGTCTTTGTTTGCTTTTCACTGCACACTTCTCTTCTCTCCCTCCTTTTTAAGTATCTGGCCGGGAGAACAGATAGCGGCAGACGTAGAAGAACCAGAACGAGCGAAGGGACCCGAGGCAGAGAGGGAGAGGCTGACGACGACGACCGCCTGAGCAAAACCTTTTAGCCCCGTCACGCCGCGCGTCCCCCCTGGAGGGTTGGACCTCTTTGCCTTTTGGGGACAACCATGCAAGTTGTTTTATATGGGGCAATCTTTACACGTTCCTGGTGATTTATTGGGGGGCTACGCAACACCCCTCTGTTCGGGAGCCTGCAATACTCTCCAATTATGGGCCTCTATACGAGTGATTAGTATCACCACCCCCAATTATCCGCCACAAAGATCTTGTCTCCTCCTCCAGTGCATTGTTCGCCGAATGCGCAATGCAAATCTCTCGCTCCCTCCCAATTCCCTGTTATGCTCTGCACGTGTCGATCAGGATTCGCCAATCTTCCGGTCTGCTCAGAGCTCTCCCTTGCTTATTCTTTTGGGGTTTCACTCTTCGTATTTGTATGTCTCTTGTCCGTGTGACGAGCACCACCACCGCTTCAGGGTGAGCTTATCTCTAACACCCAGGTTATTATTGGCACTCAAGTCTCTTGGCGAAGATGACGAGCTTTGTTATTTGGCCTCGACTCAGGGCTTGTATCCAAGCCAAAGCAGGCCAAGAGCAGCCTCATGTTTCGTCACTCGGATTGGACATGCGTCTTTTCCGAACTGCAGGCTCAACGGCTTGACGACGCGCACTCCAAGACTTGGCGTCACGTGAATAGACGTGGGCGCCATCTGCGCTGGGCGGATACACGGAAAAATGAAAACAGCGGAAATCAGATCTACTTGACCCACCCCCTCCATCTCCGCCGACTTTTGTACTCCGTACCGACGCATCGCGTGCTACCCTCATGCACCCCACTGACATCGACAACACCTCACATACGCGCGGTACATTCAACCTTGCTTTTTCCACCACTCCCCGAAGACAGATCAGTCCGATCAGAATCCCAGTGCTCTGACTTGATGCCCAGTCCATGAACACACCCGTCTCGTACACCTTCCACCACGGCCATGTCGCCCGCAAAGCCCTCTCATCCGCCAAAATCTGATCCAGGTCACTCTCCCTTCTACCACTGACCAACGTTAATATCGTTTACTCGCCGAATAGACGTTCTCTTCCACACATTGAACCCAATGTAGAAGGTGATCACGATGGACGCCGCCAAATACACTTCGAAAAAGATCTTCATTCGGTCTGAAGACGATATCTACTTGTATCCGACAGGAGCAAAGTCCAGTTCAGAATTGAGCCACCAAGACCAAACAATTGAATCCGAACCCAATCAATGATCCAACTAGGCTATGGCCCGTGATATTTCGATGCGTGGCGAAACCAAATGTGATAAAGGCGGATCGAACCTCGTAAAGATCGAAGCCAGGTCACTCACCGCAAACATCCCATTCCACGCCTCTTGTCTTCGCGCTGGTGGCAAGGCTACAATGTAGCAAAGACAGTCCAGCGACGATGCGACAATGATAGGTGCCAGAGGTTAACCTTTACGGTCAATGTAGTCCAGTATGTTTGGCGCCTGGCCATTGTCCGCCAGAGCTGCAAGGCTACGAGATGTACCATATACAGAGGCGTTGCCCACACAGAAAACGGCAATCAGAATCACCGCGTTGAACACGGATGGAAGCCCGCCGACACCAGCATTTTTGATAGCCAATACGAAGGGAGATGCCCAGGTGTTGGAAGGCGCTACCACTATTCGACCGACATGGGTCATCCCAACGCACCAAGCAGCTGACAAAAGTCAAAGACACAATGTAAAACTGGTCAGAATCTGGTCGGCAAGAAGAAGTCAGCTCACCAGCACAACACGCCAGAAGACTTCACTTGATTGCGGTGGGAAGTGCCAATCGGGGATTTTCCGCCTCCAGCGCCGGCGAGGCCAACCAAACTCGGTTCCGCAAATGAGCCTAGATCATCCCACGTTGTCGCTCCGAAATAGTGAGCAGTGGGTCCGCCACCAACGTCGACCACCAGTGCGAAGATGCTACAAGAAGTGACAGAGGTTGGCCACGACATGATCCAGAAGATTTCCCCGAAAAGAAGCCCACGTACATGAAGCCCAAAGCGGCAATTACCTTGACGATAGAATAGATGAATTCGGCTTCGCCGTACCCCCGTGCGCCGAATAAATTGATGGAGACGATGGCGACGAGGAAAATTGTAACCCAGATGCAAGGATTCGTATTTCTTGCTCCACCCCAATAGTTGAGTGTCATGGAGGCGGCCATTATTTCGATTGGTACACTACAAATCCCCATGCGGGACCGATAAAATCGGCTCGCGCAGGTCCGGCCACAGGGAACATGACCGCCATCTCTCCAAGATTGTGGACCACACAGAAAATCATAATACCCAAGGTGCAGGAAGAGATGACGACTGCTGTGACGATTGCTGTGGGCCCACCGGTCTCGAGGGTATCCCTGTCAGCCTCGATCCGATATGGCCCGCTATGGCAACAAGTGCGTGAATTTGTCTTCATGTCTTTCATTCTTTGCAGAGGTGACAGAGGTTGAAGATGCTGCCTCATCATTCAAAAAGCGAAACTTGTCGGGCACGTCATTCTACGTACCGTTCGAGCCACCAATGGCAATCATCTGCAGATGTCGCCGCTTCAACTTCATGGCTGGTTGATCAGGGATTCCCCATTATCGTCAACGAGGAGCTCCGAAACGCGGGCATTGGAATTCTGGCGGAAGCTGCCGATGAAACGAATCAAGAAAGGAGCATCACCCCGGATCGAGTTGACCTCCCCGGCTTCTTCATTGGGATCGCTGTTGGGACGAGAAGGTTCCCGTTTCTGCTCCCAGCCACGTCCATCGTGGTGCTTGTATCCGGAACGATGAGAATCTAGGTGGGTCTCAAATCAGGTAAGTCCAGTAACCAAAGAATCTTCTCCCATGGAAGAACGTTTTGTGTCGAAGAATTGGACTTTTCTTTCCCCGCCCAAGTCCCTGAACTTCCAGGTTAAGTATAACAAAGAAAAGGAACCCTTCGAGAAGTTCCTCCGGCTCCGGTTCTGGGTCGCGTTTGCAAGACACACCCGAGACGGCTTTACAAGAATATACGTCATCGGGCTCTGGCGCCGGCTCTGGTTCTGGGTCGCGTTTGCAGGACATGCCCGAGACAGCTTTACTGGAATATACGTCATCGGGCTCTGGTTCAGCAACGGGCTCTGGTGCCGGCTCGGGCTCTGGGTCGCGCTTGCAGAAGCTGCCCCAAGTAGTGACACAGTTATCGTTCATATCGACACTGACATCGTCACTGGCTCGCTTTGCTGGTTTGATTGTCAGTTAATCCGCTTCACTTCTCACATGAGATCCCAAGTACCTGGAATAGCAGCGGCACCGATGACTGTTGCAAAGAGCAACAAACTTGCAGCAGAAATCTTCATTCTGGGAAGTTGAAGATGTTTTCTAATCAGAGTTGCTCAACGAGACAGAAACAGGTTGCTCTTCCTTCTTTCTGATTATTGGACTTGTTCGATTCAGACGGTTTTGCTGAACCTCTCGCGGTAACCCAGGCATTTATATCTTTGCATCCGATTCCTGAAAGAGTACCCTGGATACATTTATCAACTTACCTCAATGATATGCATCCTGTAGGTTTAGGAATGTGATGCGACGACGTCTTATTGATAAATGATTTGTACAGCCAGAGTCTGCACCATTCCGAAATGTTCGCTCACGATCAATCATGTCGTCAAAGACCAGGGTCGGAAAGTCGATCTTTGGATCAGCTGCGGTAAATGCAGATCGAATACGACGCCATGCTGCAACTTCCCCGGCTGACTGCCAGCGCAGTGGACTAAGCCGACGAGCAGTGAGGAACCTGCTTATTTGGCAGAGGTTAAGGATGTTTGAGAAGTGGGACGTAAGGTTGTGTCTAAACCTTTGGATGCTTGAGAAGGAGAAGTGGAATCCGAACAACAAAGAACAGTGCGCAAAAATGGATGTTCCCTTGCCGATCCGGCCCTGCTTCGGCATTCTTCATAACCATGCCTTCGTGCCAGAGAGTCGAGGCTCGTATATGGGGACTTTGTCTGTTTCAGTGAGGAATGCCACAGAAATGGCAGAAGTCCTTTCTCGGTATTCAGTTGAACGGGGACGACGAAGTTCGTCAGCAGCGAGGCTTTGCCAGCTTACCAAAATGGACAGGGACTCGGCTGTTGCGAGGTCTATAAAGTGGTTAGGTACTATGGCCCCAAGTATCTGAGGGTCGACCAACACCTTCATTCGATGCCTACAGGTCCCTCCATGTGAATATACATGCGGAGCCTTCACAATCTCCAGACAACCTCGGCATGGACATCCATTCAAGGCGCCTTCCCTTTTCAGAAATAATCCGGTACCTCCGAATAACTTCTGAACATGTCCAACATTGCGACACTCACTTCCTATAAGGTTATCCTCGCTCTCCGAAATGTAACACTCTGATAAAGAAAGGGAGGTCTTTCCGCAGGGAGATAGAAGACAACCTTCGAGATCCGCATTCATCAGCTCTTCTCCTCGAGCCTCACTGAATTGATGATAGCGTGTCTGAAACAACCCTTGAAAGGAAATATGCTTACCAACCTCTCCTTCCCGAATCCCAACCATCCCCTCGGCCAGCAGATCCCGAAGATGAAAATTTTCCTTCGAGGATTGACGGCCAATGTCAGCAACGTTCGAGGCTGAGGCAGTCAAAGCGAAGAAACAAGCTGCATTTCCTGCTACGACGACTCGCTCTTTTCAGCCATACTTTGGCATGGGCGTTGGCTTTGCACACGATATACCTGAATCAAAGATCAAAGTTCTGGGGCTGGGACCGCTTTCGACAACACAAACTCTTTCCCGCGCAGTTGACATACTCTCCTGCCCAGGACAGCATTGAGTACAAAGTCACCGTGTTTCAACATGGCTTTGCAGGACATCCGGGAGGTGTCCCGGCGGAATTCACAGGGGGGCCATCGGATGCTTTGGACAAAGCTTGGTCCGATCTTTATAATTGTGAGTCATGAGTCTATGTCATGTCATCTTCCATTTCCCTTCTGCCTGTACAGGGTACCCCATATCTATCAATATATTCCGAATGTATCGGCCACTCGATGACTGACTATATTTCTCTAGTTGGCAATTCCGAAATCAGCCAGAAGCAAGCCACATACCTGACGAACAAGACGGCCCCTCTCTCACCAGCACTTGATAGATACCTTGTCCACCTGGATGTCTTCCATCAGCTCCATTGTCTCGTAAGTCCCTCTTCCTTCCTGAACAACGTCCGTAAGTTTCATGTCTGATCAGGATTCAAAATTCCTCAGAACCGGATCCGCAAAGCTCTCAACCCTCATTACTTTTGTCCGCGAGACGACCCTCATTGCGACGACCACCGGGAGATGGCCGTAGGATACGAACTACCTGAACTGGTTGCTTCTCACTTGGGACATTGTCTACATTCCATTCGCCAGTCCCTGATGCGTTCCGCCGATATATTGCCGATTGTGTGGCATAAGAATGACGACCCAGACAAACCGAACACGTCCAAGGAGTATCTGAATGTAGCGCACACACGTGTCGTGATTTTGATAAGATTCGTGATTGGGCGCTGGAGAGGAAAGCGCATAGTATGGTGGACTTGGACAAGGCTCCGATCGAGGATGGGATTGAGATACCACTATATCCATAGATGTTTGGACTTTTAGGCCTACATTCATTCACCGAGGGAGAATCTCGGATATCGACTTCCCTCTTGTGACGGTGTAATAAGCCAGCATCTAATGGCGTTAGAGAGACCAGCCCTACCTCAGGTTCTCAGATTGGGACTAATTATTAGTGGCCGAGGTTACAAGGCTGAAATGCCCCGCAAGGCTTTCAACAAAATGAGACAGAACATACGTGTATCTACTCGCACACGCTCCTCATCATTCTGTCCAGTATTCTCCGCTATCTGTCTAGGTATTGTAAGTACAGCCTATGATGTGGCGTGACGAAGTCCCCTTTGACACGGGAGACGGGTAATCATTCTCCCTCACACCCGTGTATGTATGCATGAATGATCTCCATCCCGGCTCAATGGCCTACTCCCATAGCAGAAAGAGTGACGAATGACACCTCAAACTTAATTTCAACGTTGCTGTTTCTATTCTTCTTTGTTCTCACGAGGAGGTCTGTGGGTGATGTCTTCTCTAAATCTCGAGCAGTCCAAATCCATTAGTAATTGCTGAATCACTCCCTCTATTCGATGCACCCTGTATCTCTATTGAAGTAAAAGCTGGTCAAAAAGTGGAAACTGATTAATCTTCTAGAGAAAGTAATATTTCTTCCCAGATTCAGATTCAAGGAACCTGTGGCTCCAGTATCACTCGGAAGCTCAAGCCCCCCCCTTTTTCTCCATGAAATCTGATAATGATGACCGTCCCCAGTTCGCCGTCGCAGAATGCAAATGAAAATACGAAACAGGCAAGGCAAGAATGAAGAAGTGAGAAGACGGACATGTCGCAATGCACTCCCACAGACTTCCTCCGTTTTGAAGATACCGCCTGTTGAAGAGAGACGATCAGAGATAATTTCCACCCTCAGCGGCAAACCTTATTCGTCGATGGTGGGCTTGAATTTGATTCTGTCCTCGGGCTTGCTCTCGAATGGTACACCGAGCTCGAACAGCTTGCATAGGGCTTCGGAGAAGTCTTTGAAAAAGGTCTGACTGTCCTTGGCATAGATTTCCACCTGTTTCTTGAAAATGGGGTCCTTAACCAGCGACATGTCGGTCGGCAACATCATCAAGCTCTTGGTGGTCTTGTCTTGGTATTGTTTCGGGCCGGACCAGCTGCGCCAACCCCATTTCTCTTCCATCAAAAGTCGATAGTACTCGTTTGTGAAGACGGTGGGAGAAAAAGTCCATGGTCCTTCGAAACCGGAGCGGTCGGCGTGGCAGCGACCTGGGTTGGGGGTTAAGTCAACAGGTTCATCAATTCAGGGGGGACGAACATGACATACCCAAAGCATGAGCACCGCAGAGAGCAACCATTTCCTGGTCGTTGAATCCCATTCTCCCGAAAATCGCGCGGACGTGGTTTTGATCCTTGGCTCCATCGGGCAAGCGGCCGTCCGGTGTGCAGAACGAAACGTCTTTATCTTGTCGTCCGGGCCTCCAAGGAATAACGGGTCCTTGCATCTCTTGAACAGCACAGACACCGGCCAAAGTCCACAAGTCGGAATATGAGATCCAAGGGAATTGTTCTGTGGGGATCAATTCGTATCGGCCGGAGTCGGAATTTCGAGGGGAACCTTACCTTTGATGGGCTCCAAGAAATCGCGAGCATTCTTCAAACCAGCGTTGGCACCGTGCTCACTTTCGGGGGCAAATCGCATGGTGGCGCCATTGCTACCGCCGGTACCGGTAGCAGCATCGTAGGTACCCGATGCGTGCCATGCCAATCGGAGCACGACAGGCCCGTAAGATCCATCATCGTAGTCGTCATTTTCCCACAGAGCCTTGGCAATTGCATTGTAAACTTTTTGATAATCCTCAGCCGTGGGCTTGAAAAGGCCAACAGACTGTCCTGCGCTCCCTTGCTTCGGGCGAATATTGGTTCCTTGAGTGCTGTAGAAGTAGTAACCACCACCGACGAGAGCAGCGGCGGCCGCAACGCCGATGATGGTGCCGGTACTGGATTTGGAAGGGGCAGGTCCGGAGGAGTAGTGCCGGCGGGAGGATTGTTGGAAGAATGGCTTCGCAGCATTGTTTCGGGAGGAGCGAGCAGTAAGACGGATTGAGGAGGTGGCTGAAGCAGTGGATCGAGGGAAAGCCTTGGTGAGGGTTCGAGTAGCAGTCGCGGTAGCCATGGCGAATGTTGAAGTGAAGGGTTCGAACGGGTCAGGTATGTGGTCCGATGTGAGGTGGAGTTTGAGAAAAGAGAAAAAGTGAAAAGGGAGTGAGCGCGCACTGAATTATATGACAATGAGGGATACGGGAGGGAAAAAAGGACAGCTGAATAATGGGCAATCGGGAGAGCAATGAGTGGTCGTCGTGGAAGCACCAAAGGACCCACGGGAAAAGCCTCGAGCAGTGTTGAACCGGAGCCGCGGAGTGAGTGATGTGGTACGAGCTTGTAGAGAAAGAAACACAGAAAACAAAAGGCCGCCTCTTGCGCCACTCCCACGCCCAAGGTACGTTACGATAACGCCCTGCAGTTCGGGATTCAGTCAGTACACATGAACTTTACACGGATCTGGTCGCGTCAGGCCTTGACGTTATCGGCGGGTGATGCCGCTACGTGGTTCTAGTGCCGTCATGGTCTCCACTAAAACGCCATCCGAGGCGATTGAGTGGCTGGCTGCTTTATCAACCCGGTAATTCCACCTCGGGCCTTGGCAGGGGAATCTCAACTTTTTTTTTCGAAGAAGCCCGAACAAGAGCGAGCCCGATTCCGCTCTTCTCCGACGCCGCAAGCCTTTCCCTTGCCGCCCTCGCTGTCGTACACCCGAATCGGTATAGGAAGGGGCGACATCCTACGGGGGAGAACATCGACATCGGACACAATTTCCTTTTGTGAACAATCCCCTTTTTAATTATCAACAGAAAATGCATTCAATTCACATCATGATATGCGACATTTACATTGTATGCTCCTTCGACCTCGTTTCTGACTCACATGACGCCCGCCTGACTCCTACCGGTCCCCATGCCGGTTCCCCGGATGTTTCATGCCAACCGGGACACCGCGCTCGATGCTGTTCGTTACCGGGTCGTAAAATCATCACACCACCACCTTCATCAGTGGTATTCCCCCATGGGGTGGTATCAGCTTTCCTCCCTGGGAAGATCATGCCCATTCCACGCCATCGATGACTTCATGTCGCTCTAATCTTCGCGAGGGAACAGATCATCGAATGCTTCTCTTGCTAATCGGGCCTGCATCACCACGTTTCCTTTCAACTTTGGTCGCTTTCTGACGTTATTGGACAATTCCGCCGTCCTTTCTCGCGTGGCTTCCTTCTCCTCTTGCAGTCTCCGGTCGGCATCTGCGATCTGTTCCATCACCTCACTGTCCGTTGGGAGCTGCATGAGGCCTTGGCTCCAGCTTGCTCCGCTGTCTTTGTGTTTCTCATGCCAGTGCTCCAACAGACCTTCGACGGAGATCTTGTATTTGACCTGCCGGGCCGTTCGATAAACCTTGCCCTCTCCGACGCAGATTCCGCACCGAAACCGGAGATCAATCGCTGGATTGGCTTTGTGGAGCTCCTCGATGCAGCTGGTGAAAAGAGGCAAAGGTGGCTCCGTCAACTGCGTTCGGGTATAGAGATCGAGCGCATACTTTAACGCAATTTTCATCTGACATAGGCCGTCCACCCAGACTCCATTCAAGATCTTTGCTGCAAATAACAGATTCTTGACAAAGTCAATGTTTCGAATCTCGGTGGGCCGGGGCCGCCGTCCCTCAAAGGCCGAGATGCGAATGCGTCTCGGCAATTCGACAAACGGTTCATTCACCGCCGGATGCCAATTGTCGAGTTTGGAAGGGTCCCGGTGTCCGGGAACCAAAGGCAAGCATCTCGGCCAGGGCACGGTGTACCAGGGGAAGCGATGGTAGAAAGAATCCTCTTCGCGGCCGGGTGTCCAGGCTTCGTATTCCCGGGAAAATGGGACGGCAAATTGCCAAAACTCCAGACCCTCGCCCACTTGTTTCGCGTGAACATCTAACATGTGTTCGAAAGCTTTCGTGAATGACCAAGTTTTGACAAAATCAGTCCGCCGACAACCTCGGCACTTGAGGTTCTGAAAGACCGTCAATCCCCGCGGAGAAAATCGAGGAATATGTTTCTCCATCACATCCTCGACGATCATGCGGGCATCATCAAGGCTGAGACAATATGGTCCGGTGGTCCCATTGAAATTGAGTCCCGTCGGGCGATTGGTCAATCGGCTGTATGTGTCAAACACATTCTTCAAGCACAGCAAGAGGAGATCTTCATCGGCGACATTCGCTGCCTGACACCGTTCAAATTCTCTTTGGCCCAGGTCGAGAACAAACTCCTGTTCGGGTGTCAGGACCCGTGGCTCCTCCTTTCGGGACATTCGATGTTCGTGGAGTCTTCGGTACCGCTTGATGTGGGTGCGAGGATGAGGCACCGTCCCGGGGTTCATCTCCATCTTGTAGTCTTCCAGCGCCTGGGCCTGTTCTCTGTACGGGAGTATTTTCTCCTTGAGTGTCTTCCACGATCGCTCTGACGGGGGAGCCTGCACCTTCAATATCCGTCGAAACGCCGCCATTTTCCACAAGAGGTTGGGGCTCAGAGGTGGTGACAGCTCGGCCGCCCGAGCTATAAAGAAGTCGATTCTCATGGCGGGTAATGGTGTGGTGCCCGCATTCTGGCGCTTATGCCAGAGTTCCAGGTCGGCGACCTCGATCATGAACGACATTGTTTTCCGGTGCACCTGGTCGATCCATCCTCGCAATGCCACGTCTCCCGGATGGGTTCGTCGAAAGTCGAGATATTCGGCCTCGAGCTGGAGATACGACGATTTCAAGAACGCATATTGGCGCGCACCATTGCTGATCGCCCACTCATTGGATTGGACGTTGACGGATCGGGGTTGCATATAGCGACGACTGGTGAACATGTCAATAACCACACGGTCCCCCGGAAGACGCACCAGTGCGTCAACTCACCCGTCACTTCGCGCTAATGGGAGCAGTTCCCAGAGAGCTTTGCCACTCCAGGGAGGGGTCGGATCCTCCAGTGGCGGTAGCGTGTGTTTTCGATGCGATGGAAGATCATCGGCCTACGACCGGCCATTAGTCACGGGAGATTGCAACAATCTCGTCCACACCTTACCCGCATGGTCTTTTGCTTGAAACATTCCGCGCAAAGTCGAACTTGAAATGTCCAATATACGCGAGCCGTGTTTTCTCTCGGGCACGCGCTATTCTGACAGCCTCGGCCGGCCAACAGGTCGACATATTGTTGCTCTGTCAGGTTCGGCGGGCAATCGGGCATCTCGCGGCCGAAATGATTCTGCCTGCTCTCTCTCCAGATTCCAGAACGATCGGACAACAAGCGGTAGAAGGCTGAATTAATGGTTTTGGCTTCCAGAAGGAATTTGGGTTCGCAATAGCCCAGGATCGTCTGCCACACGTCGCTATGGACCTGGTCGGAATTTTTGACCGGTCGACTTGGTCGAAAAATGGGTTTGCGATCCGTGGGCGAAATGCTGCTGATGCACCGTCGTTTCTCCATCGGGGTATTCTCGCTCGACAAGACGGTTGACTCGTATGAACTTCTCGTGTTCCCATGACGCTGTCCAGTTTTCATGCTACCAACCGTGTTGATGACAAAGGTATGCCCCGGGGCCGGTGGTGCCGCGGCACTGTCCGTGGAGGATGACGCGAGGACATGGGCGCTGGCATTCGAGGACAGCGCGAAGGATGAGTTGCGCGGATGAAAAACAATTTTCCGTGCGTTGTGAGACTGTGGAACGATGATCTGGTAGGAAGAGCCTTCTGCGTTTCGGAATTGCTTGTCCACCCTCATCACTGGGCCGTGGTCATATTTACGCTTTCCCGTGCCATTACGGTGCGAAGGAGGATGTGATTGGTCCATTTGGATGCGATTCGAGTCGAGAAGGCTGAGAGTTTCCGAAAGTCGTCCTTTGGACTAGCCGGCTTTCTTCCCCAGCGGCCGAGATGACCGAGGGGAGATGGTTGCCACGAGATCTCAATGGCAAGAGGATGGAAGACACAAGGTAAACCCGCTAGAAAGTAGGAACGAGATGGACTTTAGCCGGACGACGAAGAAAGGCCGTGGGAGGGGTGATGAGCGGTTCCAGAGCCAATGTCAGCTGAAGAATAGACGGTTTCTTAGCGAAAGATGGTGGCGGAAAGTTGAGCGAACGTGCGGTGTAGTTTCCATGCTCCAGAATACCAGTAATGAGCGAAAAAAAAGTAGGCTGGCTTGGTCTATGTGCTGTCGCACATCATGCCTCCTGAGTGTTTCACGTCCACGGGTCTACCAGAGATTGTAGCAGCAGCAGCAGCAGCAAGACAGCCGGGGCGATAGACGATTGATGAGGAAGGTCATGGCCAAGTGGCAGCAGCGGAGAAACATTGCCACGGCTGCGCCTAGACCAGCTAAGCGACAACTGGCAAGGTTGCATCTGGATTTCTGTGGTAATACCATAATAGCAACTCATTTGATAGCGAAAGGGCCCAATGCTAGAGCAAAGTCCTTTGGCCCTCCCAGCCTTGACCTCGGATTTACACGCGTAGCTCATGTAGCTCGAGCAGCTAAAGGGGGAGGATTGGTATGGGGAACTTGAATCAGATGGCAAAAAGATAGGTGTCCAACTGCCCACTTAATGAAGGAGGGTGCTGTTGTTGGTTGGGGGCCGGGTATTCTTCCGTCTATTGCCGAACACCTTCCAAGTCTTTGCTCTGGGTGTGGATAAGGCGACTCCCAAGTGCCCAGTGCCTCCGACGGCCCCTCGAACCTTCCGTTTGCGGGGCACCCGCCATTCTAAGCCGCTTCCAGTTTAAGGTCTAGTGCCTATACACAATGATTCTATTGCGGCTCCAGCAAACCGTGCAAAAGGCCAGTGAGGCCTAACCGACCTTCTCCTCCACCAGTGAAAACTCTTGCACACCTGATTTTATGTTGCATCGGTACCAACTTACATATCTCTTTTCCATATGGAGTATTTCTGGAGCGCATCCTTCGACCTGAACTCGGACCACGGACTAGAACCATGTTTTTCTGGCCCTGTCACTCGTCCTCCGGACTTCGGTCAACAGTCCTGTGCCGGTTCGTACCCCCCGCGATTGTGCCATCGTCCTGGACTACAAGAAAGACCCGCTTCCCATCCAGTTGTCGGGCCACCACTTTCACGTTTTCTACGAGAAAAAAGAGAAAAAAAAAAATTTCCCCGGACTCTGCTTGGGTCGTGCGAGTGACGAAACAACATCGCAACGATGCGCTCCTCGCTGGACGGGTCAAGTAAGTCAAATGATCAATCCGACCCTGATTCCCGACCGAGCTTATTGAAACCCCCTTCCGAACTAGACGAAAAGGCCCAACATGCCTACAACGACACAAGCGGTGTTGGTGCGCGTCAACTGGAGTATGATCCCGATATCGCCCATCCCGCTGCTGGCTACAGAGATGCCGAGACGGCTGTGCTGCCAGCCGGTGTCTCGGAGCGGAAACTCCTCACCAAGATCGACCTTCGGGTGATTCCCGTTCTGTCTGTCCTCTATCTATTGGCCTTCCTGGACCGAACCAACGTTGCGAATGCTGCCATTTTTGGCCTGGTCAAAGATCTCAACTTGACCGCGACACAATACAGCACGGCATTGACCATCTTCTTCGTACGTCAAGACCGCCCAGCTGGTCTCAGCGTTGTGATCTGTCTGACCCGGGCTTTTTGCTCTTCTAGGTTCCATATGTGGTCTTCGAGATCCCCTCCAATATAATTCTGAAGCGCCTCAAGCCCCATGTCTGGCTTTCCCTGTGCATGTTTGGATTCGGCTTGGTCACTGTGTGCCAAGGATTGGTACAAGGTTATGGCGGCATTATTACCACCAGATTCTTCCTTGGTTTGTTCGAGTCCGGAATGTTTCCAGGTGTGATCGGACCCGAGTCTCCTGGCCCAAAGGGCAACTCACTCACGGCCCAACAGGAAGTTTTTATTTGATTGGAATGTGGTACAAGAGAAACGAAGCCCAAAAGAGATATACCTTTTTCTTTGCCAGTACCACCTTGGCTGGCGCCTTTGGCGGTCTCCTCGCTTCGGCCATCGGTAAGATGGACGGCATGTGTGGCTATCTCGGATGGAGATGGGTCTTCATTCTCGAGGGGTGTCTGACATGCGCTGTCTCATTCGTCTGGTTCTTCATTATCCCAGATTTCCCAGAGGACGCCCAGTGGGTGACCGAGACCGAACGACAGTACATCATGGCTCGACTCCGTGAGGAGCAAGGCAAATCCGCCATCGAAAAACGTATCACGTTCAAGGCCGTGGTCAACTGCTTCAAAGACTACAAGTTCATCTTGGGCTGGCTCATGTATTTTGGCCTGATCGTACCTGGTAAGGACGTGGACAACTTTTGGGATCGGTGAAACCAGAAAGCTGATGTTGTCTTCGGTGCAGCTTACGGTTACGCCTATTTTGCGCCCACTATCATCAAGACATACGGCTACAGCAATATTGGAACGCAACTGCACTCTGTTCCACCGTGGGCAGCGGCCTTCGGGTTCAGCATGTTAGTGGCTGCCCTCTCCGATCGTCTGCGACATCGATTCCTCTTCACCGTCATACCCATCTGCATTTCCATTGCCGGCTTCGCCATTCTCATGATCGAGCACGATGACCACCATCTAGAGTATGGCGCTCTTTTCTTGATCACTTCTGGGACTTACAGCGCCATGCCCATCATCGTGTGCTGGTTCAACATGAACCTCGCTACCCATACCCGCCGTAGCGTTGGTTCGGCGTGGCAAATTGGCGCTGGCAACATCGGAGGCATTATCGCCAGCTACAGTTTCGAAGCCGCAGATGCGAAGACCTTCTTCCACAAAGGCTACAGCATCTGCATGTCATTCATCTGCTTGAGTGCGGCCAGCTGTGTGGTGTACTTTTTGGCTTGCTTGACCCAAAATCGGAGCCGAGAGAAGAATCACGATGTGGGGTTGACCGAGTACGAGAAGACTGAAATGGGCGATATGAATCCAGAATACCGGTACATGCTTTGATGAGGGGAGGCTGGGGAACAATACGTCTCGACCTGTGTCGGAGCAGGTAGGCGGGCCATGTTTGTGACAGCAGTCTGCAGTCCACTGAAGGGCGAATAGGTCCATTTGACCGGCGGGACGAAACGCAATACCTGCCAGACGTTAGGAGGAAATCCCGAAATCAGATACGTACAGGCAGTTGACTCTCTCGATGTCCCAGGAAGGGTGGATGCCATGCCAGATCGAAATGAATCGGGAAACGTTCCTCGAATGTTGATGTCTTCCAGCTTCTCAGTCCTTCCCGTATACTAGTTCGATGACCAAATTTCATCTCGGTTTGTCCATAAGACCAGCTTTCTAAGGAGCCGGAGTAGCAATGATGGGGGCACGGTAGAATAGAAAGTGCCTCGAGCTGATATTCGAGGGGTCATGCAGAGGACTTATCTTGTGACACGAGTCGACACAGGCGAGTAAAGAAAATCACGCATTCTCCTGTGTCTTGACTACTTCTGGGGATATTGCCTACATGATCTGAGCGCGCCGTAAACGCGGCCATCGGCTTCAGAAGCTTGAAGATATCGATCAACACTCTCAGATGCCGAATAAAGTACGGGACAGGACGTGGCTTGCTCGAGGCTGAAGGTTGGCCAATCAGCGAGGAAACCCGAAGACGAGGGCCAAAACAAACCATGACATAATCAGACTCTAATGATGCGCAACCAATCAGATGCTGTGATAAGAATGAGGCAAGCAAAGAACATTGGCAGCGCAGACTGGCTTTCATGTTTTCAGCTTTTCGCTCTCCACTCCTCCAGAATGCAATTCCATAAACCTTGACCCAAAATCCTTTGCAGCTGCCATTACATGGTTAATCTCTCACAATCAACCCTTCAAGGGGGCTCTACGAATGTTGCGGTCTCTCTTTACCGCATGGCCCGAAAATTGAACACTTCGTCGCCAGATCAGCCTTGATCGCGTGATGGACCTAATTTGCACCTGGCATTGATCAGTGTGGCGTTCAAGACCATCAGATGTCATGCAACGTACATTGGAAAGGAAGGACCGAGTGCGGCAAGTTCATGTTTCCGGTTACAAGGATGCCGGCAATAGCCTGGCTCTCTTCAGTGGGAATGTCGAATGTGTCAGTTCTTCCAGGCTGTCAGACAGCTTGTGGCTACGCTCGCTCCCGTGGACTTGGATACTCCAGACTGTCCACGGGTCTTTGGGGATAGGCAATGCGACATATCGCTCGAATGGAATCGATGTTGGTGTCTTCTTCACTAATTGCAAGGTCAGTTGGGTTGTCTCGCCAATGGCTAATACGGCCTCACCTTGCTCACTCCGGGACTGAAGACCGGTCTTGGACTTGCCCGAGTTCGAAGTCAAAGCCATTTCAACTGTCTCGGTCCAAGCTAGTGTAGTGTCGGTTCGCTGGTGTGCTTATTGAATTGTCCGCAAACAGAGACGGGCCTTGATCATTTTCGGGAGACAATTTGAGGAGGACTGATTGAATGGATAGGGACTCATGAACGAGAAGAGAAAATCACATCGAAGGGGGAAGTAGCCACAAGTATGCACGTTTCAAGCACTGACTCAACTGACCGCAGTCTTCTTCTTGGTGGTAGTGTGGGGGGGGGGGGGGGGGGGGGGGGGGCACTCTCACCGTAACAGGCGTCGCCACCGCTGAACGTGATCTTGACAAAACCAACGATTGAGTACATGATCAAGGATGGATACGAATACTAACGGACAATTTTCCATCGGCCTCCTGGAGGATCCGATAGTGAATCCGAAGTTGGCCAATGTCGCCCGAATTATCAAGCAACCTTGAGGAGTTACTTTGCAACCATATCAGAAAAATTATCGGGTTCGACGTGTTCCGGAGCAGTCAGATGAACTAGAGATCTCCGAGAGTCGACAATTCGAAAGCCAACGTGGCTATTGGGTAATCAGATGGATATTGATGTCTTCAAAGAATGACAGCAAGAATCGCAATCTTGGTGGAAATGAGAAGAATGATAACGCCTTCGGACATGCCAGAAGCCAGGTTTTTGCATCGCGGAAGCGGAACCTTACTGCGGCAATAAGAGACGCCTGATTACGCTCCTGGGTGGCAAAAACTCTTTTTCTTTGATAGTTGGCTCTGGCAGAGAGAAAATGCGGCTCAATACGGTCACGTGTCAGGCAGGCATCAGGCTTACTACGACGATGTGCGTCATGCACGGTACCATGTGCCAGTCGGCCAGCAAACAGGTAAAGTGTCCCGGTCAACGCCCTGACCGAGTTGGGTAAGAAATACCAATGGGAGTTCATACCCAAATAAGGATTCGGAGAGGAACCGGGCCCGGAGTATGTCCAACGCCTTTGTTGCCAAACTTGACAGGGAAGAAGTTGGATTCAATAAAGGTAATGGAATCCAGAACACTCCAAGACCAAAGTCCGGCACACCTCGACAAGCAATGGCAATGGCATTGAGATAGTCTATGTCAAAGCATCATTACACCGTGTTGATAACTAGTATCTCATAATCTGGTTCGATTGCTGGAGGATCGAAAGACGACACATTATACAAGAACGCTCGAGACTGGAGGTGAGTGAGATGAATATGTGCTGCGTACCCCCGTAGACATGTCGAGTGTATAACGCAGGAGCACCCTCTCGATCCAAGTGTTTTGTCTATACCGTGAGATCTGCAGCCGTAGAAATCGACATGCCATAATGTCCGGTGTCATTTCGTTGCCCCACGAACCCTGGCGACAATCTAACGTCTCAAGGGTGAAAGACTTTTTTTTTTTTTTTTTTTTTTTTGGATCTACCGCCGTTTTCAATATTTTGGGGGAGGTCTCATAGCCAAGTGCTCTCAAGGCATGTATTTTTGTTCCCAATTCTCGCACCTGTCGCCGCCGTTTTTTCATGACCGAATCAAGCGAATCGAATTTCGCTTGCTTATATTACTCCGGAAAAACATCTGTGACCAGGCTCTTCTTATTGATTTTCCCCATTGCATTTCTTGGGATCGACTCCACAACTTTCAATTCCTGTGGAATCTTGTAGTTTGCAAGTTTATCCTTCAGGGCGCGCCGCATGTCCATGACGCCCCATGGCTTCCCACCGCGTCCCGCAGTCAAGCCCCCTTTCGTGAGCACAACGATGGCCGCGACTTTCTGGCCCCATTGCTCTGAAGGGATGCCTACGACAGCAGCCTCCGAGACTTCAGGCAGAGAGAGCAGTTCACGCTCGATCTCTAACGCCGATACTTTTTCCCCACCCGTTTTGATGATGTCGACGCTCTTGCGGCCGCGGATGAAGTACATGGGCCCTTTGGCCCAGGACTGCTCGCTTTGGCCTGTTCCCGGTACGAGCTGGCGAACGGCCACGTCGCCGGTCTTGAACCATTTGCCTCGTCCGTCGTCACTCTCGGCGAATTCTTCCGCCGTGGCTTTGGGGTTGCGGAAGTACTCATTGAACACCGTGGGCCCGCGGAGTTGGATCTCGCCTTCACGCGACTGGCCATTTTGGTCTGTTTCCTCACCTGGTTGGATGACGTCGCCGGTTTCAGTCTCTACCAGTCGAACTTCCACCGAGGGTAACGGCCAACCGACGCTGCCGTCGACGCGATCTTCGAAGGCCAATCCGCAGGACAGAGCCATGCCGACTTCGGTCATGCCATAGCGCTCGAGTAGGACATTGCCACCGCTGAGTGCTGTCCAGGCCGCTTTCGTCGGTGTGGGCAGAGCAGCGGAGCCGGAGATATTGAGACGCATATATTGCGGTGTGATGGCTGTGCGGGTTGCTTCTCTCATATCGGGATCGAGAGATGGATGTGAGGCGAGGAGGCGGTTATATATCGTAGGCACGACAGTGAGGAATGTGATGGGTCTTTTGGAGGGCGGAGAGTGGGGGAGAAAAGGTGCCGCAAGACGTTTCCATACGGTGTCTGCATTGAAAGGGTAGGCGAATTCAACGGCTGCTCCGGCCATAAGTGGGGTGAATAGCGTATTGATCGTTCCATGGATGTGGTGAAGAGGAAGAACATGCAGGAGCAAGTCGGACGGGCTATAGTTCCAAGCTTCTATTAAAGATCTCGCCTGCGCGGTGATTGTCGGTACAGACAAGACCACCCCTTTAGGCCGGTTTGTCGTGCCGGATGTGTACAGCATAAATCCGCCATGGTCGATAGATTGGCCGCTGAACTTGACGTTTTCTGCTGACACAGCTCCAGTTTCGATCTTGGACAGGATTTCCAGCTTAGGAGTATGATTCAAACCTTCTTTGACCACCTCTTTAGCTTTGTCTTGGAATTTCTCCGTCGATAGAAACAGGGCGGCTTCGCTGTTCTCCAGGATATACCGCAGTTCCGAGCTGGGATGTGTGTGTGCCAGGGGGAGGGCAATCGCGTCGTGGGACAGGATCGAGAGAAACGTGACTGTGGTCCTTGGTCAACACACCTCCCCATAGGCAGGACGAGGCTATCTTCCCGCACCTACATAGTCATAGCCATTTTCGGCTAAGAAAGCGATTCTCTCGCCGGCCAAAGGCTTTCCATCGGTCAGAGCGGTCAAGTTGTCTTTGGCGGCGGCAACATCGTGTAGTAAGCTGCCATAGCAAAAAGTGCGGTCGGAGGCACTGTGGATGATCGCTGCAGTTTTGGGGTCATGTTTGGCAATGGCATCGAAGATGGGCGAAGAAGGTAGAGTCGAAGCCATTCGGATAGGAGACAATTGAAATCTCTTACAGGTGACAGGAAAGAAGGAGGAGCTTCGAGCTGCTATGAGACCACCTCCGGAGTGCAATATCGCAGTGTTGAATCGAGAGGCCAGGATGATGGGGCGCATCCCGACAACATTGTTGAGCTCGCCCAAGGAAGCTCTAGTCTCACATTTAGACGACAAAACGACCCCGATCAAGGGTCAGTGAGCGCTCAATTTCCGAATTGTTGAAGAGCTGCGAAGATGGGGCTCTCTACGGAGGAACAGTTGCTCCACATCGAAGGAGAAAAAAGATACAGCCCAGCTTTTAGTGTTTTGATGTTACAATTCCCATACCCATTGTTCCCCATTCATCATCACACATCCACTTGTTCAAATCTCACAAGTAGAGCACATTTCGTCTCGTGCCCCTTTAAGTCCAGCATGCGGATGAAATTCCACCCCGGCGTCACGTAAAATATCCGCACGGCGGCAACGGCGAAAATCGGATTTCTCGAAAAGGCATCATCACTCTTGATGAGCATACGCATGAACACCAGTTCATTGTCCTCGTACTCCCATTCCAGTGTCTCGTTCCAGATCGGGTCGGTGACTGGAGGATTGTCGCCTCCATGAAGGAAGCCGAGCTTGTGATGCTTGTAAGGCGACGTCTTGCGCTTGGGTGAATCGTCCTCCAGCTCGTCCGGGTGGTAGAGCGTGCAGGTGAGATACGGTTTGATATCGTCTGCCTCACGGTCTCGCGGAACAGGTACGTCTGACGCTCCCGCGACATGAAGACGCAGTTTCTTTCTCTTTCCAGTATTAAGCTTCCCCCGGCCTCCGGCACGGAGGGCCGCAGGTTTCAAAACGTATCCATCCGTACCACTGAACAGTGCCTCGTTCAGCTGCATACTAGCTCCGAAAGTCTGCCAGTTGAGGGCACAAACTTGGGCTCCGACACCCCAGAAATTGACCGGCTTGAGGTTCCTGGACGAAATTCGAGTGCCCTTTGGATACACACGCATCAGATGATGAGCGTTATGGCGAGCAATCTTCTCGCTCTCGGCAGGCATACGGGATTTCAATCCAGTCTCTGAGACGTTGATGAGGTGATGATGGGGACCGCCTTGGAGTCCCGTTTCACTGTACCATGAATTGTCTCGAGGTTTGATTGATTGAGCGTAGACACCGAGCTCCGCAAGTTCGGGAATGATGGTGGTGGCAGGGGTAGCTTTCTTTTTCTCTTTGTAGGCTTTTCGAGCTTGCTTTTCCTCCTCGTCTTCCTCTTCATCCTCAGAGCTGGTGTCATCGTCGCTGTCCCCGGCTTCGTCGGGAAAGTGATACTCGACAATAACGACAATTCTGGATCCGAGCTCATCTAGAGTCACATGCTCACCTGTTCCCTGTTGCTCTTGGTGTCCTTTTTCTCTGACAGCCCTACTTAGAAGCCGATCACCCCAGACCTCTTTCATGATTTCAGCGAGACGCCGTTGGCCGTGGGCATCACAATGATTCTCGAGGGATAAGAAAATAGGTGCTGCTCGATAGCCCGATTCATTGCCAGACTGTGCTGCCTCTTTATCAACGACATCCCTAATGGTCTCACAGACCAGGCGGAATGGGATGTGGGAGACCAGAGTGTATCCATGTGTGACCTTGGGTTCGTCCGTATTGTCCTCATCGTCCCAGGCATCGATTTCAACGCAGCGCGATCCGGTATTGAGTGCTGTTTCATATGCTTTAGCGGAAGAAGTGCCATAGAGCTGATGTGCTATCAAGTAGGTATTATGACTAGAGCTGATGAAATATTCCGGCAGGGGATGCGACCTATCAGTAACGGACGAGGGAACCTTGATATGTGGCTGGTCGAGGAGACGGTGCAGTGCGTCAGTCAGTTGACCTGGGTGATCCAAACCAGCATCTTCTTTGGACAGGACGTTTTCTTGAACTAGAAACGACCTGAGGGCCCGGTTGACTCTGAGTTGATTCTTGGTGATATCAGACTGGCGACCGCCACGACCTCCTCCTGCGACGGTGGTAGAGTCGATTTCTTCTCCTATGTCTTCGTCATCGCCTGTGCGACTTGATTTTGGGAATGGATTCAATTTGGCTAGGCGCGAGGTAAGATCTGGAGGACCCAAGTCTGACATGGTGAGGGTAGGGCCCGGGTCTAATATGGAGTCAGTTCGTGGCAGTCCGAGTATCAATGCAACTCAGCGGTGCGGTAAGATACTCACGGTATTGGCGATAAGTTAGATCATTCTAAGTGCTCTGCGAGGGGCTCTGCAAGAGAGGGGCACGGGTCTTGGCTGACGGATGTCTGTGTAGACACCTGAGATACGCGAGGGATCTCTTATGCCGACCAATCCGCCATGATCGTTTCTATTCTATCTGGACCTCTCCAATGATTGGGCTGATCCTTTGACACTTGATTCGATCTATGAGCCATGAAAATAATGCAATCCACTGGCAGAGTTTTGATCCGAATACGTCTCCTGCCTGCTCCGCCGTAGAATTCCACATATCGCGAAATACCTCACCGCAACCACAGACAGCCTTACCAAGACGATTTTCCAAGCTTCAAGACTTACCAATCAGACAAAGTTCCAATCAATTTCTCTTCACCCAGGATCATGTCCCCATGAGACGATTATTAACTCTGCGCACGTCGAATGGACGTTCAGCATCGCAAATCAGAATGTCAAGCACATCGAGCACACCAATGGAGGATACGATAAGGAAGAAGGTAAGAAACATTTCGGTGTTCATCCATTCCTGTTTGGATTTGACTCCCTACCTTGTTCGGATCCTTTCCGGTACATTCAATTCTATCATCATCCATCACAATATTCCGCAACCTTGCCTCGGTCTCGGAATCGCTCTTTCAAATTCTCCATTCACAACATCCAGGCCGGCCTTGACATCCAACCTGATTAATAAATTGATGGACACAGGTGACCGACACCCTGAACCCAACGGAGCTCCGGATCCGGAACGATTCACATTTACATGCACATCACAAGGCCATGGTGGGAAGTACATCGACGGAGACGCATTTCTAGTACGTTCTCCCCGGCTTTCGTTTTATCTTTCGTGTTCAAGCCAATTTGCCCACTGGTTTCTGCATCGGCGAGAGTAGGAGAACATGTATACGCACATACTCACCAATAATCGCATAGCGTCGACATTGTCTCCACGGCATTTGCATCGAAACCCCAACCAGCACGGCACAGGATGGTGTATGGCCTGCTGAAAGAAGAACTCGATCGGCCAGGTGGGATTCATGCTCTTCAACTCCGGACGAAGACGCCCGAGGAGGATGAGAAGTTGAAGGCCAAAGGAATGCCGTGAGGTTGCTCGTCCTTGGCAAGAAGGGATGTTTGGGGCAATGGTTGCTATGAGAGCTGATTCGTTGTAACCATTGGGCTGGAACACGGTTTCGGATCTGTTGCAACTGGGGTTAACGAGAGATATATCACGCCAGGCATTGATTCTATGTGAAATGTGATCCTGCGTCAAAGGAGGGAATTTCAGCTCACATAGATACAACGTGAGAATTTTCTTGGACTCAGTCAAAGAGCGACTCAAAACCAAAATTGGAAGAACAAGTGTAATTCGATCTTTCCCAGCCATAGAATCCACTCCAGGTGATGAGAATGTATTGCTCTCCCACTCTTTGAATTCAGCCAATCAATGCCCCCCTTGACTTGCATTGATTGAAGGATCTCCAAGAAAGCGTGAGGAATTATTAAAGTTTTATCTGGGATATGCTGTACACGATCACCAACCAACCATCCAAGAAGGAACGAGAACAAACAAAATAACGCCGGCTTTTCGGAACATACGAGACTTCCATCCTCTCCTACTTCTGTGATCCTACTCTTTCTTTGCTTTCGCGCGCTGATCGTACGCCGAATGAGTGTCACCACAACTCTGATCAAGAAAAGAAATTGAAGATTGAGAGGGTTGGTCTGTTCCCCCCGATGAAGCATCTTATCCATCCCATGTGGACCACATCAGGTTCAATGGAAAAACAAGCCTTGAATTCGTTGTAAACAGGGCGCAACCCAGGCATATTTGCGAGGGCAATGCAGTAATGCAAATCAGTCATAGATTGAGGTTCAAGGTCAGTGATTGTTAGGGTGTGCGGACTTCTAGTTGTTCGTAACTTCAACGACCACAACGACCACGACCACGATGATGATGATAATGAGCACTAAATAAGAGTTAGGGGAAGGCTGTCTCTGGAACGACAAAGATACTGACCAACAATGCCCAAGCACATCCACTTCTTCCTTCTGGCAGCTCTAGCCTTTGTAACTGCACCCTCAAGCTCGGTGTTGGCTTTGGCGACATGTTCTGTGACCTCTTCTCCTCTTTGTTCGATTTGAGTGACGGCAGGCTCTTGCTGCACCACCAATGCCTCGAGATCTTGGAAGAGCTGAGCAAGTTCGATCATCTGCTCTTCAATCTTCTTGATATCCGCATGACGAGAAGCAACATTGCTTTGCACGGCCTGTACCTGGCCAAGGTTGTTGCTCCGGATCAAAGCCTGCTGGAAGATTTGTTCGGTAGGGTTCTGAACAGCTGCTTGGGCTTCGGCATCTGAGGCATCTGGACGAACAATTCTGTATTGTCTCTTTATCTGCTCTTCGGTAGCCCTTCGGAATGTGTGCTCAACTCCTTGGTAGTCGGTGTAGAATTTTTTCAGTCGTCGCTCAACGCTACCGACTTGGGCTCGATTGCGACTATCGCTGGATTCTCTATCGCTCTTGATTTTCTTGACACGGTTTATGAGACCTCGGTACTTAACCATAATTTCTTGATTTTTTCGGTCGATTTGAAGACGCCAGGGAGATTGAGCAGAAGTGTCTGTGTCATTCAAATATCGTTGTTGATATCCCTCGAGTTCCTTCAAATCGGCTTCAACAGTGTCCATAGCTCGGTTGATCTCCCGGCAAGCGTTGAGGATTCTGTTGGGGTCGGCGCCATTCATGTCATCCATTTCTAAGATAGAGGATTAGCCGAGATTCAAAGCGCAGGCAGGTAGGAAAAATGCGTACCATAACCACCGCCAGGCTGGCCAGTTTGCTGACTATCACTCGGTCCATAATGGCTGCCCGAGTACTGCTCTGACAGCTGCGGCCGGCCATATCCCTCCTGGACGTTATTTTGACTTCCTCCGTATCGATTCGCGTAAGGATTATAGGTGTCGTATCCCTGGTTGTTGTACTAAATGTGGTATACGAGAGAGATTAGTGGCAGCTCATGGAAGGACGTACAATAGCGGCGTCTCAGGAGACCGATGAGATGGTACGGGTGCTCTGGTGAGCATTGAAGGAATGTCTGGACTTACACTCATGATGACGGAAGAATGAGACTGATACTAAGGGTATCTGGCCAATTGAGGTGCAGGGTGAAGGGTGGAAGGTCCCAATGGAATCCTGTTGGCCGAAAAAGTTAAGGGAACAAGTGAAACGGTATACGCGCTGGTTGAGGAACGCGATACTGAGATGCGACAGGAAAGTGATGCCCAAAAAATAGATGAAATGGAACTGAAGGTGAATCAGCAGCAGCTGAAAATGAAGATGAGGAATGAGAAAAAGGCTGAGTGATCACAATAATCTGGATCAGCTCGGAGTCGGGAGGAGGAAAGTAGTAGTTGCTTGCGCCGAAAAGTCTGGGCAGAAGCCTGCGCGCTTGAGCGAGTCTGAGTCTGTCGTACAGAACGAGTGACAGAAGAGGTGAAGTGTGGCCCTGACAGGTGACAAGGGGAGCACGGGAAGGTTAGAGCCTACGTCCGCCGAGACTCGAGGCACAAGGAGAGCGTTCGTGGGGCGAAGGAGGCTGTGCAAGTCGCCCATACGCCGTGCTCGTGCCACTTCCAGATGCTAAGTTCTTATGGGAGGGAGTGCGCAATTGGGGCCTAAGTGAGAGAATGCGGTCTGTCAAAAAGAGAGTTCATAACGATGAGGATCACTCCCACAGACGATCTATCACTCCATACTGTCAGCGCTTGACCCCTTCTGCCTCCTGCTGTTCCGCCATTGCCCGGCAAGATTGAGACTTCCCTAACGATCCAATTCCTCGCCTCCAGTCCACTAAGTTGTCGAACCTTGCTTCGCTAGAGGCCTGATAATGTCTCAACATCCAATCAATCCCTCGTAATCTTACTTAGCAGGCCGAGAGCTTTCAGGCGTCACCAGTGTTCCTAGTATGCCTCAGGCCGGACTGGATTTCTCAGTGTCGCACTAAGTATCATTTCACGCAGTTTGCTTGTTTCTTGCTAATACTGTTGCATAGAAGCCCGCAAGTCATATCCCATTAAAGTTGGTGTCCCACGGCCATCTATTCTTGCCATCATTACTAAGAGGGTTCCGTAGATCTCACATCGACCTCGTAATCACTGCGGCGTTGCATCTGTCTTAGCCATTCCATCTTCCACCTAGGCACCCACGATTTCAATTCTTATCTGCCTGGAAGTCTTCCCCAACGCTCTTTTGTAGAACCGTGCCAATCATCGGTGGCTGAACGACTAAGCTCTCCATCAACCCCCACAAGTGACAGAGCCTCGATCTATTAGACCCGCAGAGGGTTCAGCAACCGCAAGGCTGCGACATTCTTGGTGACGACAGTGGCCTGCCCCTGGGTTTTACCATCTTTTGGCTTCATCACCCTCGCTCCACGGCCTCTCTGTGTAACCAAGCCGTCGCTTGACGTCTTGTACTGTGTCCGGGTCTCCTGTATTCTTACCAATATTGTCCGATATTTTCACTGCCGGCCTTCCCCCTGCTTTGGACAACTTGATGACAATATTGAGTGGTTTGGACTTGGTCCGACCATCTGATTTGAGCTTGAAGTCGTTGGTGAAGAAGGTCCCCACCCCAAAGGAAGGCTTGAAGCCGTGCGCTTCCGCTAGTCCCTTGTACTCTAGGCATTTCTCGACATTGAGCGAGTCTGAAAACACAATGCTCTTACCGCTCACACATATAGACCTGTAGAAGTCGCTGGCAAGCTTGATGTACTCCTTCGGGTCGCCGGAGTCTTGTCTGATGCCAGCAAAGACTGCAGCATACGAAGACTGCTCGTGCGATGGATTACTTTCATCCGAGTATCCCGCAGTCGCGTCTTGTGACGCCGATGTTCTTGCGGGTATTCTAATTTTGAATGCTTTGAAGAAATCGTTTGTTCCGAATGTGTCGGTCAAAGCAATACCCAATACTCCTTTGCCGAAACAGTCGAGCCAATAACGCAGTCCGTTCTCATTGGCGTGTTCATAGTCATTGGTCAGCGCAGCAATTCCCATATACCATTCGTGGGCAACGGTGCCGACAGGAGGTATGCCGTGCTTCATTGCAAAATACACGTTGCTTGTACCCGTCAACTTTCCAGGCAGATTATTTTCCCGAGACGCTCGAACCAGACCTTTAATCACGAGGTCCTGGGTATGGAAATCCCTCCTTCTCCGTGAGCCAAATTCTGACACCAAGCAGCCTGCTGTGAATAGTCGGATACCCTTCTCGTAGGCGTTTTCTTCCTGTCCTTGATAATCCCAATCTTGATCAACAAACTTAAAATATGCTTCGCTCGTCAAGGCGAGTATGGGAATTTCATAGAGAATGGTCTCAACCCAAAGACCGCTTATCGTGATGTCTAGATCCCCATATGTATCATCGACGGGGCTAAATTTCAGATTCACCTGCTCCGCAGGCCGCAAACGGAAGGCCTGCAAGTAGACTAGATGATCCGGACTCAAGAACTGGCAGTGTTTTCTCAGAAACTCCAACTCTTGCTGCGATAGGGTGATGTTTGCCAATTTGGTGATCTGTTCTTCCAACCAGGAGAAGGCTTTCTTGTTCAATCTCATATGCGGAGTACGATTTGTGAACTTGTATTCGACATCCACGGAAGGAAAATATTTCAAGACCGCACACTGCATTGTCAGCTTGTACAGATCAGTATCGAGGAAGGAGAAGATGCCCTCTGGCAGCTTAGACTGCGCCATGTTGCGGACCTGCAGCCTAGCTCACCAATAGAGCCTAGAAGGAAACAAGGTCATCACCAAATGTCACTGTGCTTTTTGGCATTCGGCTTTCAGGGCCAAAATTGCCGCGCTGCACGAACCAGGTGCAGATCGAGTGTTTGTGAACGGAAAGACTGACTCAAAGAATGTGCCCTTTCTAGCATTTGCCTTCCTATGACACAATCTTGCAGGCCGCGCCTTTCCCCTTTCGGTGCTTATCAGCCTCGTGAGATTTGTTCACGTGGCAGACTGAGTTGGGCTTCGACGGCTTTCCAACACTGGTATGTCGGCAGCTGACTGGGAAAGGGATAAATACTTTTCAAAAGTAATGTACTTCCAGTATTGTTCTAAAGTACCTATATCCTCCGCCAACAGGCCCCCCGAAATAGCTGTCCATATTCAGACAGAATCTTCCCCCTTAGTATTCACATAGCAGTGGTCGGTGATGCGATACCAGTCCACATTCTCAAGTGAGTGGTGGCCCGTAGTGAGTTTGGAACCATATGTCCCGAAATTCCTCCTCTCGAACCTGATTGTGATATAGAAGGCCAAACTGGTCGATAATCTTCAAGATAGGACGATCTTTGTCTCCTCCTGCATTTTTGTACCCTGTCTGTGCTCGAATATGTAGCTTCTCTGCCTCCGGTCTACCTTGCTCGGCATACAGTGTTCCGAGACTATGGACGATATCGAGGGTCGAAAAGTCATCGGGTCCGGGTTGTTTCTCACGCGCCGCCAATGCTTGTAGATATCTCTTCTCTGCGATCTCAAATTGGTTCTGATCCCGATATAAGTCGCCGAGTAAACGAACCACCTCGAGAGTTTGAACATGGTCAGGTCCATGAATTTTTTCGTACCCTGCAAGTGCTTGCATGTACATTTGTTCTGCCTCCTCAGACTTCCCCTGATCATGCAGGAGGCGCCCGAGTGTGGAAACTGCCCAGACAGTCAAAGCGTGATCGGGACCATAAAATTTCTTCCTCTCTGCCACTACTCGTGTAAAGATTTCTTCTGCCGTCTTGAATTTTCCTTGAGAAGCATAGAGATTGCCAAGATTTGCTGCTGCGGTAAGAGACGACATGTCACCGGGTCCAAAGATTCTCTCCTTCGCTGCAAGGACTCGTAGAAACGTCTCTTCTGCCATCCTCAATTTGTCTTGAGCTCGATATACTTGACCAAGTGATTCTGTCATATCGAGAGTCTGGATGTCATCAGATCCAAGAATTTTCCGAAAACCTTCTCGTACTCTTATGAACATACGCTCTGCCATCGCTAGCCGACCTTGATAAAGATATAGCATGCCGAGACCTTTCAGTATACTCAAAGTAGATCGATGATCACCTGGCCCAAGACTTTTTTGGTCCTCTACCAGTGCTCGCTCGTACATCAGCTCTGACGCAAAGTACTCCAGTTGGAGGCGAAGAAGAGTCGCGTGGCGGAAGATGTCAGGAATTCGACGCCAGGAAAAGTCTGATCGATTTGCAACATCTTTAAATCGAAGATTCGCAAGATGCTTAGCATGAATTGCCAATCGCTGACATCTGATGTCGAAAAGATGATCCCAGTCCTCGCTCGTGAGACACTCGGCCACGCAGTCGGATGCTATCCAGTATTGCCGAACATCAATGGCACGGTTCAAGCAGTTCAAAATCCAATCATGAACGCATACATGAAGGTTGTATGATTGTGTTTGGTGATTTCCTTCAGCAAGAGAATATTTGACCAGCGTCTGCATGGCGGATTCAAATGAAGATTGGTAGCGAACTACGTTATTAAACCAAGCTGGTGCACCTTCAAGTTGAGCCGCATAACCCTGGCAAAGAAGGCCGTACCAGATCGCTCGATGGTCGAGGTAGGCCAGAAAACCTAAAAATTGTGCGGCTTCAGGATTCTCCTCTTTGATGCGGGCATAAGACAGTTCCCACGTATTGTAGAGTGTCCGAGGAGAGTACTCAGTTGGCCCCTCAGGGGAGGCAACCGTCTCCCATCTGCATTCGTATGCTATAAAATATGTGCAGAAGTCGAAGGACGACTTCTGAAGGTAGACGCCGGCTGTAGCCAGAGCTAAGGGATGACCATCCAACCGCTTTACCAACTGGCGGGCACCGAAATCTGCTTTTTGTGAGTGACAGGTCTCTCGTAGGCTGGCAAAGGCCCAATTACCAGATTCGATGTGCTCTCGCCCTGATCGGGTGGATAGAATGCGTAGACCGTCTTCTTCCTTGCTCATTGATCGAATTTCCAGCTTTTCTCCAGAGATCTTACTAGGCACCCGTGTAGTAATGATGACTGATCCTTGCACAGCAGAAGGGTAGTATTTTGTAATATCATACTGATCTGGATCATCATAGTTGTCATATACTAGCAACCATCTATTATTGTCTGGCGTTGATAGCCAATTGGAGATATCGATCCACAGGCTGTTGTCATCAAGCGGGTCCACCTTGTCCGGATCGAAAATTCGCTGACCCAGTCTCCGGAGACTAAGTTTTAAAGTAGTGTCGGATGTTGCGTTGAGCCAGAAGACGGAAAAGTAGGAGGTGGCATATCTTTTGCAGTAGGCGATGGCCAACTGTGTCTTGCCAACTCCTCCCATTCCGCCCAAGGCCAAGACTTTTCGAATGGAAGAATCCGAACCAGGTTGAAAAAGGGTTTCCATTTTCCGAAGCTCGTCATCACGGCCGATAAACAGGTCCTCTGGCATATTGGGGGCATCAATCAGATTCAGGCCGCGACAATACTCTAACAAGAAATCAGTCATGGCATAGGACGATCGGTATCGTTGATATGGAGCAAAGTGGACTATTTCACTATCGAAATGGGTTATCTCGATTTGAAACTATAAACGTCCACCGGTAGGAAGGCAAGCCAAGGGAACTGCTATTTAAACTCACCCGAAGTCTGCACCACGTCGGCAGCAACCGCTACCTTGGCCACCTCTTTGGGGGTAATGACACTTAGCAACTCCTTCGTATAAGCGGCAGCGGCGGCGGCAGCATAAGGCTGCCAAATTTTGTTTTTGTGGGAGTCTGCATAATCACAGATACCTCGAATAACCAGGCATGGGAATGAATCCATTAAGCCGGCTGCCTCCATCTCCACGCAGATGATTTTCAGCGTTCGTCGCAGCTCCTCTCTCACTGTGGCATCTTTGACCAGTGCATTGGCTGAGCCGATGGCGCCGTAATGAAAGACAGGATCCGTGTTGTCACGTTCCTCCCGCCGAATGACGCGTTCCTTGTCACAATTTTGACATGTTCCTTCTTCGCCTTGGTGAGGATAGTTCGCCTGGAACAACTGATCATTTTCGTCACCTGGGTAGGAGTATTTCTTCGTCATCTTGGGAAATCTTTGGAGCATCTCAGACATAAATTGTGGTACGCGGCTATCTTCCATGGCATGGACGGCTCTCAGCGAATTCACACTGGCTAGAAGGCGTTCAGGAGGCTTATTCAATACTCTGGTTCGTTCAAAGGCCCCCCCTGCTTTGTATTTGCCGAAATCGTATTGAATGACACCGCCAGAATCGTTCGTTGGCGTACTGATCACCACGTCCCCTAACCGAATATCATCACCCTGTCCCCGCTCCCCAGGCACTCCGCCGCCAATTCCTACCAGAAGCCCGAACCGGATCAAGGGGAAATCGATCATGAGTTGTGTCGCCACGATCCCTGCCGAACTGTTCCCAGTCTGAGGCAGCACGGCAATCACCATGTTATGCCCGCAAATTTCTCCAAGTATATAGTTGTTGTCGCCACTCTTTGTGGGCAGTTTAGAGTGTTCCTTGTCCAGCAAAGCCCTAACTGGCGCCAATTCCACGCTCATTGGGCAGAGACAGCCCACAGTATAGTCGTTGTGGGTGAGAGGCATATTCGCTCAGACCCAGCAGGAGTCGATAGCAGCGTGCAGAGGGATATTCGACGAATTGGGGATGGCAAGGCTGAGATTCAGCAAGGTGAATACATATATGTATATATATTTCGTTTGGGCTCAGGGTTTGAATGGATACGCGGGAAAAACACTCAAATACGCAGATGCCTTGTACAAGGAGCTGCCGCCGTGTCTTCAGCAAGACGGAAAGGATAGCCTCGAAGCATGATGGACAAGAATCAAGAAGGTGGGAAGAAGAGGTAAGGCAGATGTTTGGCAAAGGCGCCTACACCTGCGAGGCGCAAGTGCTTCAGGTTGATGAATTTGGTCAACACGTGAGACGTCGAGGCGAGTTTGTCGTGCTCAGATTATTCTCTATTTAGAGAAATTAAGCGCCGCTATATATTAGCAGTTGTGACACCAAGTTCCGATCGAAGCGATATGGCCCCCGTCTTCCAGTCTTATCGAAGTACTTTTGATTGACGCAGGATTGTACATCAGGATCGTGGGCAAGAACATGATTTTCAATTGAATCCATGACCAAACCTTGCAACGATATGGATGAGCGATGTCAATTGGCAGCTCTCCTATTCAACGGAGAATGGTCATTAGTGTAATATGTTCACCCCTATCGAGCTGATTCAACCCCTGTCAAAAGGGCTTCGGAGACTGCACCACCCAACGCCCTTTCAACCCCAAGGCACTCTTTTAATGTGCATCTTTCGTCTTGCAAAATCGTTGACCGGCAGCATTCCCTTTGGAAATAGTCAGGGCTTGGGGTGTCCACCGCTTTTGACGCCGCTACAAGAACCCATGTTGACCAGGTAAAGCCGAGTGGTTTAACGAGGCTAAGCGTTCAGTTATCCTCCCCTGATCGCCATTCCAATCACGGGCTCGACTCTACTCCTGATTCGTAAGAAAATATTTGGGACCTCTTCGAAGCGAACATATATTCTATCCGTTAGACGAAGACCTCAACTATCCTCCGACCCGTTACCCCCGATCGGTGCTCCTCTACCTAGGACAGCTTCTTCCTCGAGTTCCACTTCGTCGATGGTGACGGTCCTTTGTATTCGCCTATCGATATTGTACAAGTCTAGCTTAGCGATATGGTATAGGTCTAGCTGTCAACTCATCTCCTCATGATGACCTTGCAATAGTGCTAACCACGCCATGACAAATCGTCCTCAGAAAGTCTTGTTAGCACCGGTAACTGGGTTCACCCATTCCATGATCTCTATGTCGCCCCACTCTTCTTCCTTCAATTTATCCCCACGACCATCAAGAATGGCACGCGGTATCTGCCTGAAATCCATGTGGTCCATGAAGCATCTCTGGCCCAAAATAATGCCGCTACGTCCATTCGCGACTGTAGATGGAGGCACGACGCTGAAGATGCTCTCGAAAAAAAAAAAAAATGCTGTTGGAAAGAGCGAGATATCCTTGAACCTGAACGATGGCACCGAACTCATCACGGTACGGGTCATTGTCGGATTGGGCAAGTCGATTGGAGAAGTTTTGTGGCAGTAGATCGTCAGTGATGGTGCAACCATGGCTGCCTGTATCCCACAGCATATCTTTTACGACAAGCTTGCACGTCGCCGAATTGTCGTCTTCTTCGGCACCATCAATCACTTCCAGGATGAGCGTTGTCTGAGACTGTTGCCAGAGTACCCTCTACTAGGGCTGCGCGAGTGGGTAACACGTATGGTTGTCGATAGCCCTGTGCAAAGTGCTTCTTTCGCCAACTTCCGTACCCGTTCTTTCGTCCCCGGTCTTGCCGGCGGGGGAGTTATGTCCGTTGGGAATGATGTTCTAATGCTTCGTCCGATGGAGGCTGAGGATGGGCGAGACTTCTCCGAGAGGGCAAGTTTCTTAATGGCCTCTCGCCGTTCCTTTGATGTTTCCGGGAATATAAGAGTGGCCTGATCTTGGTCTTTGAGCGATTTCGAAGCCACAGCCAGCGCCTCGGTCCAAGTTGCATCTGGGGAAATGGACACCTCGGCGGTGGGTGCAAACTTCGGGACATCATCAGTGATCTGCTTGAGGAGGTAGGAAGTTGACATATCCAACTTGTAGTCGGAAGTAGACTGCGAAGAAGTTGACTTTGTTGCCATTTTGCATGTCTAGCCTGCTTTCTAGGTAGAGCGGACAGTAATGAGCCCACTTACCGGGAATGCAGTCGAGCGAGTTAATCAACAGAAATGTTTTCGATAGCAGAATCGGACGAAAGAGAATGAGGAGAGTGGCCGTACTTACTAGTAGACAAGTTGAGAGCGAGATGTGAAATCAAACATCACTGGACCTCGGGCCCTGGCCTCAAAAAGCGGCGGCATTACCCGCCAAATTCGGCAGCAGACTTTCCTGCCACTTGCGTTGAGTTGTAGATTACTCGCACGCCACAAATATCATGCCTGCAGACTAGAGAACTATTTGGAACTCTTTGGAGATGCTCCGTACGGCCATGAAATTTGGCGACAGGGTTTTTACACGGCCTGACAACAGCTCAAGGGGCTCCTAGATCTTGAAAGACATTCTCCCAACGGGGAAATTGACGTATTCCCGAGCCTATGTGCGAGAAAGAAAAGACGATAGTCCGGGGGACGGTAGCCTGCAGCGACGGAAACACTTTGGTTCGGCAATTCGATGAGGAGTGGCGCAGATACTACCTGCAGTACCTTGTACATCAAGCTGCCGAATTCTCCAGACACGGGTAACATTATGAAACCGGTCGCATAAGAAATCAGTGGCTGCCATGTCGTCGAATGGCCGAATGCATTAGGCTCTGTGAGTATTCCATCCCGGTAGGTCCGTTGTGATGGTGGATATTTCCCGCCTGCTACAGTATTCCTTTAAACCACACCATTGGCGGCCTTTGCCAGCTCACCTACGTATCCCTGTTCCCATTCTCAAAATTTTGGCAGCATTCTATTTTTTCACACATGATCAAGCTGAGGGAGGTATCTAATATGAGGTAGAATTGCCTAACGACATAGGCCATGCATTCCCCAACGTCCATGCCTGATGACGAGCCTCATAGGGAATTGAGACTTTTGCCCAAGTTGCACAAGTCCACGGATCTGGCATCTCCACCGACGAAGGAATCCATTAAACAAGGATGCAGCCATGATATTTTGTCGGAGTTGTTTCTCACTGTGAGCGTCCTGAAAATCTATTCCGATGTCGACTTGCCAACTCAAACCAAAAAAGCGGTCACATTGCGCTTGCCAGGTTTCCACTGTCTTCAACAGAGCCCAACCATAGGTTATATGAGCTTTTCAGAATCGAGGCGTTCTCCCGTCGAATCTCCCAGTATCCTCCACGCTTCCCTTCGCCGGAGCTCCTGATCGGGGAGTTATAAGAAGGATTTTCTTCCTCCGTCTTGGGGTTTCATTCGCACATTCTCTTGTTCCACGTCCACTGCCAGGCATTTGCCACGCCCTCAGAAGTGTCGATTTCCCTGTTATTGTTTATATTGTCGATTGTTCATACTTTTCACGTCTCTGTCATGGCCTCAAAGGTCGGCCACCCCGTTATGGACGACACGAACTGCCACAGGAGCATGGAGGCTTCATCTTGGGGTCCTGGTGGATCGAGAACTGCCGCTAGAGACCATACCAGTCAGTTTTCTGCTTCAACTTTCCGCTTCAGTTTTCCCACTACCATAACCTCATAAAAACTGACCAAGGCTAGCTACCACTTCCCCTTCGAATCCACTCCAGCGTTTTCTCAACTCGTCTGTTGGTCATCCATGGTATTCAAGAGGTTCTGGCTCAAAGCACCTAAACGGTCTTATCGCCAGACCCGACAGTATTTCGTCTGTAATCGAAGGCTTTAAGAGTGGCCGATGATACATGCACATATATCAATGGATGACCCCTCATGTACTTGTCATCACACTCACAGCAAGTCATGTCGACATTGCGAGGTTTTGGACATTTCACCTCGCACTAAGCTTGAGAAGCCCTTCGCATGTGTAGATTCCCTCGTTTTCCACGAAATCATGGCGTTGATGGTCGTTCTTGCGTATGGTACGCTTTCGGTTGGAGGGTGACCCGATCTGCTAGGGATAACGTAAACTTACATAGAAGTACCTCGTCGCGCAGAGAGACAGCATGCAGTGTTGGCATGGAACCAGAATGAATATCGATGCACATGTTCGTTCCTTAGATCCCGTTATTGTGCAAAGAGGATTTTTAGAGCTGATGTTGAAGTTATGATGTTCGAGACTGACTTATCCTCCCTAAAACCGTGCACCAGCCTCAAAATCCTGAGTACACAGCCACACCTCTAGATTGGCCACGCTAACACTGCTTCGGGTTAGGGTGTCCGGAGCCTCGTTGCTAGAATTCATTCAGCCTGACGAGCTTTTCCATTCATTATCATGTCTTTCCACTTAGACCATAGAGCGTATATTATGACGACCAGTTTTCTTGCTGAAACTTCAACGCGCAGCTTATCAATAGCCTCTTGAATTTGCATGATTTCTTGACCAACAACTTCCGCTGACGCCGACATGATCCGACCAGTTTAGGAGCCTCTGGCAAGAAATCATGATAGATGGTTTTGCCGATGTTCTTATCCTGCGTCCAAATGCCAACTGCAAAGACTGAATGTTGTTAATAAAGTCTCAGCATCCTTGGCCTGCTATGTAGAAGGCCTCACTGCTCTTTGCACTAGTAGTTGCAGGTATCTCATCCGCGGGTGGAAGCACAACTGCCATTGTACCACCACCGGGCTAAGCCAGCACCCGTGCAGTATTCCACTGCGTGTCTCTTGTTGACCTGGCCGAAGGAAACTGGTTAGCAGCGAGCGCAGGTTCGATCTGAAAACCTGACCGTCATAAGCACCGACAAGGTTATGCTTTCGCAGAGCGGCTGCCAGATCACCAACAATACTAGGATTGCTGCGGTTGAATACTTCGCTAGCCCCAAGGCTTTTGCAAAATTCGAAATTCTTCTTTGAAGCCGTAGCAATAACTGCACTTCCAACACTAGAACTCCCGCTCCAAACATGCAGGGTCTTCCGCGATTGCTCTACCTTGCGGAACAAACCAATTGAGATCGCTAAAGGAAGCACGTAAGCATTCTTGAAGTTTATGTTGTCAGGAATGAGGCAAAACCCATTGCAGGAACAACAGTGAAATTCCGAAGACCGCCGTGCTCTGGCTGCCGGTCGCTAAGCCGGCGACATGGGCAAGCAGACGCTGACCTTTTGAAAAGGCTGAGACGTCTCCACGATCTAGCCTGCGATATCACTACCTGTTATTCTAGACAGGATTGCGACAGGAAAATCTCCATATTGCATTTTCCAGTCAAAAGGGTTGATGGTGACGGCATTGTTCTTGACAAGGATCTCGTCTGGTCTCAGTTTTCCGATCTCAGCTGGCCCGACTTGAAGTTTTTTTTATTTTGCTTAACCACCCCACGCTGCTTGATATTTTTTGGCCGCCATCTCAAAGTGTATGTCGTCTGGAGAAAGCTAGGTCGATGGCAAGATGTGAGACACACGTTTGATCCATTATAGCACTAAGCATGCTTCCCAGACAAGCACGAGGCAGAATCTTGTAGATAATACACTCACCTCACTGAAGCAACCAGGGGCCTTAAACTGGCTGACTTATTAGACAAGGCTGCTGCATCCATAAGTCATGTAGGGTTGAAGTCAGACTGAGCATCATGACAAGCTGATGGAGCAGTCGCTTTTCCCATCAGTTCACCCAGTCCTGGTGCAGATGTAAATATCCTTCTCTCTTGTCAGTTGCAATGCAACCCCTCACCACACTCTCTTTTGGAAGATTCGGCACATCTATTCATTGTAGGGTATCACATCGCTTTCGTCATAGCTCATGGGGCAAATCTAGGATCCATCACACAGCCACAGAGCGCAATTTGAATGGAGCTCCTGGTTGGGAAGAGGGAAATGGGCAAATTGTGTGGTGCCGATCCAGCCATGACCAACGAGTGGGAACGCTTGGTGTGATAGAGCACCGACCAGGGATAAAAGGTTTCTGCCGTTCTCATGATATACACACAGCAATGTCGCGAACACTGGCTACACATCCAAAAAGTAGAGAATTCCACCGAGGGGACAATTCTACAACACCCCTAAGCCCCAGGGGTTCGAGCGGCGCCGTTGAGAGTTGGCGTGGGTGGACAAAGGGGAGACAAGCCTCGAGGCGGACCGGGACACTATTGGCCAGGCTCGAATCTTGGCTGCGCCCCTTTCCGAGATCAAACGCCCGACCTGCCGACTGCGCGTTTCATGAGCTCCCGCTGGCCTCCCTCCCTCTCCCGTCCTCTTCCAAGTCAACGTTGTAGATAGTGATCGGGGCATTTGGCTGAGATACCTTGTTGTATCTCGCCGTCCTCTCGTCGACTTCTTCCTCCTCCCGAGCACACGCTTTGTGTCGCTCGTTGTCGCTCTTTTCACAAACTTATCTCTCTTTCCTCGACATCGCGCTGTGCTGCGACTCGGACCTACGCTCATTTCGCATTGTCTCGTGTCAACAATTGAAAAGTAGTCCAAGCTTTACCCATATCCTCCTACGCGCGGTCATCATTGGCAAGACCCGGAGTCAGCCACTTGAATATCTCGACAAAGAATTGTCTCGTCGTGGACTTCCAATCGTCTCAACTACATACCAGAAAAGGGAAAAGAAAAAAAACTTTCAGCAGTAGCCATGGCTTCTTTCAAGAGGATCACTTTCGCCCTTCTCTCCCTCCTTACCACCTCCTTCGCCCAGACCTTTACCGACTGCAACCCGATGGAGCGAACAGACTGTCCGGACATGACTGCCTTGGGCGTGTCCAACTACACTATTGACTTCACCAAGAGTATCATGTCGGATCGCGTATGGAACACAACAGCAGGCACAATTGATTACGATACGTCCGGCGCCGAGTTCACCATCAATCAGCGTGGTGACGCCCCCACTGTCAAAACCGAGTTCTACCTCTTCTTCGGACAAGTCGAGGTTATTATGAAAGCCGCTCTTGGGCAGGGCATTGTTTCTTCCATTGTGTTGCAGTCCGAAGATCTAGACGAGGTGGACTGGGAATGGATTGGAGGAAATGATTCATATGTGCAGACCAATTACTTCGGCAAGGGTAATACCACGAGTTTCGATCGCGCCATCTGGCATCCCGTCAGCAACCCTCAGAATGAGTGGCACAACTACACCGTGGACTGGTCACGGGAGAAGTTGGAATGGTTCATCGACGGACAGTCCATCCGTGTGTTGAACTACGAAGATGCCAATGGAGGTTACAACTTCCCTCAAACTCCTTGCACCGTCCGACTTGGTATCTGGGCTGGTGGCGACCCCAAGAACCCCAACGGTACCGTTGAATGGGCTGGTGGAGAAACTGACTACGGCGACGTGCCTTTCACAATGACTGTCAAGTCCGTCCGTGTATCCGATGCCAGCAGAGCTACACAGTATGCTTGGGGCGATAAGTCCGGCAGCTGGCAGAGCATCAAGCTCCTCAAGTACGTACCCGTCAGCTCTCTGCAAATATTCTAAAACTAACAATCATACAGCGACACCGAGCCCATCAAACTCGACGGCGAAAACTCTGACTCCACCGTGCAAACCATGGAACAGAAGTGGAATGGCTTGGCCCCGACGACCAAGTATATCATCATCGGTGTTGTGGTGGGCGTCGTCATCCTGTGCATTGCAATTTTCACCTTCTGCTGCATCCGCCAACGACGCGCGGGCAAGCACGAGAAACTGATCGAGGACGCCAAGTACGAGAAGAACACGGCTGAAGTCCTCGCCTATCGCGCCGATATGTCCCGCCTACGCAGCGAGAAGATGATGGCCACTCGGGTCCATACCTCCCCCATCATGGGCAGTGCCGGTTCCATGTACCAGAACAATGGCCAGACTCAACCCATGGTGGGTGGGATGAGCCCCAATCCCGGTTACGGGTATGCGCAGAGCGTGAGCACCTTTGGAAGTGGACGGGGTTACCAGAGGTTCTAAGGTGATGAGAACTGGTGCCAGAGGGATTAATTGCATTTCGTCGCATCTCCTGGCACCTTGCGATTTCCCTGGGTAGTGCTGATGGAATCTCTGACTTTCACAGAACATTCCGGGAATGGGCATTCTCGTATTGTCACCTCTTAGGGGAATGGACAGACGATATTTCTGCTCCTTGCAGAACGCCGCATGTATCAGTAAGATGGAATCCGAAAGGGGGACGACGATCTCACACACACACACACATTGATGCTAGCACGGCATTGTTTTCTCATGGTTGCTTGATGAATTTGGCTTGCACAGAACTTGGAGCATTGACTTGTGTAAAATAATGACATTGTCATCTTGTCGTAACCGATCATGATTTTCATGATTCGCGTGCAAATTTCATCTCCCCATATGCTCTCAGCGGACAGGCTATGATGGCTTGATCTTGTCGCCTTCAATTTGTTTGTTCGGCTCGGCTTGTGCTGTTGATTGACCAGTTCCGTGCTCTCTTAAAATATCCTTGGCAAGTTAAGCCCGCGTTGGCAATGTCCACCCGAGCTACGAAATCTCGTGACCTGTCTTTGTCGTGGTCTTCCCATTTCGGCATGATCTGATTTCATTTTGCTCTTCAACCCAGTTGTATTCATATCAGACTTTCCACTGACTGCTTTTGCTTTCTTGGTCTAGATGACTTTAACCTCGCCGAGTCTGACGAACCGCGGAGGGATAGCCTGTGTGGGGGGGGTATTGATCTTGATGAATGAGTGCATCGCCTCAGGGACGGAGAAGCCGTCGTCAATACACTCCCCACGAAATGTGAGTTCTTGCAGCTCTCTCGGATCAAACCGGCGGAAGAATGGGGGACCTCCGTCGACAACGAAGTTCATCAATGCGAGGTTCGTGATCGGGAGAAAGAGTATATTTTCGACGGGGGAGAGAGAGACGTTGCCATGCCAATTTGACCACCTTTTTCATAGCTTGTTAGTCGAGATATTCGCCGACTCCAAATTCTTCGTGCAAAGTGCCATCGCCATGCGCGCCAATGTATTCACATTCGATTATGTTTTCCAACACGCAGTCATAAAACCACTTTTCATCGATCTTGGGCCGCTTAGGCGTGAAATCCTCCAAGGATCTCCCGCTCTAGAGCCATTTCGAGGTGAACCCTAGTGAGATTCTTTGCTGGCCCAGATCAAGGGTTGGTAGGATCGCATCATACCGTTCAGTCGGAGGTAGCGTAGCTTGTGGAAGTCCAGAAGAGGTTGAGGATCTTTGAATGAGAAGACGCCTTTTGAATCATTGCCGGCGTTACCCTCTTCCTCTTCGTCTTGATCATCGACGTCATTTGAACCGTCAAGTTTGATGGACCAGAATCGTGACTGAGCACTGTACGATCCTTGTTAGTGTGGTGCCAGAGTTGTGGACGAAAATTGCCAATTCGTTTTCGACACCTAGGTCAACGCTGACCTGGCGTGAGCCCATGGTTGATGGTTTGGAGAAGATTGGCATACCTGAGGTCAGTGAGACTAAAGTCAGTCGCAGTTTTGAGGCTGACTTTCGAGAATTTTCTATTATACTGTTCACTAGGAGACGTTGGAGGACTAGCGTGGTTCAATTCGTTTGGTGCCAGTTTGTCATGACCTGGGCGGGTGGTTGTTGCGTCAAACAATCTTTTTTCTCAGGTGGAAGATCCTTAACCAACGTTCGACGAGGCATGTTGGCCAGTGATGCTCAGTGAGGAAGCTCAGAAGGAGCATGACGACGCCGTGGACAGAGGAGATGGCGGCGATCTTAAGAAGTTGAGTCTCGTCAAGGAAGAGGCCATAATGGACTTGCAAGAGGAGAGGTCGCTCAAAAAGACAGTGAAGGAAGGGAAGACTGATTCAAGACAATGGAGATGGCAGAAATCAAGACAGACAGCGCAATGTCGTGGATGCGCCGCCTTTGGTCAGTCATTGCAATACGCAAAACACCATTCTTTGAGATTCGCGCCGAGCAGACAGAGTTCCTTTTCTCCTCGTCGTTGGGCGCCAGCGGTCAAGGTACCTATACGCACGAATCCCAAACCCTATGTTCAATAGCATCACATTCGTCAGATCGAGTACACTGAGGCTGTCATTGTTTGGGCAACACTCGAGGATCCAATGATCCGACATGAACTCCTCTCTGATCTGGGATCTAATCTTATCGCGGAGATGAGGCGTTCTCCGATCTCCGCACTTCTTGAAACAAGCCATCAGAATTTCGCCTGCGCCCTGTTCAAGCATGTTGCTTGGGTCCAGGAAAGCCAATCCAGACCAATTTCGATGGCACCGATCCGCCGATACTTGCGGATTAGTAGGTACTCTGTTCTCGAATGTCGCATCTTTCTCGAAAATCCAGCCGACGAACGCAGATGGCTGTTGAGCGAAAATGATCCTGCTCTTCCACGTGTATTTGAAGCAATCAAACCGTACGTGTTGCCAAAGCTCAGAGAGGAAAATGAAAGAGCACGGGGCAAGGGAAAGAAGAAAAAGAGCGTAAAAGACGTTGTCCAACAAGGTGGGTAATGCCAGGAATCACCACCAGGTATCCCTGACAGAGTGGTCTAGATGACTTTGAAGTTTCCATCTTCCTCACCGAGATCAGAACTCGACACGCCTTCCTGGCCAAGAATAAGACGTTTAAGCAGAAACTGCGGATGAAATCTAACAACGGCAACAAGCTAACAGGCATTGATCGAGACACGGTGATGATTCAAGATGAAGGCCATGAAGAAAACGTCAATCTTGAAGAGATTCCGTTAGCCAAAGACTTAGACGACGAGGAACGGGACCGTGACGTTGCCGATATTGATCCCGAGTCTGTTGACGACGACACAAAGAAGCTAGGAATCAAGACAACATACGAAGGTTTCAGTATCTGGGGGTGGGTGCTCTGCCTTTTTATTGAGCGCAAGGGCAGTCAAGGAAAGAAATCATCTGGAAATGCACAAGCTCTGATGCAAGACTGGATTGCATCGACCCAAGAGCAAAAAGATGATTAATGAATTTTATTTTCTTCCCACCTCATGCGCAAATGAGAGAAAAGGCCCCCGCAAACACAAAATTGTTTTGAGTGACTAGAATCGTCCATTTTCGGCGACGGATTTATGGAACAAGAGCACTTGCAGAAGATGATGAACAGGTCAGTCGTTCCATGTATGTCACAAAAGTCCTTCGATGGTCTCTGAAGCCGAGAATCCTTCGAAGCAATAAAATGTATTAGCCGGCATCACGAGGGTCTGATAGTACCTCGCTGGAGCGAATACAATGTTGCAGACAACCTCGTTGCGGGAAATAAAGGGGAATAATCTCGTCCACAAAATAACTGCTGCCATTGACAGGAGGCATCAAATGAGACAGCTCTCAGGACTTCGGTGGTTGAGGCCCACTGCAGTGCATTTGGTGGCGTTTTACTCACGCAATTTCCACGTGGTTGTGGCGGCCCCCTGTTCCCCTGAAGCTCTGTCCAGCTTCATGGCCAGACCCGTTCTATTTGCGCCTCGGATCGCAATTTCCTATGACCCTTTACAATTCGAGAAGGGTGCATGGTAGGGAAACCCCGAGATCTAATGGCTCATCAGGATCTAAACCAGCTCCTTGGCTAGATGGTGTTTGTGAAGGACGGTATTATTCCAAGTGAGGTGCCCAGGTGTTTTGTTGGGCTAGAAAGAATGCAAGATTCGAGATGCGGGCTCGGAGCAAGCGAGAAATGTTTCGCGTGCCTCAGGTGAGCCTGGGGTTGACTATTCTCAGCTGACATGGCGCCCCTTGGAAATAATAGTTATGGCCACCTATTATGGAATACAGATTACGAGACCCGGGCATAAGTGGCTTGCAAGACTTTGGAAAAGCCACCGGCTTTTTTTGCCTTTGCAATCAAATACGTCGACAAGGAACTAAAGAGTGACATCAGAGTCAAAGGGAAAAATATTTTTCCGGCGAATCTGACGATCCTTGCAGGTGAATACGGCCGCTGACTCGGTCAAGGCGCAAAACGTGAAACAAGACCAACCCAAGCTTCCCGCCTCAGCAGACGCTCAAAGTTGGGGGGTGGCAAAACCGCGCGGTGATCCACTAGGGAAGGAAGACGGGGAGGATGAGGAAAAAGAGATCTTCAGGAACCCGTTGAACTTCAAACCATTCACTGATAGGCGCTCGCTTCGATGGAAGCCTGGAGCCGAACGGCGTTTGCTCGATGAAACAGTCGTTTGGGATTGGCGTGTTGATGAACACATCATCGACATTTGGGACGTTCTACCTGGCGAATGATGCTCTCGCTACGAAACCTCCCGCTGTTGTAACCTACTGGACACCATCGTGAGATGGAGGGGGACTTGACGTAACTGTTGGTAGATCCGGTTAATTTTGCGACATATCGCCTTGTCTATCACAGCCGTCAGCCCGGCTGTCGAGGCGGGTGCGTAAACGCTGTCCAACGGAACCGCGCGCTTTCGCATACCTTTGAAACGCCTCCCGCGTGACACGTTCTAGCCGACCGAACTACAAAACGACCATCACCAGTTTTCAACATCCGAAGAGCAAGTTCTACGAAAAGCTGAGAACCTTGGGCGAGAAACTTGCCAGACAGTAGATGCGTCCACGTAGGATACCTCGGGACAGAAGACGAAGAAAGTGGTGCAGAAAACGAGTCAGATCAGGCGGACGGCTTCAAAATATCATGCCATCCCGACCATGCCGGGTGCAGTAACCTTCAGAAAAACGTGGGCCGCTTAGGCAGGGCTGAGACCGCCAATTGCTGTTCATCTGAGAGGCAGAGAGGTGCAGCGGGACAGGGGTGGTACGATTTCTAGGCTTGACAAACCCGATCACGAGTTCAAATGCTTACCAACTTATGCTTTCCACATTCATGACGAACAAATCCGGATTGCCCTGACGGGAGGGTACGTACTCGCGGGATAGACAGGCCCTCCTGGTGGGCACACATCCCCCGCCAGATAGACCAATCAGGCGACTGCCCTTGCCGGTGTGTGTCGCCCATTTTTGTTGCGGTGGGTGGTATGAGACCGGATGTGAGGATAGGGGACCCAGGTAACACACCATGGATGCCAACAAAATAACCACCGAAGTGCCAGAATTACACATTCGTGTCGCCGGAACTAATGACCCATGGGCGACTCGGCAAAGGGAATCTGCTCAACACTTTTCCCGTTGAGTTGCAGGTCCATTACTGAGTCTGGGCAAGCGATGGATCTTCCAACTTCACAGAGCTTTCCCCGAAATTTGTGTCCATTACACCGCTGCTGGGGGAAAGTGGAGTGGAAACTTGAATTAGACGTGAATGAAATGGCAAAGGCATCAGTGATGATCTGGTCCCGCCTTGGGAGGCAGGGATGCTGGATCACAGCTGGTTTTTGGCAGGGGGGAAAAAAAAAAACAATTGGAGTGTTAGGGATATCCCAGAGCAAACAAAAAACCTTCGAAGCGGCGACAAATCTCCTTTCCTTCGCAGGCCGAGTAACCCCAGGCAGTCCCGGTCAGCTGGAACCACCCTTTGTGCGTCTGAGGGTTTTAGCGCTTGGGCCTAACAAGGGATCCTCAGAAGGCCAGCAAATGCCTAAGCCAGATCAGGTGAGCAGAAGCCAGGGGTGCGAAGGGGGCGTTTCTCCAGTGAGTCCTGAACTCTTGACTCTTGCATGTCAAACCTCATGGGATGTCACACCGCAAACCTCAAGCGGGATCCACTGGCCAGGCAGACCAGGCGAAGGCAAAAATCAGAAAGTCAAAAATAAATGCATGAATGACTTGTGCCCGCGTCACCATGTGGAACAACTTTCGGTCCGGCCGGGGGGGGGAAAAATAAATAACTGACTCGAATCCCCCCTTCGTGGTCGAAGGGGAAGATTTCCGAACTCTGTTCCCTCCCAAGTTCCACGTACTCACAAATAATACCTTTGACGACGCCTGTACTGCTCCAGCATCAGACTACTTCAATAGCCTCTCGACCCAAACCATATCAATACTCAAATCTTCGAAGTTTACATCGGCCCTCAATCACAATGCCTGCTGGATCTAAATATCCTCCCTGCCCGGGCCCTCCTCCAAACCGACCTCTACCAGCAATTCCCAAGAAACATTCCGCATAAAGGGCAGAAATCAAGAGAGCCAACTTTTTCAACGAGGGCCTGCCATCACAAAACATCCTGCGGCTCCAAGCTGGACTCGAGCCTCTCTCTTCAGTTAAACCGACCTTTCTGCATGTCCACATGACATATGTTGTTGGAATCTAGTGCACTGCTGCAGGCAGTTCCCCGCCTCGAAGGATCTGAAGTTGGCAGCACACAGGCTACAGTCTGCAGGCTGTACAAACCTCGGTGACCCATGGCGGTGGAAGGTTGCTTGGCATGTGGCCAGATCGAGTTTGCCAGTGGCAGAGGTGCATGAGTTACGGGATTCAGTAAGGCCATGCATTGATGCGATGCGCTGGCAACCTCCACAATTGAAGCACAACACTCTTGCAGAACAGCACACCAATCGCTATTTTCAACCATGATCCCCGATTCTTGCAGCCTCCCACCCGGCACAGATGCATTTTTCTTGCAGATACGATGTCATCCGTTCACCCTTACCGCGCCCTAATCAAATCGCATCATCATTTTCCGACGCCTTTTCTTCCGCATGGGATCCGATACCTTTGCCCCCACAGACGCGATCATTTTCCAGCCTTATTCAACACCCTCTCAGCAATCAAGACGCCTCTACCCGTGCCATGGAGGGCGCAAGGGATTGGTTCCCGTCCATCTTTCCCAGTTATTTTATCCCAGCATTTTGTACCACCATGAACACTACAGCCACCCAACACTTGTACCATTAGTCGACACCCCAGATATTGCACCATCCATTCGTTTGCGGAGGACCAGCGGGCTCTAGCTCTGCACCGTGATTGTCCGACCGGATATGTCACGCTTTGTATATTACTTTGAGCGGATAATGAGTCCCATGCCTTGATGATGAGCCTAGAAAGGCCGAGCGGTTTCATAGCGGGGGATCATTTCCCTTGGGATCAAGCAGTCTGTATTTAGTGGATAATATTTTCATCCCAACTATTTGTCATCTTATGTTGCATGATTCTGAAGGCGCGGTCCGATGCAAGTAATCATTTTAGCATTGTAGTTATCGCTGACCGGTAAGCGGTCGCTATGCTAGTGAATCGTGAGCAGCATTGCCGAGACAGGACGAGCAGCCATGTCTGACCAGCACTGGACGACGGTCATCCTCCGGCTTGAGAGTCGCATCCTGATGTCGGATTCGTATAGTAGTGCCCACAGGTGTGAACTGCTAGAGAGGGGAAGGGTTACGAGCGTTGGGTCGGGACATCTAAACAAGGAGAAGGGCAGCCTAGAAATTCGAAGCTCGAAGCTTTGGAGGGTACGGGAGTTTGATCCGAGGACGAGCAATTCAGGTCCCAGGAACCGTGAAAGGGTGCCAGAGTGGCACTGGGAGGTGGGCTCACATCCTTCGTTCCCTACACCCCGCAATCGTTACCGGAATAGAAATAGATACTCATCTGTGCACGTCGACACCTGCTGCTATAGGTATGGTACTCCATGGCATCCCTCCTCTTGCGCCTCTTTCGCAGTTCTTTCACTTTCAACTTTATGTTTCTTTTGTCTCAGCGGAATCGTCGGACGTTAGGTGGAGTTACAGTACATGCAAGTGTAACTCTTTGGACTAGCCCCGGAGAGAGTGTGGATGGGTTGGGGAATGATTCAGAGACAAACAAGATGGCGGGCGCCTTTTGGGCCAGCTGGTTGGTGGACTGCCGTCCCTTGTCCTCCGCCATCGACCGCTATATGGGGCTAATCAAAACCAGAGCACGCTGAGAGGAGCAGATATGACGGCATTGATCCAACCTCCACGATGCCAGTCGCCTACGCAGGTATATCCCCATGTTTGTCGGGTGACCAATCACCAGTCCACGCTCAGGTCTGGTTTTCCTTTTCTTTAATATGGTTCTGTTGGGCTTTCCATCATCTAATTGCTGTCGCTTGTTCCTGTCGTGGCCGTGGGTGGGTGTTGTAATGCGCTGCGCTTGTCCACACATCATCACCCATACAGTCGTTAAACCATGTATTTTGGTTATCTGCCCCTCGTTGGCGCGATCTTTTTGACCTTCGCTACTGCTCAAAATACCGTCTCTCTCGCGGTCTCAGCTCAACCCACGTCAGGCGCCTCCGGAATCATCAGTCCCTCATTCGCCGGCTTCGGTATCGAACCCTCCAACCTCTTCTCTTTCACCGGAGGGAGCTCCGAGAACCAACTCACCAGAACTTTGCTGGAAAATTTGGCCAGCTACAGTGGCACTCCACCGCATTTGCGCATTGGGGGGAATACACAAGACTATTTCATATGGGACGAGTCTCAGAACGACTATGTCTGCGAGCCGAATCCCAATCCCGTAGGTCAGGGAAACTATCCGACTGATTCCCTCATCGTCGGTCCCCGATACTTCGAAGTCATCAATCGCTTCCCAAGCAATACCCCCATTACCTTTGGTCTAAACTTGGCCTACTCGGAATCTGATTACATCGATCAAATCACCACCATGGCCACCCAGGCTGTTAGTCGCCTGACCGACGTAAACTTGGTCTCCTTGGAAATTGGCAACGAACCCGATCTTTATCTGCAGAACGGTTTTCGAACTGGGAATTGGGGCGGTCAAGTCTACAGCCAGGAGTGGTTGGATCGCGCGAGTGCCATCTGGGAGCAAGTTCTCCAACCCAATGGTATTCGAAGCGATTTCTTTGAACCGGGCGCCACTGCGTCCACGATTGGTACCAGTTTCGAAATTGACAATCTCAATGAGTTTGGGATCACCGTTCCCGCCAATGGCTCGTCCGAACCATACATCGCCAGCTGGAATCAGCATGATTATTATTACTACATTGGAGTCTCCACCTACCCCTTGACCCAATATCACTTCATGACGTTGTCGACCACCAATGATCAGTTTGCGGCGTGGGAAGAGCAGATCCAACAGGCGCTGAACACGGGATATCCATATGCTCTGCGTGAGATGGGTGTAGTTGGCCCGATTGGGATGGACGACATCACCGACGTTTTTGGGGCCTCCCTGTGGACCCTCAACTTCTTGTTTTATGCAGCTACCCTCAACATTTCTTCGGTACAGATGCACATGACCGACAATAGTAACGCCAGTGCCTGGCAGCCAGTCGAACTCTACGGGAACCCGCCGTTTGTCCGACCGAACTACTATGCCTTTGCCGCCTTTGATCAGACCATAGGCCCCACGTGTCAGGCTCAGGTTGGCGGATATGTCTTCCATGAGTTCCCCGATCCTTATGGCGGTCGGATTGCTGCGTATTCCGTCTACCAAGATGGTACCCTTGCATCGATTGTTCTGATCAATTCCAACCCCGCCAACGTGTCTGAGACCAACAAGCCCACCTTGACTTTCGAGTTATCACTGCCGACGCAATTTGCTGGGGAGGACTTGTACCTGGCCTATCTCACCAATGACGGGGCTGACGCTAAGCACGGCACCACCTGGGATGGAGTGAGTTATGAAGAAAGTGGTGACGGCACGGCCACCAGAGTGAACGATACTGCCGTGCGGGTCACGATTGGTGATGATGGCAGTGTTGACGTCCCTGTTCGAGATACACAAGCGGTCGTGGCAAATATTGGGTCGCCGATCGGTCAGCGAGCACCCAACAGCAGCGCATGTTCCAAATTGGTGGCCAGTACTTCCGACGCGAAACCCGTGTCAACTCCTGTCGGCACGAGCACCGCTGATGCTTCATCGTCGACCCATTCCAATGCAGCATCAAGAACAGGCAGCAGTACTCGTGCAACTATCACCAATGGCGTTGCCCGTATGTCTAACATGATTTTTGGTACATTTGCATCCTCATTTTTGACAGGAGTTTATTTGCTCGGGATATAAGTGGGTGTCCTATATGATAAACGGCATTCACGAACCTCGCCGTCCCAAGAGTTATGACGGTAAAATATTTATGTGGCGCTCGGTGGCTCAGGAGTGATGACTTGGAAAACGAACGTCCTTGGGATATACATACATATTGGTTGGAGAGACACAGAATCAATGGATGTCATTGTTTGGGCAATTCTTGATCCGGGATGATATATACTGTCAAGCGAGAAGATCTAGATTTGAAAGTGCTACACATCTCTAATGAATAATGGGGCTCACGGGGGCTTTGAAGAGCGCAAAAGGGACATATTCATCCTCCTTTCGCAATTGTTCAGAAGTATGATTTCGGTGTGGCCCTGTAACATGCTTCGTACGTCTGTGCTTCGTGCTTCTGCGATTTGTGGATGTGCCCTCCAAACGATCTGGATCACGTTGTGGCGCACGAAGCTGACATTGGGGCCATGGGATCTGGAACCGTGGGATCTTTTCTCTACGATCCCAGAATCATGTCTTCCTACCCAAACGACTCGGGTTGAGCGAGCCTGACTTGCCAGCTTCCTCTGGTCTCTTGGTCGCTGGTCGCTGGTCAAAGAGCACTCACTGTCTACCTCCCCAAACACGTTTCCTGCTGTCAAGCCCGAGCTTCTCGCCGCCCTCCTCCGGCGCAATGGATGTCTCAACCACATCTCAACGACCCCATTATCGACTCGGCGGCCTCTCTTCTTTTATCCCACTCAGTGAAGAGGCCTCCGCTGTATCGACAAGGGGTCAACGACTTCCGAGCCTCATCCAAAGCCGCTCCAGTGCCTCTCTCTTCACGCTTCCCAGACGGCCACAGACGCGGCGAGGCTCCTTTCACAGCCATCATTCCACCGAGGACGAAGAAAGCGGTCTACACGATGATTCGGCTCTGGGATTGGTATCTCGACGTCGACCCGTCCCCGCGGAGATCGACTCGAGGCGAACGAGTTTGGGACCAGAGATTCTCATGACCCCGCAGATGCGTAGCATGCGGTTGATTGGGAAAAGCAATCCCCGATACCACTGGCATCAATACTACAAGACGGACGAAGAGCTGAAAAAGATGAAGAAGCCGATACGGAAGTACTACGAACGCAATAACTTCTTGATCGCCCAGTACATGTACATTGACAAGCTCCTGGATTCTTCTTTGCCGCATAATCTCATTCAAGAGTACAATCAAGTGGGCTTCACATCGGACATGAAGACCATATCCGAGGAGCCTCCCTGTGGCAAGCACAACGGCGCGACTCCACCGACAGCGACCCATTCTTCCGGCACTTCTTCACCTACCGAGACGAAAGTCAAGCGGACGCCCAAGAACCTGTACAAGCTCCCCAACGAGGCTACACCTTTACTGCTCGATGACGGCGACGAAGATCCTCCCGAGGGACCCATTCCGGACATCAAACTGGACCATCTAGACGACAATGTTGACTCCGACGACCCTGTGGTCACGGTGGCGATCTACGTCAATCTCGCCGCCAACGTCATTCTACTCGCAGGAAAAATCGCCGTGATCGTACTGACATCCTCACTATCCGTCCTCGCCTCTCTCGTCGACGCAGCCCTAGACTTCCTCTCCACCGCCATTGTCTGGACCACCACCAAACTCATCTCCCAACAAGACCAATACGCGTACCCGATCGGTCGACGGCGTCTGGAACCCGTGGGTGTCCTCGTCTTCAGCATTATCATGATTACGTCCTTTTTCCAAGTCAGTCTGGAATGTTTCAACCGACTCGTTTCCCCAGACCACAGCGTCGTGGAACTCGGCGTCCCCGCTATCGCCATCATGCTCGGCACCGTCGCCATCAAAGGTTTCTGCTGGTTCTGGTGCCGCCTCGTGAAAAACAGCTCGGTCCAGGCCCTGGCTCAAGACGCCGCGACCGACGTCGTCTTCAACATCTTCTCCATCATTTTCCCCCTCGTCGGCTTCTACGCGCAGATCTGGTGGCTCGATGCCCTAGGCGGCTTACTCCTGTCCCTCTACGTGATCTTCAACTGGTCGAAAACCAGCAGTGAGCACGTGCGAAATCTATGCGGCGCGACGGCGACCGCTGACCAGCGCAATGTCCTCTTGTATCTCACCATGCGCTTCGCAAAGACCATTCGCTACATCCAAGGCCTCCAGGCGTATCATACTGGCGACAAACTCAATGTCGAAGTCGATATTGTGCTGGACGAGAATATGAGTTTGCGCGACAGTCATGATCTCGGCGAGAGTCTGCAGTATGTGCTTGAGAGTGTGCCGATGGTTGATCGTGCTTTTGTCCACGCGGATTATGCCGATTGGAATTTACCGAGTCATATGAACCAACAGGCTTAGACCAGTCTTATCTATTGTAATGAAGGATGATCTAGAGTTCAGGACCAGGATGACTTGAGAAGCGCTTTATTTATGTACGAACAGAACAGAAAGACAGACGGAAGGAAGAAATTGGGTGGTAAGGAAAGGAAAGACCCAAATCTTGGGCTCGGGTATATTCAACATGACCGCAGATGATGATAGTGCGGGTGTACTCATGACATCAATTGAGCCAGTGGGGGCTCATCCAGGCTTGTGAATGTACTTTATTAGCTAGTTGATAGCCGTAACTGAACTGGATTCGCCAGGGGGAAAAAAGAAAGGGCAGATTATTGTATATACTCAAGATGATTAGAAACCTCCTAGCTTTTTTGAGTTGTTCGTAGTTTAAACGAGGACATTCGATGGCCATAGAACTGAATCCCTTCCTATTCACGTGTTTTGTTTGTACCCTTGCCTGAAATCACTCCCACACAGTATCAAGTGGTACAAAAGTGAACCGAAGCTCCCTCTAAATGAAGGGAAGCATAGCACGCTGTTTCCTCCTGCCTTGCAAAACCCCGAAACAAAAGTGAGAGGGGACAACGGAATCTCAGTTATCCCACGCCATCCAGCTATGAGTGCTCCGACAGAGCACCTCGGCCCTAAACGCCAGGGCCAGGAGAGCAAAATGTGCTACCATCGCCCCTGCAGCTTTCCACACATGCACTTCGGGGATTGAGAATTCCAGGAGCGCGAGAAAGAGGATGGGGTAGACAACGAGGGCGTTCATGCCGGTGGCGAGACACGGTTGGAGCGTGCTGATGAGTTTGATGGCGAGAATCGCGACGCGGGTGGAGCTTGAGGTCACCGGCACCGTGAGGGCAGAGCGGAATTGTTCGGCGAACACTAACATGAACCCTTGAGTGTTCTGCTGCGGTTGCGCAGACTCGATGAGCAATTGTTGTGGCCTCACGGGTGAGGAGGCCACGGGGGATTTCTGCAAAGGTGAGCCTGGGAGTGAGGATGAGGCGTGATTGGAGCGCAGGATGATTGTGTTATCCGTCTTCAGACTTGGATAGGCGTGTGACCTAGATGAAGATGAGGAATCGGCCGTTCGTGACGCCCGGTTTCGGTCCCGTTCGCTGCCGCTCGAGTAGCCGTGGTCCATGGATCCAGCGTCGGTTTTGCTGTGTCGCTCTGTCGAGCCGGACCTCGGTCCGCGGAAGTGCGAGCGTGTGGACTTGGGACCCATTTCTAGGCCCATGCCGCGTTGAGGAGAGTTGCCTTTCTGAGGGGAGTCGAGCTTCTGAATCCGTCGGCCCGGCGTTAGTTCTTCCGGGTCGATGGAATTCCGCCTTCTCGCAGCGGGAATGTCGTCCAGTCGACCGGACGAGACGACCTGGAGAACGTCGTCGGCACTCGGTCGTTGCTCCGGGTTGAGGGAGAGAAGACGTTTGAGGAACGCGTAGAGGGCCGCTGGTAATTCGGGTCGTTGTTTCCGCTGGTCGTCAAAGCCTTCCCAGCCCATGATCTCCGCTCTCAGCTCATCGATGTCTTCGCGTTCCTCGTGGAGAACATCGGCGTATCTGTAGGGAAGATTTGCGAAACAGAGGAAATGAAGGATCATGCCTAAGGAGAAGATGTCCGACTTGGATGTAAAATTTTCAAACGGTCCGCCGGGAGAGATTCGTCGAAGGACTTCGGGGGCACAGTACGAAATGGTTCCCGTTGCACCAGTGGATTTGCGGATGGCGTATTCGTATTGAACTTCACCGAAATCACTGACGAGGACTCTCGTCTCGCCGCCCACGGTGTGCAAGAGGCAGTTCCTCGGTTTCAGATCTCGATGGATGAAATTGTTGTGGTGGAGGAATCGCAAGCCTGAAGTGATATCTCGGAAGAAATTGTAGATTTCATCGAAGGAAAGCTTTTTGGGTTCCTTGGGTCGTCGGGGCAGTTCCGATTCCCCTCTGGAACGCCGACGGATACGTTCTTTGAGCTCTTGGGTGGTTGTGGACGCCTGGGCTGATCCGAGGACGTAATTGTGCATATCACCGCCGTTGCAATATTGCTGGAGAATGAATGCGCACGGAACACTGGGTCCGAATGTGCTGATCTGATAGTCTTCCAGCCAGACATGCCGATAGGAGACCAGGTTCTGATGCGACAAACCTTGCAAGAGCTGCACCTCGACAAGCACTTTCTCTAGCCACGCGTGGTCATCCCCGATGGGAACACGTTTACAAGCAAAGTGGCCCAGGGTGACGCCATCCAAGACGTGTTTGACCAAGAGGACCACGCCTCGTCCGCCTCGTCCCAGCTCTCTCTCCTCGACGAAGAATTTCTCAAAGTAGTGTGGCGAAAAAGCGGTCTCGGAGATGCCATGAGCTTGGGTGGGAGGAGCAGGAGTACTGGCGACAAATTCAGCATTCGGAGGCCGACTGGAAGCTGTAGATGGCGAATGAAGTCGAGAACGAACAGGCTGCACGATGCGGCGTCGTGGAGGTGGAGAGCCCGATGTGTCGTTGGAACCAGGAAGACTTCGAGCCAACATCTCAAAATAATCGTGAGTGATGAAACTCGGCTGATCTTCCATTGGACTCCCCCCCGACTCCTGTGATGAGGAGCCTCCTTGAGGATGCCACGGCCGGCCACACGTTGGACAGTCAGATGACGGCCGACCGACATCTTGATGGTGGTGAAATGGTACCAGCTGGTTCGTCTGCGGGTCCCGGTATACAATAGCATGTGCGTGACGGCTGATGGCGGATGTTTAGTATTGCTCTCCTCGGGACAAAGCCATTCTGATCGTGGCCAACTTACAGCACTACATCGCGGTTATTGTCGTAGGGGATGACCGAAAGTGTGGGAGTATCGTCCCCACCGTCCGCCATCTTGAAGCATATCAGCGGGAAACAGCGCGATGACAAGGCCGATTCAACGGGATTGATCCTGGTTTACGATCGAGACTGGAACTGGCATCCATTTAAAGCTCTCGCGCTGACCGCTCTCGCTGGCGGGCAAAGGGTATGCGTGAATCGTTCCAGGTCACACACGAGACTTAACTGCTCAAGCCGGATTGCGGGACCTAGCTCCACGGGTCCATTCCCATTGCTGGGTAGAATAAGAGGACACAAATTGTCAGAGGGGAACGGGGAACAGGTGGTGTTCCTTGGTTCTTCGAAAGAAGATTGAACCAGGAGACTGAAGAGGATATGTGAGATCAATACATTCAATCTCGCGCTGCGAAGGGGAGTAAAGGCGCATGACTCGACCCGGATTGGGGAACAGGCCCTAGAGGCCAAGCTGTGCTCACCCCACAGGTTGCACGAGCCTGGCCGTCCAAGCCTGGGTTATCCAACGTCGTCAACCAAAAGATTGAAAGGACTGCAATGTTTACGATCGACTAAGTTTTGCTCCGTCGCTGTACTACCATTCACGCTGGACGTGATCTGCTACAATGATCTTCCCTGTCCCTTCCCAGACGCGAATATCGATTGCTCTGAGGGGACAAGGGCCTCCCATTATGGCATTGGGTACAATTTCACCACGACATAGCTAAGAGTACCATGAGGACGAAGGCTGAATAAAAAGTCACAATGGTCGCTATGATGTCCTGCTCTTTGCGAACCGGGGGGGTATTTGCTCTGTGCCCGTCGATTCAATCAGCTTGGCAGGAGCAGTATTCCACCGTTGTGGATGGCTATTTTGATTTCACTTCGACGTGTCCATTCTTGTTTCCGACGTCTGCATCGGATCAGAAATTTGACTCATTTGGAACGCAGAAGATCTTGGCTTTCCCACGAGGTCATAGAGCTCAAGCGTCCGCAATTGGGCCGGAAGTTCTGGCTCCTAGTTCAAACGTCCATGTCGTCATTTTCGAGCTCGGCGAGCTCCGAGAGCAGCGTCAAAGCTTCATCTCCTTCACCATGATCACGCATTACATCTGCTGGAGCAAGCCTTATCCAGAGCAGCTCTCGATTGATCTTGTTACCATTGCAACCAGTCGCCTGGTGGACAAGATTGAGCAGTGGACGCTTAAGGGGTCTCGTATTCTCCATTATCGAATAAGACCAAGCAGCGTACGTGCACTATCTGGCAGAGTCGTTCGAAATCTTGTTCTAAGATCGAAGAATTGGAAACCTGATTGAGCAGCTCAAGACATGATGTGCCTTCCCCTTTGTCTCGGAAAAGTCGCACCAGCTGGAGTGCTGCATGACCTTGACGCTGAATATTCGTTTGCGTCCGTGTTTCTCCTTCGAAAGGCTCTGTTCTGCTTCATCGTAATTTCCTTGCTTCGCTGAACAGCACCATGACAATCTGGGCCACTGCCACCGGAGCCATCGATACGACCGACGATTGGACTCAATATCTCTAGAATAGAGTAAGAGAGCTTCTCCAAAGAGGAACAACCGCTCCAATCATGGCCTTCGTATAGTTGGACTATCAGATAGTTTCGATCAGAGCTTCCGAGCAATCTTTCCAGTCCACGAAGAGATGCTCTGAATCTGAGAACGATGGGATCTTCACTTCCGAGAAGCTCTGAAGTACCCATTACCACGATTTCTTTGCTCTCATAAGCTCTTTGCCATGTCTCAGTAGATTGGTCGAAGAAGACGCCAATTTTGACAAAGGGGAAGGTCCTGCAACAGCTTGTCGTCAAATCGATCCCTCAAAATCTGCGAAAGATTTAGATGCGGTTGCTCAAAAAAGGCCATCCAAAGGCATTCGTGCTCGGATGGGTGCCGGAAGGGATTTCATCCAGGTTGAAAACCGATTGAAAACCGCAAGAAGACCTCCAAAGCCAGCATGTTCCTTCAGATGAAAGAGATTTTCAGGCCAGGTAACATACTCCATGTCCCGGCGGAAGTGGGCCAACATTTCAATTAAATCCAATTGGAGGATCAGACCTTGCTACGACATGCTCTTGAAAATACAGTGCTGCATATTCATATATATCGGAGGGTCATCAGCCAATCTTTGAATTTCGACATATATGGTGGTTTCTTAAACATGCTTCCGTAGCAAGGCCACACAGCTTGTTGGGTCGCGGTACAGCACGCCCAGGCATTCCTGGCAAGAAGCAGATCGGATAGCTCTCTAGCAGGAACTGCTTCGGGGAACTGTGAAGGAAAATAACGTGGCTAGAGGGCGATATTTGAATGAACGGTTGATATAGCCGTATGATCTCCGCCGCCGGCTCGATCAAAAGGAGCACCCAATTGAAGATCTGTTCACAATTCCTTCTACCAAAGTGCAGACCACGTGACTCCACGAATGGCTTACCCTGATTGGTTTTAAATTTCTATGCAGCTCTTTTAATGCGTATGTCGTAGACAGGACACGTGATTGAGCCACGTGACAAGGCTGGCAGACCCTGCAGATAAAAAGGTCTTACCAGCAACTTCTTGGTCCTCCCGACACCTACAGGACTACACCTTTTACAATGGCGATACCGTACTTATCATCTCAACAACTTCACGACAACGAAGCCTCTAGCATCGACAATGGTCTCTATACATTGGTCCAAACGGGAATTCAATGTGTTCAAAATAAGACGACGTCTCGGGCCCTGAAAACCTAGAAATTTGGTGGCAAGGTGATGCCACAGATGCTCTATACACTCACAACAAGGCGCTGGCTTACAGCGGCTTTCATAGCACTCAATTGGTCCAATTGGCAGCAAGACCACACTCTCACAACGGGGAGCTCCGTGTCAAGTCTCAACAGTCTCAAATGAAGAAAATACAGATACTGGTCACTACCTACCACATAGATGGGAGACCAACATGCGAGGGACAGGAAGGTCATTACCGGCACCAGGACGGAATCAACACTACCATCGCTACGGTGAATATTTGACCTTTTTGGGCGGATTCATTTCAACGAGACGGCTGAAAACACCAAACACGGTTGCATTATGCCCGGCTCCATCGTCCCATATTTCAAGGCTCGAATCTCGCGGAGCATGATCATCTTTTGATTGGAGTTTTCCAACAGCCCACAAAAAGCTTTGCTCACGGCCGAATCCACCCACGAGGAGTCGATCGTAAATACGAAGTCAAATTTCGGAGGACTGGATGAAGGTGGTCTACGTGTGTTTCATGCGTCCACGATATCAGCGTTGGAGAGATTGAGATCAAGGAAGCTTTTGCGATATCCGTCCCTCCTGAATGAGCCTCCTTCGTGACAGTGGTATTGTTCTACTGTAACTTCTCCATAGTGATGAAGACGAGACAAGAAGTGATCCCCCTCCCCCAACAAAAAAAAAAAAAAAAACTCTTGGATCTGCCGGAGAACGTCGCCCTTGCTCTCATGTGCTCTCACCGCAATCATATCACCAAATCTTATCGATAGATGCCATGCGCCATTAATCTACGGAGTTGGGAAGGCGTGGAGACCCTATCTTGCTCATGAAGTTGGATATGACACTATGAGCTGTAAGTCCGCTCAAGGAATCGAGAAGGTGTCCATGTCGGCCTCGTGGGCCTCGTGAGCCTCGTTTGCATTAACCTCTTTATGAAACTCTGCGAGGATTTCAAACACTAGAAGCAGATCATAATGGACGTGCAGCGTCCTGGGTGGATGAATAGGGGCACCTTGTGTCGCAGATATGCCCATGACCGGTGGCTGGCCATTAAAATCTTCCACTGATGTATTAATGAGTGCAGACTTTCCTCAAAATGCGATCTGGCGATGTTTTGTCAACCTCAAACGATGGATCTCCGCCAAGCAAACTACCTCCACAGTGGAGGCTATTATTGGTACCGTATGGGAAGACTCACAGAAGGATCTGAGCTCGTTGAGGTTTGTAATCAAAGCTCTTCACCTCAAGGATTAGATCGGACAACGTTCGTTTGCCATCCAGGTCGCACCTGGGGCAAATCCAGGACACTATACTAATTAGAATATCTTTTGCAAACATGATGATCGTTATTGAAGTACAATTATGTTATTATCCTATAATAATCAGCTGTGACCAGGTCTGGGAAACACCGGCATTGTGTCCACATTATTAACGTCAAATCCGGAAAATGTCCCTTGATTCCCGTGCTGCCAGCCTTGTCCTGTTTCTTGGTTCACAAAAGCACTCTGGCGGAAGGGATTGGTACTACCTGTCACATTTGTCGTCACCGAACCTGTAGCAGTTGCCGGTCGATTTTTGGCAAATGGATTAGTTCCAGTCCTTTGCGGCTGCAGAGGAGGAGGTGTGGACTGAAATGGGGAATTTGATGGGAAGGTTTGCTGTGGAGAAAGTTGACTAGGCGAAAAGGGGGTAGGGTCGAAGCCTGAGGCTGAATGAGGTGGTCCATTGTTCACCACAGCTCCAGTGTTGTGCTTCGCGAATGGGTTAGTAGACTGTCGCGTAGGACCTGCACTGACTGGAGAGAATTGTGATGCTCCTGTTGGCATCATGGACTGGCGGAAGGGATTGGTGGATGTGGGATGTGATTGTATCGCCGTTGGCTGTGCTGGTGCCAACGCTTGCGAGTGGAAGTCGGCCACACCATTCTGGGGAATGGGGGAGAGTGTCGTGGGGAATTGAAACCCTTGCGACTGTGGTGGTGGTGGTTGTTGTGGAGGAGGTTGGGGTCCGTATCCACCAAAACCAGCACCAGTGAAGTCTGTTTGCAAAGGCTGTGGCTGTGGCACACTTTGGTTTTGGAACGTGGGGGGTTGTTGCTGAAGGAAGGGATTGTACCCAGTCTGCTGGGGCATCTGCATCTGTTGATATGGTTGAGCCGGTGGCATTCCAGGTTTAAATGGCTGTTGTGAGTTGGTATTAAATTGGACCATGGGCTGCTGGTTCTGTTCAATGGATTCGAAGAAGTCAATAAGATCAGGAGCAGGTCCTTTGGGAGGAGACTGCGCCGGTGCCGGCTTCGCTGTTGTCGATGTTGTCGCGGCTGCCTTGGGCTTGTCAAAGGGAGTCGATGCCGGTGCTGAAGACACGGGCTTGCCAGCTTTCTTGGCCTCTTGTTGAGCGAGATATTGACGTCGGTTGAGCTCGAAATCTGGGTCGTTGAGGTATTCCTCCAAAGCAGCGGTCAAAGTTGTCGGCGCATGTTTCAACTTCGGAACCTCCAGGCGAGTTGACATTTCATACTGCCGGGCGAAACTCAAATATCGCACCACCATTTCGGTCTGCCGACCGAAAGTCTTGTAGATTTGCAATGCGCGTTCCGCGTCTGGACGAGACATTTCAAAGTAATGTTCTTTGTCACATTAGCGGCATGAATTCCCGCCTTAAGATGTTACTTACCCAGGACATTGATAGTGCCCTCATTCATCACTTTGAACAGCTCGAGCAAATCCATGGTCAAGAGACGGAAAGCGGTCAATGTGATCTCATTGTCAGGGTCATGATTTCCCAGTAGCTGTCAGAGTCAGGGTGTTGGTTCAGTCAGGAAGCAGTCGGGTTCAAAGACTCACGTCACATCGTACCAGCGCCTGTATCTGATCCTGTACTATTTCGGTCTGCCTCAGTAAGCCCTTGTCGACAGTAAGTCTCCGCATGTGGCCCGCCCCTGACTTCACAAAGTCTGTTTTGGTGTCGCGATAGGCTCGCACACGTTCCAGCAGGTACTCCGAATATCTTCGAATGTTAAGACCTTGAGTTTGAACTGTTGGCCGTCAGATATCGGAGCAGTTCTGTCATCTCCCCGTTTACCGCTTGTCCGTACCTTCAGTAAAGCTGCTTATAGCCAACCTCTTGGGCGATTCAGCAATGTATCTCAGCGTGACTTCAGGCTGGCCCTCCCTGATCATAAGATGGACCACAATCAACGACTTGAACACAATGGTCCATGTGGAATCCCTTAATCGAAGCTGCAGAGTTCGGAAGACCTCGGCGACCCCTGATTCTCCCCCATTCGTGGCAGACAGGATGGGTTCGACATATTTGGACTTGGGCGCTGCCAACTAGCGGACATTAGCATTGGCCATGAATCTGGCTTCCACCAACCTCACTTTTATCTTTGTAGCACCTTTCACTATTTTCTCCATGACTGCTCTTGGGACCAAATGTTGCCCGAACCTTTTCGAAGAGGGTAAAATAATACGATAGAAGGTGACGGATGATGTGGTTCCGAGACGTCCGCGCCTCAGGCAGGTGAGGATAGGTGGTCGGTGACGGAGACCAAAGACGAGGTTGGAAGATGAGTTTGTACTAGGTAGCCATGGCCTTTACGAGGGCATGTTGGACGAAGTCACAATGGAGTCACAGCCACAACTGCGCAGCTGGCAACGCGCAGGGTAAGATTGGGTTGGTGGTCAATCAGCCCGGTCTGAGGATGCGCAAGGCAACAGAGTCTTGGAGGCTGCGTGGGTAACAACGGGGACGCCCACGTTGTTGGGAGTCAGTAGTTACAGGGTGAAGCTTTCAGTGGATCAAGAAATCATGCGCCCAGCGCCTTCACGTTTGAGACCAGAAGAATAGACGAATGTGGATGGTGCTGTTCGCAGTAGTGTCCCAAGCCTCTGCCACGAAAGTTGAAGGTATTCAGTTGGAATGTAGGGCTCCGTTCGATACTGCAAATGGACAGCGTCAACTTGTCGGGGTCGACCACTGGGAGCTCATCTGCTGCTGTGGGCCTACGTGACCCCCAAACTTGATTCTTGGCAAATACGTAAAGGACGCGGCTACCAAAAGATTGCAACAGACAACTTAGACTTCTCCTAATCGCCAGGGAACGCCATATTTATCTTCAAGATAAGATCCTAGTCCCGGAGCTGCGGCATTCCTGCTACCAGATTGAGATCCCCCTGACCGGTCCAAATCCTGTCCCAGGACCCCCGGAGCTGTTTGGATCTCACTGAAGAAGGGGGTTGTCAGAATAGATTCTTTTTTCGATGTCTTTCCCTATTGACATTGATCCTGGCAGCAACCTACCGGCTCTGATAGCCGTTCTCCTCCCCGACATCTTGGAAGAGGGTGGTTAAGCAAAGCAGAAGATGCATGCTGTCAAGTCAGCCCTTCATATTCTTGACTGCGATGCCGAAAAGACTCCAAGGCTGAACGCCAGAAGATCCAGAAAATGAGGTCTTAATCCTTGTCGTGTATCGCATAAGTCCGTGGCCAACGTCAGAACATTTCATTAAAATCGCATCTTGTGTTGAGAAACTACACATGAAGGACAGACCAGAATACTACGAGGCTATTTGGGCCGCAAGAATTCAAGTGATGAGTTATCAGAACCGGTTTGAACCGCAACATGCACGAGAGGCTTACAACGAGTGACACCAGGGATCGCAGCCAGCAAAGAGGACTTCCACGAGATGAATCTCGACCCCACTATCTTTTAGAGAATTTCTACGCATTCTCCATGTCTAGATGCTGAAGATCTGATAAAGGGACAGCGACATCTATATGCCTGATGCCCATACTCAGACCCGGTCTCGAAGAACAACTATCTATTCTTTTTCATATCATCTAACTTCTTACCCTGACATGGCCGAAGTAAACGGTATCGTTGAGCACATCCCGGTACTCATTACTGGCTCCTCTATGGTCGGCATGAGTCTTTCTGCCCTGCGTACCAAAGCGTGGTGTTCGAGGGTGTATCACGGGAGAAAAACATTCCAGCACCGCATATCATCCTAGAACAGCACTTTTCATCCTCGAACCATGCAAATATACCACCAACTTGATCTGTTTGACTCCATGGTCCAAGAATCTTGCCAAGCACTACGATCAGCATGCTAGTATTGTTGATGTCGAATCTCTGGCCGGAAAATTCAACGAGACATGGACGAAGAACATGAACGTCGAAATTGAAAGTCTCAGTTCCGTTGTCGGTCTATTCCTTACACAGCAGATATCTAAGCCCCTTCTCCATGAGAAGTCGACATCCGGCGGTGCAGATTCACGGTACACCAATGAAATGATCCCCTTTCCCATGGACTCAGGCAGTATCATTGCCCTCGTTCGCGGCACAGAGACGGCCCAGAAGGCTGTAATCCGTGCTCACCATATGGTTGCATGTGATAGAAACCGGTTGAGTATCAGAAAAAGCTCTCGGAATCATGATGAAAGGTCACGGTCTCTTGAAACACAGCTTCACCATTTACTTTAACATGGATGTCGGTGAGTATGTCAAAGGGAAATATGACGGCGTCATCTACGTCGACAATCCGATCATCCGCGGATTCTTTTGATTGGATAAGAATGGCTGCGAAGGCTTCAACCACCGCCGGGCGAACAAGGTACCAAGGAGAGCCGATATCCAGGAACGAGCCGCCGAGTTGCTCGGAGCGGCAGTCGGGACAGAGGCAAACTTCAAAATCGCCCTATGGTCGGGTGTTTGTGACGTTGCCGAGAAGTTCGCCGACAGCAGATGATGGGTACTTCAGGCAGGTGACTCGACCCATATGGTCACACCACAAGGCAGCTCTGGGAGGGTCATACCGGCGGGCAAGACTCACACAACCTTGCCTGGAAGCTTGCGCCGGTGTTCAGTGGCCAAGCCGATCCAGAACTTGTGACAAACATACGAGAAAGAGCGGTGGCCTGTCTGCAATAAGACTGTGGATCCGGTATGGTGCCTGCCAAACACCTCCCTCGGGTCCACGCACACGGGCTGAAAAAGAACACTTGACACTGCATTTGGTAAGAAATACAACGTCAGCACCTCCGATGCCCGTGCTGACATGATTTGTATGTATATACAGATAAGGACATGGATCTTGGGGCTTGGACTCTAGACTCTGATGGAGTTTGTATCTATTCGCGTTTAGTTCGGTTCCAACGAGAGCGGGAGTGGGAGAGAGTACGGTGGTGGGCGTTGACGTTATATGGGCAATCATCTAGCAGTTTGAGGATATTTATGTATTGACTACCTATCCTCAAGTTGCATTGGACAATATCAGTCATCAGGACACCCAAGCACGTGCCAGGCAGACTTGGGACATCATGCGTATTCAGGCGAGAGGGAATTTTATTTTCGGTGCAAGATTCGTCAATTCAAACGATTCATCATCGTGTCACTTCATTCTGGGGTTTTCAACACTGGGCTGCTGTAACGTCAAGCATACGTGGCTCCTCTCCTGCCAAATCCGGCTTTATCCCCTTGCTGAACCATTCTGTTACTGTAAAAGGCACTCGGAGCGACCGTGCAGAAGCCATTTGGAAAAATCCTTAATCAATGTTTCCGCCGAAAGCCTATCGATACATGTGGAAGTCCTGCAGTTCCGTGATCCTCTCGCCCCCGATAAACCGTTGAAAACAGAAGCACTTATACATAGTCCGGACGGGACATCCATGTCAATCCGAGAGGTTACTGAAGATAAAGAGAGGTCTCCGACCGCTTTTGGGGTCAGTCCATCATAAAATCACCACGAAGCATTCTTTCACCGAGGGGATCTGGCTTTTTCATTCTGGTGCCGTGGTCAACGGGCTTGGGGATTTCCTTGGGTGGTTCGGGATTGGAAATGCTGGCAGAACGAGGACGAGCGGTTCCTTGAGCGAATGGGTTGCCTGAGGAGAATGATGGGGAACGTTTTGTTCGTTCACGGAGAGCCTCGGACCAATTGAAGCCTTCTCCTGTTGGACATTAGCATGTAAGACTGGGCAGACTGAACACAAGAGTATCACGCGAACGGGAAAGTGAGAACTGAGAGTTAGGACGGAAAGGACAGGCCTCGACTCTTACCTGCAGTCTTGGCCGTCCCCGACGCAGTTTGACGTGATGGAGTGGCGTTCTCAGAATTCTCATCTAGAGTAAAAAGGGAGGAGGGCCGCCTACCACCGCCAGAAGCACCTGGGCTCCCTCCCATTCGCACGTCTCGTAATGCTTGTGCCCCAAAACTGACCCGTCTGGCAAAAGAAGGTGAGGATGGAGAATTCTGTGATTGTCGAGTTGAATCATCCTCTTCAATGACAGCTGGCTCATCTCCAAAGCTGTTCTTGAAATCTGGAGAGCTCGCGGCGGAGGAAGTGGCGATACTTGCCCGTCGCTGGCGTTGGAACGCGGTGAAAGGGGAGGATTGGTGGGAGGGGTTTGTCGTCAAGCCAAGAGCGGTGATGGAGGTGCCTCTTCTCTGCTGTGGAACGCTGGGAGAAGCAGACATAGTGGCTGAGGGAGGAGAAGACGAGACAGCGGCAGCAGAGGTGTTCAATCGAGGGTTGAACAGATCAACAAAGGAGGATCGACGCCGGTGTGGAGGAGAAGGGGAAGGAGTATTGTTCTGGTCAGACATTTGGAAGAGCTTTCTGACTGTTGGCAGGTAGTGTGCTGATGATTCGAGGGGAAGAGAAGTTCAACGAAGGAGCCAGTAAGATTTTGTAGGAAGGATGTTTTAACGGTGAATTCGAGACAGTTCGAGGTAATGGACGGGAGGACAAAGGAGTTGAAGGTCACGTCATGGTGGTACGAGCGTTGAGGTCGATACGGATGGTTGGCGGTGGAATGGATGGACAAGGGATGCTGGTTTAGACTGCTAGACGATCAAAGAGCAACAGTGGCCCACTTGGGTGTTTGGGATTCAGGGACAGGGAGGACGATGATTGTGATGAACACAAGTACGCAGGAGATGAGAGAGAAAAAGAGGGGAAAGGAAGTAGAAAACCAGCTGAGGATGGAAGAGTATGGGACAAGTACCTTTTACATACTGCCTACTAAAGTTGCAATACGTTAAAATAATGAGAGACGCAGACAGGCCCAGATGGCCATGCTGGGCTTCCATTGGCCGGCACAGAGGCCGTCATACCCAAAGTTTATGGATGGAGCCCACAATCCGCGCTCCGAAGTGTTAGGCCCGGTGACACTGAAAGACCACTGCATTTCAAGTCTCTTCGGCTGTTGTTGCTTGGGCGTGTCTTTCTCGGCTTTCCACGCTTTTAGGCTCGCTGCTAGGCTCGTGAATCGTGAATTAGACTTCTCGCACAGGCCGGGCCCGCCGACCCAGTACTGTTCGTAGTTAGGGCGTTGGCAACTAGCCTGAGGCATCGCTGCACTCCAGCTGGATCGCTGCTTGGCAGCGGATGGTACGAACCCAAAAAGTGCCCTACAAAGTGTGGGGTAATCGAGGGAAGAAGCGTCTTCAACGCTGTGCCTGCGCCCTGTTCCTGCGCTGACACTCGTACTTCTCCCCTCCGCCTTTGACTTTCTCCCTGTTCTCATCAACCCAGACCCGATTCACATTCTCGATTTCCATCTATGTACCGTCGGATGCGAAACTGGTCGAAACGGACGCATTGCAATTTTCTCCTCCACCCAAAGTTAAGGATATTTAGTGCCACGCTTTCCTCCAACGGCCACATATGACCTGACAGTATCAGGAAAGAGAGCTTTGCGAAACATGACCAATCACCATATGGCAAAGACTGTTGCTCTTCGAATTCCAGCTGACGGATCCGATGCCCAACTGGTCTCAGTCAACATCAAGCCTAGGCCGCACAATGATGGGGATGTAGACATTTTTGACAATGTCCCGGACCTCAGTCCATGGCTCGGGGATGCATTTGGACAGTGTCGTGCATCCGATTTCCATGTCCGGAACGTCGAAGACCCGACGCAGCCGTTTCCGGGCTTTATTAGAGATAATGAAACTACCCTTCATGGGCGATATGTCCTCTGCTACAGGATCCTCCCTTCTCTGCCAATTAACAAACGCTGTACGAATTATATTGATTTCGAACCCCTTCAAGACAGACTTTTCTGAGAGGAAATCTGTTCGTCGTCCGCTACGAAGATCTGCTAGGTGAGGGACATGAATATGTGGATACTCCGTTGGGTTAACACGGATTATCGCCGACGTTGTCAGAAGTGCATACCAGCGCCGTGCATTGGAGGACCTTGTGGACTATGACGATCAGCTCGACCGTGCCATGCAACAACGCCGTAAGAGACACTACAAGCCCAGCTGTTGACTTCTGCTGACGGTATTTCAGGTGCGGCACATCTTTGGGATGAAGCTGTTGAGACTGGGGCGTTAGCACGGTTTCAAACTGGGCAACCGCTGAGCGATGACGACATCCGAGTAATGGGCCCAATATTACGCAGTCTGGAGCTCATTGGCGACTCGCTGTACAGGCGACCAATCCAGCTCCTGCTTTGGCAGGGGGCCGTTTATTTTCGCTGTGGAATGTACTAAGCAAAGGAGAGAGTTGCAATTGTGCCTGGCATAGAGGAGGGCGGTTTCAGGAGTACCTCTACAACATTTCGAAGCTTCAGTTCATTTTCCCACATTCTGTCAACGTCGCGACGTCAATAGTATTGAACTATCCTACCTACATCGCCAGAATGTCTGGGTGGTCTATCGCGGAACATTAAAACTCTGAAGTTCAAGCCAACGAAGGGCTAGCAAGAATAGGCGGTGAGGACGTCGAGCACCAACGAGACGGCCGAGACGGGCCAGAAAAAGAGGGAGAGCAGGTGGAGGAGCAGGAGATGGGCGAGCGTAACAAGGTATAAAAACAGAGTGCGGCGTACCAGGAGACCAAAAAGAAAGCCGCTGGCCAGGGTGCACCGATTTGTAGCCAGCTATGCAATACATACAACAGCTACAGCTTCGCCTTCATCGTTCTTCGTGAGAGTCCCAGGGAACAACCTCCCCAGAGCAATCTTATTGGGACGCTGGAGGAATGGAAAGGTCGAATAGAGTGCGGGCAACGTGGGAGATACTTGTTCACGGCTCAAAAGCTTCTCCGAGGCATTGGCCTGACGAGCGGACCGCAGATATACAAAACCGTGCACGTCAAGGCCTATTTGCCATGAACGACAGGTCACTATTTGTTCAACATTAAGGGAGCATCCGAATACCGTGGTTCAGGAGGATAAGGCGCCTTCTCATTCCCATCACACTCAGCAAAGGATATACGATATAAATGGGGTGAGAGCGCTTCTCTGGTGTGGTAATTCTCCAGATTTAAATGCCACCGAACCATGCCGGTTCTGGATGAAGAGAAGTACCACTAAGAAGGGCGCCCCAAAGAACCGTACGGAAGCAACTAATACCTGGCAGAATGCTAGTATGAGGACCTCGATCAAGCTCGTATTCAGGCATGGATAGAGCGTATACCCAGGCATATTCGGGAGGTCATTAAGCTCGAAGGAGGTGATGAATATAAAGAGGGACGCTTTCACGTACGGAGAGCATACCTAATGTTGAGCAATGAGAAAGATTAAATGGCTCTCGATTGTTACTTTGATTGTTACATTGAGTGCTATGTCTGGCAAACTAGTATCTATATATGTTTGCTCATGGAGTCATAGATATTAGGCAGTAGTAGGCAAGCAGTTCGACACTTAGCTACGGAGTAGGTAGTTAGGATCTCTGGTGTGGCGTATTTAGAGCCTTGGCGTTGGCAAAGACTTTGAAAGGCAACCTGCGGAAAGTGCAAAAATTTATAGTTATAAGTGATCGGCTCGTAAAGCGTCCCAACAAATTCCAGGAAACTTGTTTCAACAAGTGGATTAAAATGCCTCTGTAGCTCAGTTGGTAGAGCGCGGCGTGAGTTGAATTTACCTGCGGAACATTTTGAAATATCAAAGTACTAATTTCCAATACAGACTAGTAGATTATACAGTGATGCCGAGGTCTTGAGTTCGACTCTCAACGGAGGCAGGTTTCTTTTTTTTTTTTTCGTTTTTCCCCTTTTTGGTGCGACTTTTGTTGAGTCAACTTATCTAATCGAACCGACAATGCCAAGGCAGCAGGTTGTCTAGGCGTCAATCTGGCAATGGCTGAAATCCATCTCTGCCCGGCAACGCTGTGCCGAAGGTACGATTTTGAGTTGTTCGAAACAGACGTCTCGGATGTGACTCTTGCACACGACTTCTTTCTTCCGAGTGCTCCACTGGACTCGAAGGGGATAAGAGTCACTGTGAAAGATGCAGAGGAATAGGCGGATAACCGTCTGATTTGGCGCGAGGACGGAGGCAGAGCTGATGGCCTTGGACATCGCCACCGTATGCTCGATCCCTCTAGTTGTAGTTATTCTCTGTTCTTAGTTGTTATGAATAGTATAAAGCGCTGGTGGTGGCAGAGATCCTTGATTGACGAGCATTCTTTCTTGATCCGCGATGAGCTTTTGGTCCGTATCATCAGCATGTTTACGTATTGCTGCTCCTCACGACGGACATCCTCTCAGCAAAGGCCCCAAAAAGGAGAAAGAGGTTGGAGATTGATCACAGTCTACCTCCCACTACCTGCTCGTTCAACATTTGAAAAGGTATAGCGGCTAGGGCCCTTTCGCGACAGCCGCCTTGACAGGAAGACATATCGCAAGTGATTCATGAAAAAGTAAGCGAAGGACTGACAACGTGAGGGCCGAGGCTATCGGCCACTCAATTGAGTCTGCGTAATATAAGAACGTCGTCATTCACATCCAAGCACGCGCCGGGCTACTCTTGCATGTACACAAGGTGGACAGAAGACCCTAGATATTAGGGTCCAGAGTCTTATCGAGAAGAGTTTTGGAACAGCGTTCCATATGTGCGTATGCTGTAGGTTGATTCGATTGCAGCTGGTACAATGAACTGAGATTGAAAGCCATCTTGATCGTTCCTGGTGTCACCCCCGATATTCCCACTGGCACAATAACGGTCTATGTAGGAACAATACAAAATTTTTCTACACTCTGATATAAGTCTGCCCCGGTTTGCTGTACCCGAAAAGCAAGTGATTCTGGCCCGCCGTGCGAGACAAGAGCCCCACCACTTCAGTTGGGAATTGCATCTGAGCTGCAGGTCATCGGGGGTATATGTGGGACGTCGATGGGAGGCTAAGTTTGATGGCGCCAGGACGATTAGCCGGTGATCGGCACCTTTCAGGCGAGCTCGAGCTTCAAACACGAATTTTGCAGGTGGCAGCTCCGGTAGGGTGCCAATCTCTTAATATTCGAATGTGCTCAAACTCACCACAGACGTGGTTGCTCTGTCTATCCTGTCTCTCCCGCCATGAAAAATTTTTGTTGCTTGCGTGGCTACCTACACCTTCCTCCAACATCCTGGCATTGAATCTCGCTTCGCTCAACCTCTCCTCCGTTCTTAAGTCGAATTACTTGCCTTGTTTAGAGAATATTCAGATTATCCGATGAAGTATACGACCTCCGGCACCGAGCGGCGCGACAGAATGAAGCTCTACAGATACATCCAAACTTACTCGATTGGGAAGAGCACGCTGGGATAACTCTGCGGTGCTAGTTCAATTTCCCACGAGAGCTTCAACATGCCGTGCCTGAAAGTCCTCGTCCAGCAGGAGATAATGGATCTCGTGGAGTTCGACGTGGAGAAGCGAAGAGGAGGCTATAATGGGGGCAGGGTTCATTTGTTTCCGAGCTGGCAAGATGACTGCGGTTGGAAGCTATACTTTGGTCGATCTTGATACCGCCGCAAGTTTGAGCCGTACTTCCTGCTGACCAACGCCACTCAGCAGAACAATACTGTCCAGTAGTTCTCTGTACGGTGTTGTTCGGCTCAAGATGAATATGATATCGAAGCTCGTTGGTAGGTACATCTCCTTCATGAGGAAGTCGAGTATGCGTCGTGAGCGTCGCCAGTTGATTTCTGTGCCGGACGGCCAATCCAAGAAGTATTGAAGACATGGTTGGACAGTATTGCCGTCACGTTGCTCAATGCCGCTTTAATCTTGATAACAAGTAACCCGCACCTGCGTCGATTCCGAGAAATACTCTTGAAAGCTCCTGTTGTATCGTCTCCCAGAACGTTCTTCGAGACAAAGCTTTTTAGGACCAACATTGCAGCAAAAGTTCATTTGGCATTCGATTCAATGCCATCTACGGAGGCCCAATAAGGGTCCGAAGATAGAACGAAGGTGTAGCTGACGAAGATAGGGAAGTAGTGGCTCTGGAGCTACCATCTTCAGCGGCAAGATGCTGTTCGTCTGCATTGAAATTCCGACATTGAAGAGCCAATTGTCGAACGAGTCGATTCCAAATGCGCTGACGAGTTCGGTCACCACCAGCAGCCTGACGAGGCTTGACTTTCAGCCCGTTCTCGGGAACATAAACGATATTTCCATATCTGTAGGGTATGAGCGCTTTCGACCATGTCTGCTCCCCCTGTCCTGAAACACGTGCACACGAAGTGGTCCAGAACGAGCAAATATCCGGAGAGATGAGAGAACTCGGGATGTGCTCGGAAGGACTGAAAGCGAAATGTCTCCTAAACAGACCTCCTCGACATACTGGGAGTCCAGCAGATATTTCCATCTTTACTCCAAACCAACCGCGTCCACTCGGGTAGTGTACAAGTGGGGCGACGCCCTCGAAAGTCCGATTCTTCCAACGTCACATCATTCTGTCATCACCTGAAGGCCAAGGTGGTCGTCGACCAGTCCAGTTGTCCCGTGCTGCGAGCGAGGCGGCTGCCGAGAATGCAAGCGCTGATCGAAATACTTTCCAACGGGAGCACATTGAACGCTTTCTACAAGAGTTGTATGAAAAACATGGTCATCTCACTGATATTAGCGAGGATGAAATCCGAACTTTGCTGGAACAGGTGGTGTATGATGGTCGCAAAGCAGTTGAATCGTATCAAGTACCAAAGCGTGACAATGATCCTGTCAGAGATGCAAACTCAGAAAATCCTGGAATCAACATAAAGGGCACTGCTGGTCAGGAGGAATGCCTACAGCGTACATCGATGACTGGAACTGGTCGACTAACGTGAACAATCGTCGAGGAAACAGGCTACCGTTGGGAGATCTTATGGGGTTTGAGACCGAGAGCGATGGCAACGAAGATATCCTGCATACTCCGGGCGGTGGCTCCAACGATTTGAACCAGGAAAATCAAGCTCCAAAGCCTTCAGGACTTTCCATATTCTCTGATGCCAATGGACCTTATCATCCATAACCGCAATTCTCGGGTCAGGACCATCATCGTGACCACTGTCATATGAGCACAATTTGCTCGACGACAATGGTACCAGACCACAAAAATAGAACGAATCAACACCGGAAGACCCGACAAAGAAAAGACCCAGCGCATCTCGATGACGACCAGTGGACCTGGGAGATATTCCCGCAGGACAGTCAATTCGAAAAGGAACTTCGAATGAGCAATGCATTCGTGGAGCAGTTCAATCGGCTGATGGGGTCGTTGTACAGGGAAACGAACACGGAAAGCATAGAAGAGATCAACGAGGAAAAAAGAGAGATCACCGGGCATCACAACACAAATCGGTCATCTTGGAGCTACATTCTTGAAGTCTTGGAGCAAGGAGGCTATCTGTGCATCTAGAGGACATTCCAACCGACGACAAGAGATGGCGCAACAAGAACATGCCGGCCTCGCCAAACTCATCCGGAGATACGTCAGAGACTTGATTCAACACTACAGCTGTGTTGGCAGCAAGATCTCTTTCGGAGATAAGCTCACAGTTCTCCGCCTTCGGTACGAATTGAATCGGTTTATCCGATCAACAGGAGAATTGCGAATCGATTTCGAAGAGTCCTGGCCAAACTTCTATGGCGATCAAGAAGATTTCGAGCCACGTCCAGACAGTCCCAGCATGTCTGTCTGATGATGAACGGGAAAGATTGGTCGGGGACAAGGCGCCTAGCCCTCGAGTCCTACCAAACTCGGGATGAACTGGAGTGTGAAGTCCTTCAGGAACGCCAGGTTGACCAACAACAGGAGAGCCAGGGGCAGGCCAAAGGGATTTAAGCGGGAAGCCGCGATCGAACAGGACAAATGGAGACTGATGTTGGAGCGGACACAGAAAAGGAATGAGAAGACGGCGGAGAGAAGCAAAAGAGGGCCGACAAGGGAATTCCCCGTGGACAAGGCATAGCTTACCGCCAATGCTGAGGCCGCGAGAGAGAAGGTTGATCAAGGCTCAGAAGAGGCATCAACGATGACTGCCAAAAGTTTGTGAGTTGGGGGATGAGTCCCCCAAAGCCAGTGAAATGGAGAGAGGTCAGTGACGGACATATGCTCTGATGACTGGTCTGGAAGCGGGTATTGAGCCTTGTCTGAGTATGGTTAGTTACGTATCGAACGAGTGAGGAAAAAAATACCCCTTTGCAAATGAATTTTGTCTGATCTTTGGCAGAGATGAATCTTCCTTCAGCCCTGTGTCCAGCATCCACCATCCTTGGGGCTAGGGTGGTTCCTCAGCTGTTCCAATTTCTGTTTGATTGGGACGAAAAAAAAGCCTTGCCTGTGATATAGGAGTCCAATCAGGTTTCAGTCATATCCATATGACGACGGATACGGATACGAAGTATTCTGACTGAAATTGCCCCTGCTTCGACTGGTGCATTTTTCAATCCAACAAACCAGGTTACCAGAGATCAACCCTCAACCTTCGGTTAACCCCCCCCCCCCCCCCTTTTTTTTCGAAATCGCGTCTGAGAGATGGCTTGTGGCTAGGCCATTGGGTACTCGGCAGACTAACCTTGTTTGGAGAATGCGCTGCGGGCCACAACCTGGGTCTCACACAACCCCCAAACTTCAAATCTCTCATTGTCGGTTTGAAGAGCATCTTTCACATTTTATTCCATGGAAACAGAGCAGCCAGTGTCCATCCACAACATTTGCCCACCTCAATCCCTCCAGGTCAAAACCGACCGCTTCTTTTCTGCGAAAAATTGCGTGAACCATCCCGCATTGACCAGGCCCAAGCCACACGCCCAGCGCCCCGGGAACCGTGGAGCCCTTGACGCCTTGCACATCAAACACGTTCAGCCTGAAACCAGTTGCTGATCCAATTCTTCTTACCAATCCGACTGGTTCGTCCCTCAGTTCACAGAGGAGCCGTCGCTTCGAATCAAATTTACTGGGGTGACCATGGAACATCGTCCAAAGCGACAACCATACTTTACTCGCTCTAGTAGTGAAATGGACCCCCCCTTATTTACCGATATCAAGGATCATGAATACGAACACGGAGAACGACAAGAAAGAAAAATGGGGGATCCTAGTCTTCACTGAGGACGGGCTTCAAGAGATGAGAAGAATAGGGTCCTTCATACGTCCTTTAAGGTCTTCCTTTCCCTTTCCATCTTGCTCCCATCCGCGTTGCTGTACCAATTGTTCTTGCATTGTGTCAACTCAGTCAAACAGACCAACAAAACCTCAACCCTTCTCACATCTCTACATTTTCTAACGAAGGTCACCATATATCCAACATGCGCTTCACCTACCTCCTCGGCGCCCTCGTGGCAACCACCGTCTCTGTCTCCGCTCAAGACCTCGACTCTCTTCTTGCCGAAGCCTCCTCACTCATCGGCACCAACACTGAATACCAATCCCTTCTTTCCAGTGCTGCCTCGGCCTTGGACAGCGCCACCAGCGCGCTCACCGGCTCTGATGCCGCACTCTACTCTTCGTACCTCTCTGCTTTGGAATCCGGTCTCGACTCGGCCACAAGCCTGGCAGGAAGTGTTGTCAGCGAAGCCAGCGCTGCCGCCACTAGTGTCCTAGGCACCGCCGAACCCAGTGCCGTTGCTACCACCAATTCCGATAACGGCGTCGACCGAGTCGTTCTGCCGGCCATGGGGGGGTTTGGCGCCGCCATTCTAGGTTTGGCTGCTATGCTGTAGAAACCAAACAGCCTTGAACGACGGCACAGGGCCTGTGGAGGAGGACACAAGATCGTTGTGGTGCCATCGTCAGCCTGGGTCATATCATTTCATCCGAGACAAGACATTTGCGAACAATAGCTGGAACTTTGAAGATCAAGATGCTAGCATGGGACAGATCCATTCTGGCGGAAGGTGTGGGTGAAATTCAGACTTCTCACGTCCCTTCTACTTGTTCAATACTGCTGCAGCAGAAAGACAACTCCTAGAATACGGTTTTCGAGGCTGGTGTGGATTTCAATTCTCGATGAGATAGATAAACCCGTATTCTCCAAGGACTAAGAAACGGAAACACCAAAAAAAAAAAAGAAAAGGCTCCCTCCCTTTTTCTCTTTCCGCGATTCTTAGTTTGAAACACCTCCTTTTGATTCTTTCTTGCCGCAGGCCTTGTTTGGAATTATCCTATGCCCGTTGTTCTACGTGATCTCCGACTCTCATCTTGCACAGCCGCATGGAGAAGGAAAACCATGCTCCTAACGAAAATATCGGTGAGTGATAACTCAAGTATGAAAACACTGATCGAATCCAAACTCTAGCTTCATTTCGTATATGAATGTACGTGAACCTGCTGAAAAGGCACCCGACCGAGCAGGTTTCCATTGACAATCGTTGAAGAGATATATAACCTAGTCAAGAATAGGGTATCTCCCTGCTCTATTCCGCGGTGTATCATGTTGATATGTAGTTGTCATGGTCGACGGTGCTCTTGGACTCCAGGGCAAAACAAACCAATGATTTGAGAGCTGATACTTGTATAGGCCTCGACCGGTTCTAAGCCTAAGACATATTCCTCGGAGCTAGCCTCTTGTGATAAAACAGAGTGCAATCAATCAAGCCATTCCAAGCTCGGACAGTGATGATGTCCTCAAGCGTCCAGGGTTGCCCGATCACTGTGTTAACACGGTCCAGCCGGACCAGCCACATTGAATTATTTGTTGAGGGGCCTCTCAGGAATGTGCGATAGTTGTATTCCTATTCATTTGACGGCAATGTCAAGAGGCCCAAAGAGTGGCCGACCCACAACCATAACCAATTCGTGACTGGAATGTGCCACATATTTTCCCAGCGAGAAAGATCAACGACGGACCACAAACAAAGAAAGGTGGACCAGCCTGCCAACCTTCATTTATGCGTGTTGCTGCTCGTGCTTCGTCAACCTCGTATCTTTCCTTTCTTTCAAGTCGCTCCTTTAGGTTGTTTGTTCTTCCTTTAAACATTCGTTTCCAAGAGAGGACCACAACTCGTCTTATCTTTCAGTATATCACTCTCGTTAATCATCCTCTTCAAAATTCGTTGACAGCGCCAATCATGCGTTCAACCCTGTTCGTGGTCTTCGGTGCCCTTGCTTGCGGGGCAATGGCGCAAACTGCTTCCTTCGATGGAATGACTTGGGACTTTGTCACTGTCGGACAAGTGTGGCCGATTCACTGGACCGCTGGTAATGGCACGCCTGTTTCGTTGTTTTTGGGAAACACGACAGCGAATTCATCAATTTTCAGTATGTTGACCAAGCAGGTCCTGGATGACGAGAATCGAATATTGACTCTTCCACAGCGAACCGTCCTGCAACCTCAGGAGAGTTCGACTGGACCGTCACCCTTCCTGATGGCTTCGTGCCCGGCAAATACGGTCTGGCTTTGCAGCAGAGTGGTGCCACGGACTATTCTTCATTATTCAGTGTCCTGTTGGCCTCCGTCAGCTCGACCACTATGATGACGACCTCATCGTCAACACCAACATCAAGGACCACACTGATGACCACACCGATGACCATACCAATGTCAAATGCAACACTCATCTCTGCTAGCGTGGCGGCCACTGTGACCGTCACGTATTGGGAGGATAAGTGTGGTTGTACCAAAACGACCACCGTTTGCGCCGCCACTGCCACCAACCTACCAGGCACCCAATACACCTGGTGGGACGAAACTTGTGGATGCACCAAGACTGCGATGGCTCCAGCTTCAACAGGGGCTCCTGGTTGCAGTGGAAGCGGATATGGTTGCTCCAATCACACTGCTCCAGCTGGGACAAACATGCCACCGCCTCCTCCGGCTTCCATGGCAATTCCAAGTTGGGAAACAAGATACACTGGCGAGGCAAACGGACGGGTAAACTTGGGGTTGACAATGGTAGGATTGATCGCTGCGGCAATGCTCGCATAATCGCTTGGATTGCTTGGGCTATTAAGTTCGGGTGTTTTCCAGAGGTCCATTTTGGAGCATTGCTAGTATCAGTCATTGTTGAGGAAGAGATCGGGGATGTATGGGATTGTGACTTGTATAATCCGTGGGGTTCAAGCAGATTGGCAAAGGGATGAATTTCTCAAATAGCTGTCTAGAATCGTTCATGAATCATTTCCAAGTCGTGGAGAGATGGTTTCCCTCGGTTCGGGTATCAGTATGGTTCGACAGAGACAATGTCAGCATCAGTCCGACCTTCATCTTTCACCTTTTATCTTGGCAAATGCGCCGACTTCCGCGCTGGAGATGGAAAAAGGACTTTTAGGACCATCAGGGGATCGTGGACTCAGAGCGACCGCAAAAAGGTCGTCTTCAATTGTCTCGCTCGAATTTTTGGTCACAAAATCTAGCGAGGTTGACGGAGAGTGTTCTTGTTGTTTTCTTATAGCCTCTGGCGGAGCTTGCGCGACCACCTTTTTAGTCGGAGCCGCCACAGGGCCATTCCGGAAAGCACTGAAGGACGAGTATGCCATATCGGAAGCCTCGGGTGAGAGAGGGTTCCCCTCTCGTGTTGGTGTGTTGAGGCCTCGAGCGGCCAGATCCTTTTCACTCGTGCCAATGCTCAGTCCTTTCAATTTCTCACTGAGTCTTCTCCCCCCAGGAGACTTGGGGCTGGAAATGCCTGGACTGGTAGGACCCGTCGGTGACTTGGAGAGATTACTCAAATCCAAAGTAGGGGGCTTGACAGCCAGTCCGAAATTGTTTTCAATCCACCGTCTTTCAGACACGGCCATTTCCAAGGCTACGCCTTCTATGTTGTGCTCTTCCTCGTGCTTGATTTCCTTTTCTAGAATTTGAAGTCTCTTTTTAGCCCAAATTGTGTGCAAAACACCTTTCTTGCCACTAGCTTTGGCGGTGGCACCTAGTTCGGGAGTAAAAATGGCCGGCAGAGGGTTGACCGTCATTCTTAACGGGGTCGGCTCCGGCTGCGAGGGTTCGCTGGGAGGATGATATGCAAGAGTGACATGCGGGGGCATGATTGCGCCGGGGGGCAGAAGGAAGTATACACGACGAATGTTGTCTGACGGATTGTCGTCTGCTGGGAAGACTGTCCGTTTGCCCGACCATGAGACCTGCCACTTCCCAGACTTCGGTCGGGACTGGTCATCATCCTGCCACTCCACCATCATGACTTTGGTTCCTTCGTTGCCTTTTCCGGGTTCAAACTCAAAGCGAGCCAGAGCCGTGACGGAGAGAAGGGTATCCAGATAGATAGGAGACTTTGGAGTGATAGGGGTTTCGACTTCGGCCATGATAGCAAATGGGAGTGTGGGAGGGGGACACAACACTGGATGACAAGATCAAAACAGAAAGGCCGGCTGAAGTACACGAGATGGACAATCAGATGTCGAGAGGAGGATTTTCGGGCAGTCGATGTGGGAGACGTGAGGAAGTACGGTGGTATTGTACTAAGTGGTAGTTGGAGGGTAGATTACAGCTACGGTGCGGCGACCCGGCTGCGACCGTTTGGCTCTTGTCCAAGACACCGTCCCATTGACCTGCTCGATACTCACGCCTATCTTCTTTTGACGCCAGCAGACCAGACCCGTCTCTATCCATTCCCCGATTGCTATCTTGGTGCCTCCGCCCGCCTCGCTTCCATTCGCACTGTGCCAACAATGGTGACTACAGCAGAGGGGAAAGAGAAAGCATCAATAGTATCCAAGGCCCCACCCTGGACAAGGTCAACACCACCAAAAACAGCAATAGCAACCTCGTCAGCTGCATGGGCGCCAATTAGACACCTCCGACGCAGCCTCTTCTTCCATGCATCTAAACCCTCCAGCGGCTTGGAAACCAATCGCCAATCCGCTCACAGAAACAACACCCGGCATACGACCTCCCCTAGGGCCAAAATTATCTGGCCAAAGCAACATTGCCGCCGTTGTGGTTGACCTTCTCGATATAACTGGTACTTCCCGTGACGATGTACTTGAGCCACAATATATGGAAACAGACGAGCTGCCATTCAGACAACTTCAATTATTTGCGGATTAGTGAACAATGAGAACTAAGCGTTATCTGTCGGCCCCAGAACTTTGCAAAGACATGTCCAACCTTCATCAGTATCGTCCCTTGTTGGGGGGGGGGTTATATATGGCTGGTACCTATCCGTAAGTTTAGTTATACAATCGGAATGCTCTCATGAAGTCCTCTCACCCTGCCACCAGTATTTTTGGCGTTCTCCTTTTTCGTCCCAACCAAACTCTTCAAATTCCGTTGGCGTTTCTTCTTCGCCATGATCTCGATACGAATTCGGGACTTGTAGTATACCATCATCGTCGGCATCGTCCAAAGTCCAATCAAAACTGACTGGTTCTCTCTTCTCTCGGTAGCATCTGCCGCGCCCAGCTCGTATCCAAATCGAGTGTTGACTCGATGATTCTCCACAGCGTGATTGGAGGGACTGTCCGGCTCAGCAATTTCAAACAGTCCGTAATTCAGGCGTTGCCGACTCCCAATGCATCGATTCCTAGTCCCACCTCTTTGCCAACGACAGCTGCGAGCCCTCCAAACCCTTCCAGCTTGAGTCTTTCAATCAATAAAAGACTCTTCTCTCTCTTCTTTGCATTAATCTGGCTTTCCAAGTCGGCTACTTGACTTGCAAGCATCTTCCGACTGTCTTCCAGATTCAATGCAATGAATTCTTCTTCATATTTCTTGAGATTTCGCACTTGGGTTTGGAGTTCTGCGATTGATGCATCCAGTGCCGTTGTCGGAGCTTTGATGTCATTCGAAGCGGCAGTCTTCGTGGGAGATTCCGACGGCGCGGATCCGGGGGTCGTGAGGATGCCATTTGAACTGTGCCGCTGTAGAAACATACCATTTGGTGAGGAATGTCCCAGCATTGGTGGGAGCGTATGATTTGACGGTATGCGTCCCTTGCCCATAGTTGACGACGGAAGCGTGGCGAGCGCGGGCGAGCGGCTCACTCTCGAATGCCTTTCGTCGGTAGGGCTCACCATGAAATCGGGGCCATCGGGAAAAGTCTTCATGCTGGGCAATAACGTTGGAAGATTCCCGTTCATCCCGCCAAAGGATCCGTCCACTACGAAATCAGAGCCTTCTCTGGATAACGCTAACCTGCTGGTCCCCGAGAAGTCAGGTTCTGGTGTGGGCAACTCAATTTTCCTCAAGGGCGTGGCAGGACCCGCATCCACTGAGGAAGATAATGCTCGTTTCTTGCCCGTTATATGGGCCAGGCCGGGCAAAGATGTTGCATTTCCAACGCCGTGGGGGTTGCTTTCTCGTCGTCCCCTTTTTTGATCGAAGACATTGTCTGCAAAACCCATCACCTTGCCTCGGGGGTCACAAGCTTTCACCCGCCTTTTACTAGCCGGCTTCTCACTTTTCACATATGCGGCGACGAAATGACAGCAACGACAGTTACAGATCTCATCGCATTTGGGACAAATCCACATTCCCTTATGTCGCAGCACGTCTGCCGGGTATTCGTCGAAATGGCGGAAGAGGCCTCGATAACAGAAAAAAGCGGTGCATTTGTCACACCTCCGGCCTTTCCATTCCTGGTGATCGATTCGGCAAAGATGACAAAGTCTGGTCGTCGACGACGTCTTAGCACGCATGAGGTCGTTAACTGCCGTCCCGAGAGGTTTGCAGCGATCAAGTGCACGAGGCTCTTCCGGCTGAAATCCCAAGATTTCTCGAGCGCGATTGAGCACCCTCGTGCATTGTTCCGCCGGAACCAGCTCCGCCCAGGCATATGATTGTGAATGCTCACAAGATCGACCATTGAGATAACACAGGAGACAAAGGTCAAAATCGGCACACTGAGTACACCGGACATGGCGATTCCAAATAGCGGTACTGCAAAAGTTACATGTGGCAATTGTTCCTGCTTGAATGGGCACCAGGCTGATTGGAGTGGCCGGTGGGGATTCGATGGACTCGTCGTGGACCATTTGGCGGAACAAACGCGACAGCAATGGAAGATCTGGAGGCAGTGGCAGGGACGAGTTCGTCACGCTTTGGTTGTCTTGTAAAAGTGATAACATAGCACATGCCAAAGACAAGTTGGTCCGAGCGACATCAGGATGGCAAAGGCGATTGAAAGGCGCCTGGACGTATTGAAAGCCGACCTCGAGGGATAAAGGGTGAAGAATGTTCCAGACGAGCTTCGCCGAAAGGGTGGACGGATTCCAGACTTGATGAGCAGTGGCTGGAGGGAAGACGACCAGATCACCCACTCGCTGATCGTAGGCATAGAGAGGAAAATCGGCCTTGAGCAGCTCCTCAGATCCAAGATTCAGCCAGTCCAGATGGGGTGAAACACCTCGAGCGGACATGAAGGAATCATACTTCTTTTGAGAGTCGAAATCTGTCCCAATGCATACCACCGGCCGATCGTCAGATTCGACGAGCAGGTTCAAGGCCACCGTGCTCGAGAAGCACCGATGAAAACCGGAGCTGCTTCCTTCACTACCGACGTAGGCCATCATGACCTCGCTCCTCGCACATTGTGGCAGCCACTGAAAGAGATCCAATCGACCACCCCATTGGACCTCGGTGGGGAGGATTTTGCGACATTGTTCCAGCCATTCTTGAGGGCAATGGAGATCTCTTGCATATAGATTCTGAAATTCGGGGAAGGATTGTCTCGCGCTGTCGGCAAACTTCTTGAGGGTGAAAGACAAATCTCGCCCCGTGCTGCAATTTCGAATGGGTATATTTTTCTTTGTGCTCAGCTCGATCAATCGTTCGATCCCGAAGCCAGGCTGATGCCCGTTTTGAGGGTCGGCGTTGGGCCATGTGTCAAGCTTGTCGAAATCAGCAATGACAAACGGCTGACCCAATTGCAAACGTTTGGTTAACCATTCGGAAAAGGGGAGAGGGTTGCCATCGTGGTCTTTTTGATCCTGGAGGTTGATGATGCTGAATCTCGGAAACTCGACAAAGGGTTTTCCGAGGCGCAGGAGCTGCTCTGCGGAACTGTCAGGTGGGACAGTTAGAGAGGGAGTCTGAGGGATCATCGTGAAGTTGTGGCTAGACCAGCAGACATTGCGATGGACAGGAGAGGGTATTCGATCAGCGACAGGACAGAGGTAGGAGGTGGGAAGCGGGCACAAAGTACGGGAGTAGTCGCGGTGGTCGTGGTGGGCAAGTCGTAAACCCAGGGGAGTGGAGGCTGCAAAGGAAGAGAACCCCCCGGACTAGAGTCTATTGTACTGCATAGAGGAGGGTGGGGGGGCCGGCGAAAGCACTCCGTATCGAAATTTTTCACACCAAGATCAGATCGCGGAGAGCAGCAGAGAGACAGAATCGGAATCTGGAGGGGCGAGTGAAAAGTGTGGAGAGCGTGAGGCTAGGGAACAACACGCTCTTATTAGCGGGTCTTTAACGATAGCCGCTATGATACAAGTTACCAACAATTGGGGCATTTCTATGGAAGACGCTTAGGCATCCCCACTGACTAGCAGCGCGGACTCACGGCTGTCCTCCGGAGTACCTTCTCGAAAGTCGGTTCACAAAGAGGTACTTGGATAATCCCTTCTGCTGTGCCAACCAATTCGAATTATCCCGTGGGATGTATCTCTCCTCTTTCAGCATCCTCCGCCAGTGACACCCCCTTAGTCAAGAGCGACGCACGGCTCATCCTCTCTTGACGGGGTGGTATTATGTCAATGACCAATCAGTCACCGTTCCCTTCATGCATGTTGTGCCATCGTTGCTCATCACTCTCACTTCTGCTTCCTTTTGGCCCACCGCGGCGTCATCCATCATCACTCGATATGCCTCTCTCGCATACACCGGGCTTGTCGCTCGATATTCGATCTTCTCCGGATACACGATATCATCCTGTGCCGACCCCACTCCCTGGCTGACAGTTTCATCTCGCCAGAGATCCAACATGGCAATCAAATTCATAGGGCCGTGGACAACCACATTCCTGTGACCTTCCACCCCTGTTGCCCAGGGCCTGTCGTAGTGAATTCGATGAGCGTTGAATGTCAACGCCGAAAAGCGGAATAAAGTGGCCTCATCGCGGTTGTATTCTCGCACCATCTTGCCTTTAGCAGCCTCATCAAGTTCAGCCTGTGACAGTTCGGCAGGCTTGGGGACCAAGGGGGTTGGCTTTGAGGGATCGAGTGCGGCTCTGAACACCCAGTTCCTTCGATCCAGTACACATAACTCGTCTCTGCTGTTCAAAAATTCCTTCTCCACCCCCACTAATAGCATATCTTCTCCTGTCTTTTGGATGACTTTCGGCTCGCAACTCAAGACTCTGGTTACTTCGGTGACGATATCACCCACTCGCAACAGCGATCGCGCGCTTGAATCAGGGTCAGCCCCCGGCCAGTGACATGATCCTCCTGCCCACATTCGCCGTGTGAACGGAACGTCCGGGTTAAATGAAGCATCGGTCCCATCCAGCCCCAAAATTCCTGGGAGTTGGGCGGGCGTAAAGTAAATGAGATGATATGCTGGCGGGATAGGGGTTCCGAGAGGAGGCTCCGTCTGCTCAAGTGTCTTGGATAGTCGTCCTGAGCTCGGCCATAGGTGTGGTCTGTTCAAAGTCAAAGAGAAAAGTCGCAGTTGATTGGCGTCCAAGAGCTGTTTGCGAACAAAGGTCTGGCCCTTGGAGAACTTGCGGAGAAACGTCTCAGCTATTGCCCTTGGATCAACCGACGACGAATTTCGAGTCGACAAAGAGAAGTTGCGATGTCTGGAAAATCGAAGTCTTGCAGAGCTCGCCGATGAGATGCGACAACAACCGGGACGGATGAAGGTGCCCATGGTTCTCGAATTCACACCGAAGGGAAGCTTTGCTCATCAGAACGAATTGCCTTGTTTCTTTGGGTAAATGTTTTTCTGCCGATCGAATTGGTTTCACCCAAGGGTCGAGAGACACATATCTTACGGTACAGCTCTCGACACCAAAGAAAAGTTGAATATGCTTGAGGGACGAAGGTAGTGTAAGAAGGATGAAATGAGACGGAGTCCTGAACTTCCCCCGCATAGAAGGCGTCTCCGAGATCGGGTTTGACTTTGCGGTCATACTCCTCATTTCGAGATAAAACCCTCGGCTTGCCCGTCGCATTCCGAGACGTCTTTTACAGATCGGACCCCATTGGCCGGCAGCACTGAGTCTCATGACGGGTCGCCAAATGCGGGTGCTTGAAAATAAGTCTTTGTTAATATATATCTCAGAATCGCAGACAATGACCTATCCGTCCATTTACTCCCGTGGGATGCGGCGTATGTCTAAATCGTCAAAAGGGTGACTTCATCGGATCATCTCCATTTGCTTCCTTTATCTCTTTTCCACGAGCAAGAAATGCATCGCCCCATACGCGATGATAATGAATGCCCCGGCGAACACCGCCAACCCAATCACGTCACTCCACAGGGCCAAGTTGTCGAACCCGAAAGCGCTGAGAATGCTGGCTCCAGGAACTTCGATGTCGAGTCCATATCGGTGGTCTTTCAGTCGAAGTTTGGCCACTTCGTTGACAATAAGGGCTTCATAACCATAGTGGAAGATTGATAACTATGCCACAGGTTAGAAAAAGACTTCGCTGGGCAAAACAGAGTTACTCACCATTTGCAGCCATTGTGCCGCCAATTGTACAGAGTCATGGTTGAGATTGAGTAAGAGACCAGCAAACAACAGGCTGAAAAGCATCACTAAGCTGCCAATCAGATTGGCCACGGCCCCGTCTTTAAATACAATTCCAATCGTCAGGCAGATGGCCGAAGCGGCCAGGTTGAATAACACCAAGATCAACATGAAAATAAAAAATGTCCCCCACTGTGGTAAAAGACCAGACATCGGATAGATAATAATGCCCATGATGATGGGTGGAATTAACCGCAGCGGGACGATATCGAAGATCACCTTGGCAGAGAAGTATGTGATCGGGGCATAATACCCATTGGCTCTTTCTCGGACAAAGATCAGCCGCTCAGAGCTGAACACATTCAAGCTCGTCAAGGTGCTGAACCCAAAGAGGGCTAGCAAAAAGAAGAAGAGACCGAGTCTGTTCTGGAAACCGCCGATATCATCTGTGACCCCATAAAAGAGCCAACCAGACAATACCGCTAGGAGGATGGCAACGGCATAGTGGGTAAGCATCAAGATGGGGTTTCGATAGAGATTTCGCCAGGTTCGCTTGGAAAGAATGAGGAATTGTCGTGGAAGACTGACGCGACGGAATCCTTTGATGGAGCCCGTCACAGGTTCGGGAGTGGTGTTTTCTGTGCTGTGACCATTGGCCGCGGAAGCAGCTTGGATAGAAGCGGCGATTTCGTCGTGGGTAGTCTGAGCTACGTCGGAATTCTTGAAGCTGGTCACCAGAATATCTAGATCCGTATTGACATCTGGAGGCAAATCATCGGGATCTTCCCGAACTGGCGGTGGGTTGGATCCGTCTCTCTTTGACATCTGCAACCAGCTTCGCATGCTCCCAGTTGCTCTTCCGACCACGGTGTCTTCATCATCGGTCTTGGGTGTTGGGGGAGTCGAGCTGCCCGTTTTCTTGCGTGTGAACAATTGACGGTCTTGTTTTTGCTTCAGAGAGATGCGACGCTTGGGTTTAACTCGAGCCGACGGATCGTGGGGGGTTTCCACGCTGGCATTCGACACGCTGGCAATGGATTTTACAGCACGGGTGCTGCTTGATTCGGTACCTAGTCCATCACGCTCCGACAAATCTCGGGGGGCGTCGTCAAATATGGGCGAGTGTGGCAGACTGGCGTGCATTGTAAGATCCACCAGGTAATCTGCGATATTGAAACCGGGGGGACAGGAGTATCCAACGTGGTCAAAATATGCTTGACAAGTCGAGAACGGCCCAGAGTACACTGTCTTGCCTTTGGCAAGCAGAATAAGTTGATCAAACAAGGCGACGATGTTTGAACGAGGTTGGTGAATAGTGAAGATGACAGTTCGATTGTATGTCTTCGCCAAAGTCACTAGACACTCCACCACGTTGAACGCATTAAACGCGTCGAGCCCACTTGTTGGTTCATCCAAGAAGAGGATGCTGGGGCTGGTCACCAGCTCGCAGGCAATACCAACTCGTCTTTTCTCACCGCCTGAGATGCCTCGACCGTTTCCTTCTTCCGAGCCAATCATGTGATCCTTGATGTGGTAGATGCCGAGCTGCTGCATCACCTCGATGACCCTCTGTTCTTTGACCGAATGGCCCATATCAGCAGGAAGTCTCAAGAGGGCGCTTGTGAGAATGGTCTCATGGACCGTCAGGGTTGGCAGGAGAGTGTCTTCTTGATCCACGTAACCAATGACGTTCCGATATTCGGCGTCCAATATTTTTTCGCCATTTACGTACATGTTACCCAAGACGGTTCCTCGTTTGTTTTTACGAGCGAGAATGTCCAAAAAAGTTGACTTGCCCGCTCCTGAGGCACCCATTATGGCGGTGATTTGCCCGGGATGAGCGATGCCTGATATGCCCGACAGAATCTCATTTCCTTTGAGATTGTAAGACACGTTCTCAAACTGTAGCGCCATCGGGGTATGGTTGATCATTGACTTTGCGGCATCATCCTCGGCGCCTTCGCCCAATCGGATAGCGCCCCATCTCTTGTAAGCAGCTCGTCGAGTCAGATACCATGATATGAGCGTCACAGCGACAACCAAAAGAGCGCAACCAGCAATCACCCCGGCAATCAGGGGCGTATTTATCTCCTTGATGGGTTGAACATACCCTGGCACATCGGTCTCGTATAGACACTCTCCCGCTCGGCACTGAAGAGAGATATATTCGTCTCCGAAGATCATCGAGATCAAATTGTTCATGGCCGGCTCTTCAAATCTGCTTCCGTCCTTGGAGCTTCCACCGTACGTGTGCTGCGAGTAGAAGGAAGCAGGTCCTTTGATCTCTTGTTCCAGGAATTCGTCAATGTTGACGGATCCATCCTCTCCGCATAGAAATCGATCCGGAATGCATGAACATTTTACGTGCTTGCATGAATACTTTGTCGTGTTGCGAACATTAGTGTCGTGCGCTTCCCATGAGCATTCATCCAGAGCACAGTAGAACGATTCCTTCTGATCGACCCAGAACTGGAAGTTGCAAGTGGCGTCGTCCGCCTTGCAGGAGAAAGTCACCTGGGGAATCCTCGGATCGATTTGATCCAAGATGGCCTTGTTCGTCACATTGCAAACCTGAAAATTTTCGTGTACGAGTACTCCTTTTTGATAGCATACGCCACCCTCCCCCAGGACCATCATAGCGTTGCAGGCTTGATCAGAGGTACAGACATTGCAGTTGATGCCTTCCCAACCCTCTTTGCATTCACACTGGTCTCCTTTTCTTGGTGATCTGTTTTTCCCATCCGCCAAAGACCCACACAACGGCAGGGCACAATCATCTCCTCCGAAGCCAGGAGGACATACGCATTTCCCGTTCGCACTGCTACAGTTCGCATACTGTAAGCATTTGAACTCATCGTAGTGGCAGTCGAAACACCGTGGACAGGGTGGGCAACCATTGGCGAGATCGTAAAATGGTTCTTGCATCAGCGCTGGCGACGTGTCATTAGGATAAGCTGCTGCCGCCAACAATGCCGGACCGGCCAGCAGGACGGCTGTCGTGAAGCCATGGAGGTGCATGGAGGATAGATTTCGTGATTCTGCACGTGCAGAGATGTCAGTTGCTGTGGCTGGTGCCTACTGCCGGGAGCTCAACCGCCAGCTTTTGGGGGAAGATGAGAGGTCGCAAAGGAAGAGGACGTGCTCGAGGATCGGCGTCGTCGAAATAAACTTGTATTGATGGGATACAAATATGCGGCGAAACGGTCCCGAAGCGAGGTGCGAGATATCACACCATTGACAGACGGGGTAAGAGTCGGCAACCTACACAACGAAGAAATTCGCAGACGGATGCGCAGGCGCAGGCGCAGGCGCAGGCGTGGGCGGGGGAGCGGCCGCGTCTCTCTCCCGGGCTGGATGAAGCTAGTGGCCACTTTCGAACGCTTTTCCTGCATCCTGATACGCTCTGATATGCTGCAGCCGGCAAATGGGCAGCTAGTAGCTCTATTCCATCTTTTAACGATTAGTGAGTGGTAGTGGATGGAATTACGAGGTACGAGCTCCAACCGCGGCCAGTCCCTCAATCGTCAGCCACAGGCACGCAACAGGTACCCGTCCGTCGATACGAGTTCATCAGTGGGGAGGAAACCTTCTGCCCTTCCTCAGGAAAAGAAGAGATTGTTTAAATGGCCCAACTCCAATCTGGCATGCCCGCAAGATCCCTGTTCGCCTATACTCTGTAATAAAAGACGCCAGACATCCCCCTAGAATGGTCAGCCCGATGCCGCAGGGATTGATCGAGGTAAATTTGTCCCCGAATCAAGGTGAAATGCTTGAAAGGCTGACAGGGTTAGCGGAATGAAAACTATCATAAATCCGCCAAACATGATCTGCTTGCATCTAGTGCCTCGATCATTTCAATCGCCGACCTACTCGACATCTCTGAGAACAGGACAGTTTCAGAAGAACAGTTGGCGCTGACAAAAATAATACTTGAGGAGAATGAGGACAACCAAGGTAATATTGAGCTCAGAACCAACTTGGCTGCTCTTTATTCCGCTCGTTCTGCGGGAGTTGCGCCGGAAGACATAGTCATCACCAATGGAGCCGCCGCAGCGAACTATACAGTTTTCGCCTCTTTGCTTGCGCCAGGAGACCATGTGATCGTCCAACATCCTGTCGACGAGCTGCTTTACAAAGTCCCTCGCCTGCTTGGTGCCGACGTGACGCTGTGGGAGGCAAATCCTTCAAAAAGGTGGCGGCTTGACACTGATGAGCTGAGGAATTTAATCAAAGAGAACACCAGTTTCATCGTAATCCACAGTCCGTGTGATCCTACGGGGGCGATTGTCCCTAAACCAACACTCGAAATCTTATTGAAGATAGCGGAAGAGAAGGGCATCGTGATAGTGGCTGATGAGACATACCGGCCACTGTTCCATTCGATATTACCATCCAGCGAAGATTTTCCGCCATCAACGATCAATTTGGGCCACCAAAAAGTCGTCGTAACTGGCGCCGTAGGCAAAGCTTACAGCCTGGTGGGGATCAAAGTTGGCTGGATTGCGTCTAAGGACAAAGAAATCATCGATGCCTGCAAGAGATCTAGGCGCTACACTTCAATGACCGGGTCGAAGCTCGATGAAGCAGTCGCCGCCGAAGCCTTGAGCGATCGATGCATTCACGCACTCTTAAGCAGGAACATTAGATTATGCCAAACAAACCTGGAACTCCTTCAAGCATTTATTGAAGAGCACGGCTGGGCTTGTTCATGGGTGAAGCCACTAGCGGGGACGACGGCCATGATCAAATTCCACAAGATGGGCAAGCCTGTTGATGACAATGCCTTTTGCTTGAAACTGTTCGAAAAAGCTGGTCTCCTTGTCTGCCCGGCCAGTAAGTGCTTTGGTGAAAGTTTGCAATATCGAGGGTATGTCAGGGTTGCTTTTGGAGGGTCAACGTCTCAAATGAAAGCTGCACTTGCGGCCTGGAGCGTCTTCATGGAAGAGAGCTATGAGTCTGTTCCGGCCATGTCAAATACCTGACGCAAGGGAGTCGTCTCTCATCGTGTCACATGCATGAATGTCCAAGCGAAATGTGGACAAAAGAATCATTTTATCCTTCCAAGTCTTTAGATCAGAGATGCCATAATCGCGTCCGTATGTGTAACAAGAAGGTTTGTGCCGAACGCAGATATCATTGCCTCAAATCCCATTCGAACCAGCACGCCACTTAAGCTCCGAAGAGAGAGCCTGCTGGTGTCGCGGGCAGAGACGTATCATAGGATACACGCTAGGCTTTCATCATCTAGTCGATCATTAGCACACATCTCCACAATACATAGAAAGAATAAGCACCCACATGTTCAAAAACTTGGAAGGATGAGGGAAAAAAAAAAAAGAAAGAAAGAGAATGTGGCTCCGCGGTGCAGAACTTCATCATGTGCGGAGATGCCCATCGGAGCTTTGCGAGCCGGAGGCCGTCATTTCTGTCGCATCGATTCGCGCCTCAGATGATTCAGTTGCAGATAAATTGAAGGATGCTTGATCAATTGCTACAACTGGGATGCTTCACGGTGACCCTTCTGCAGTCCACAGGAGATGATACTCCAAAGACCGATTACTCGCGCCTGGCATCTACGAGAAAGCTACATCGAGATATCTAGATACATCCGTGTGCAGCTTCAGCAACGACGAACGGCCTCCATTCATCCTTCGAGGAGATTAACTCTATGCCAACGATACTCGAGCACTACTACCGCGAGGGATGACGCGGGGGAGGATCTGAACGAAGGTCGTCCACCAAGATTTCCTGGAAGAGACGTAAAGACCACTCGAACACCAAATTTGTCAAAGGAACAGTACCAATCCTTGGCAAGATTTGAGCGCAGCAGTAAGGACTTCAAAATCCAGATTATCTAGACAATCGCTAATTGCGCGTGGGTCTCACCCCTTCTCTGGAGACGAGCTGGGAAAGCTTGCTAAAGACAGACCCGAATTCCCTCCCCTCTACCGATCACCCTGACGATCAAAACCACGTCCAGATATTTGGCTTCCTGACTTCGCAGAGGTCTATCAAAGGCTTCGACTTCCTCCAACTAGTGGATCCGCGCCTGGAACTCGCCGTACAGGTTGTTCTCGCGACTGCGACCCCAGCTGCGCCAAAGGATGGCCAAAGTGGCCAACAACAAAGGGATGATTCTGACTCCAAGCTGGAATCGACCAAATCTGAGAATAGAGATTCACTGGATACACGCTTAAATGTTGCAGAAAGTATAAAAGCTCACACTCCGGTACAAATTGTTGGCTCTATCGTCCAACGGCCAGCACCTTCTAAAAAGGGTGCTTGGTCTAAACCATCAGTCGGATCTCAGGATGGATCTCAACAGCGAGAGGAAAAGCACGAGGCAACCGTTCGGAAGCTGGATCCTTTTGTTGGAATGGTCGACCTAATTTCACATGTGGAAATACGGGCGCACTCCATCAAGGTTCTTAATTCGTTTCCTCCAGATACTATCGCGCAGTGCGATACAGCATTCCCCCCTGAATTGCGCCACCTGCAATTCAGGACCGACCATGACCTTCGCTACCGCATACGCCTCCGTGCAAAGGTTTCTGCGAAGATACGCGAACACATGCTGCGCATGGGTTTTGATGAAATCGAGACTCCGCTATTGTTCAAATCCACCCCAGAGGGTGCTCGAGAGTTTATAGTGCCAACAAGAAAGAAGGGAATGGCATATGCACTGCCCCAGAGCCCTCAGCAGTACAAGCAAGTTCTCATGGCGTCCGGTATATCAAGATACTTTCAACTGGCTAAATGCTTCCGGGACGAAGATTTGAGAGCCGATCGACAACCCGAATTCACACAGGTACCCTCCTGACGTCCATGGTATTCATTGGATAAGAGATACTAACCAGAGTGATAGTTCGATCTTGAGATGTCATTTGCGGGAGGGACCCAGGTCATGACCGCCATTGAAAACATCCTGGTTAATTCCATCTGGCCAAATGTACCAAACATCCCCCCCTTGTGCAACCCCGATTTAAAAGGACCCTCGGTGATTCCAAATCACAGCCCGGGATTGAACAGCTGGACTTTTCCTCAACTTACATACGAGACAGCTCTGAGTCGCTACGGATCAGACAAGCCTGATACACGACTTGGGTCAGAGATTCATCGAATCGATGACTGGCTGCCAGGCCATGTGAAGGGGATGCTGACTTCTCTGGATGATCCCATCGTGGAGATGGTCAAGATTGACATGCAGGGATGTGACCCTGTTGAGAGTGGGCGGTTTATCAAGTCTTTTCTCGACGCGCCGTCCTCACACGTATATGTCCGCAATGTGGATGGTATCCCCGGTGTCGCTGTTTATGACCCTAAGAAGCCTCTGACCGGCCTGGCGAGTTTCGGCTATGACGGGGCCGCTCGGGTTGAAGAGCATTTCCACCCTCGGCCTGGAGACATTTTCATTGTCCAGGCTCGTCCCAAAGCGCGGTTCGTCGGCGGATCCACGGTATTGGGTAATCTACGCCGCGATATTTATCAAGCCGCAATATCCCAAGAACTCATTCCTGCCCCTTCTGGCTTTTCGCCTCTTTGGGTCACCGATTTTCCTCTATTCTCTCCCGTGCAGGAATCTGAACCAGGACAAGGCGGTCTTGCTGGAATTTGTTCAACACATCACCCATTCACCGCACCCAAACAGGGTCAAGATCTGTCGATGCTGGTAACCAGCCCATTGGACGTCATTGGTGATCATTATGATCTGGTTATCAATGGCGTCGAAGTTGGTGGTGGCTCCCGTCGTATCCACACCGCCGACATGCAAGAGTTTGTCCTGCGAGAAGTTCTGAAGATGAAGCCGGAGCGCGTGGAAGATTTCCGCCATCTTCTCAACGCACTCAAGAGCGGCTGTCCGCCACATGCAGGATTTGCTCTGGGCTTTGATCGTTTGATGGCAATGTTGACAGATAGGACCAGTGTTCGAGACGTCATTGCCTTTCCAAAGTACACTGACGGTCAAGACAAGTTTGTCGGGTCGCCGTCGGCTTTGACTCAGGGCCAGCTAGCGACTTACCACCTCACGTTTACGGACGGTCCCGCTGACAATTCTTTTTCGCCATCTCCTGTGTAAAATGTGATGTGGAGAGCTACACAACCGGGGCCAATATCACTGCACCATCTCCAGGACATGTATAACAAATTTTTGTCCCGCTTATCCGGCTCTGCGCCTTTTGTATTATAGCTCCAGAATCAAGAGATCTCCAACTTCGGCGTCGGATCCAATGACATCTGTGCAAGCGTAAGACTAGCCGTCGCAAGCCAAGTCGCTCGAGGCTGAGATCCCCTGAATTGATTTTACGCATAATGGCCCCCGCCAAGGCTTCCCGCACGTGTTCCCCCGAGATTTGATGGGCATAACTCGGTAACTCCATAGTTACTCGTACAGTAGCCAGTAGGTAAATATCTGTGCCACTCTGGCCTCACTTCCTTTGGACAGTTCCCAACCATCGCGGCGCACTGCCTTTTTATTCAATTCTCGAGCGCTCAAGATGGATCAGATTCAACAAATTGTCATTGACCCTCTGAAACCATACCTGGTACCCATCACCACCCATTTGCCCGGTCCTATCAATGATCTCGCCATCAGCCTACTGGGTGAACCTTGCCATGGCGCCCTCCTCCTCGATCTCGATTTCTCCTCTCACCCCGAGTGCGTATCCCTCGCTATATCGAAGGCTCTAGGCATCGGCATCATCACGGCGGCCTCTATTGTCAAAGTTCCTCAGATCATCAAACTCGTTCAGTCAGGGTCGTCGGAAGGTCTTTCCTTTACGAGCTACCTTCTCGAGACGGCGAGTTTTGTGATCACTTTGGCCTACAATGTTCGCAATGGCTTCCCGTTTAGTACGTATGGCGAGACCAGTTTGATTGCGATACAAGATGTGGTTATCAGTGTCCTGATTCTCGCATATTCAAACAAGACTGCGCAGGCCGGAGCCTTCCTCGCCGCAGTCGGGAGTGCAGTGTACGCACTCATGGTCTCTGATACACTTGTGAGCAATAGCCAGATGACCAGCCTGCAAGCAGGTGCAGGTCTCCTGAGTCTTGCTAGCAAATTGCCTCAGATCTTCACAATATACCGCCAGGGTGGAACGGGCCAGTTGTCTGCGTTTGCGGTCTTCAATTACTTATTCGGCAGCCTGAGTCGGATTTACACCACGATGCAGGAGGTGGACGATAAGCTGATCTTGTATGGATTCGTGGCCGCGTTCATCCTGAATGCCGTTCTAGCGGCGCAGATGATATATTATTGGAACAGCCCGACGACTTCGGACCATGGAAAGGGAGTGTCCAACAAGCAGGGTTCGCAGGAGAGGGGAAAGCTGAACGTCAGCTCAGCAAGCACCACAGCAAGACCTAGCAGCAGCAGTGGAAGAAGGAGGGGCTGAGTGTGTACCATTGTCCTACGAAGCGCAAGACAGAATACCGTTTTAGAAAATTCGATTTGGGGAAATTAACCCATTTGCTAAACTCAGCACCATATGATCGCCAATCGTATGAGGAGTCTGGCATATCAGACACGTGCATCGCTTCACGTTTCGGGCCTGCGTCTGCAATAGAAAAGGCAGCAATGAATCTGAACAACCGAGGGGTTCTCTCGCGCCAGATTTCTAACACGACTGTCCATCCTCTCCAAACTTCTCAGCACACGGAGGTGCCGCTCATAGACTATATGAAATCTTCGGTTTCTTCGCCTCATTCCAGTCATCATCCTTGTTTGCCGTTCGCCGAACCTTCAGTGTCTTGCTAGTGAACAACGCCAGGATGATCCTCCGCAAGATATTACCCTCTCGAATAGTCCCATCACTTCGGTCGTGCCCCAAATCTATCAGATAAACCATCCCCGCATTGACGAGTAATACTATAATGATACTGGTTTCGAGTTGGTGGATATACCGAGGATCGCATGGAGCGCCATCGCTGATGGGAATTGGGAGAAGGGAAGAGACCTCATTCCTTCAGACCTGTTTCATACCTGACCGTACTGTCATTGGGCATCTCAACCAACACACCCTGTCCCCCCACAGGTGCGCACGACTAGAGGCCATGGTGAGGCACAGTGAACCCGTTTTTATTGTCCGATCCGATTCGGGGAGCACTAGGTCCCTCCAATTTGCCTGCTTGGTGGAGAGCAATGAAATGCGGAGTCCTCTACCCCGTCAACAAGAACATTATTACGGACGACCCACGGGACTTCAGCCAAGCAAGAATCAATCATCAACATCACTGGTGAGACTAGGAGGTGAAAAGCCACTGACTGACCATCAGAGAGTCGGGGATGAACAGCCTGATTGGGTCAGGTTGGCGACTTTGCGAAGAATGGGGTCTGCGGTCCGCGGCCCAATGTCTTCTGATCAGTGTGAACTCGTGATAAAATTGAAGACAAATTGGGCGGAGCAAAGTCCAAACGTCAGAAAGGAGCTCATCACAGACCATGGACAACCATCTCACTCGGAATGCAGGGGATCCTACAAAAACGACAAAAGCTAGACCACAACCTCCCAGGCAATACGCCTTTTTACAGGTGTGACTACCTAGGAATATGCCACCTAGGAAAGCAGTTCTCCCACAGCTCCTGAGCTTCTTTCTCACTAGCCAAATGGACGATCCATTTCAGACGGGGAAGGCAAGCCCAATTGGCTACTTGCTCCAGAGCTCCAGAGCGCCAGCGTCAACGGCCGACTCCAAATCTGCAGCCTACTAAGGCTTTAGTTTTATTAAACTTTCTCCTTCATCGACAGCTTCCGACAGAGGCCGCTATCACACTCCATATGACTAGTCACAGTTTGACTCTGCGTCCGATACATTACCTGTTCTGGACATGCCACCGCCATAGCCAGTGGGACAGGAACCTCCCTGATCCTTCTCGCTTGCCAGCTTAGGCGAAGCAGTTCTCGCCAATCCTGAGCCATGTGAGAGCTAGATTGGCGACCGCCCTGTCGATCGTGGACGGAGGAGACTGACAAGCCAGCTTTTGGTTAGGCAGTAGATTTTCAATAATGCCAACAAGCCCTAGGATCTCAGAATCGGTTGTGGGTTGATAGCCAAGTATCGATCGGCCATCAAATGCCACTAGCCACCGGTTGATGATTCAGGATCCAGGGGCTGCCTCATTGAACTATCAGAATTGCTCATTCTGTGTCCCTCGAGTACAACATTCGGTGAAGATGGGATTGCCTGGGTCAGTCTTGTATGTCTAAAAGCTCGGATCCATCCACAATGAAATGCGAGTCCAAACATGTGTCCGATTGTTGGAGAGTGATCTCCTTTTTCCTGCTCTGGCCCTTCGATATGACCTTTTCAGAACTTGCTTCTGTCTGCCTACGTTCATTAGGTGGGGAATAACTTTGCAGTTCCTGATATGCAACGTCCTTTCGTTGTGGGGATTATTTGCAAGCTCGCTCCATTCGATTCGAAGACTGGTCTTGACTTTTCTCACGTTTGCTCACCTCAACGACCTGACCAAAATGTTCAGATTATTCATGAAGCTCCCTCCAGGAGTATGTTTCATGCTCATCAACTTCTATCATAGCTAACCTTTCTTACAGATCGTCCATGGTCAAGTGGCTGATCGAAGCCCTAGCGTGACTCCTCAAGCCAAGATTCTTCAACTACCAACGGAGATCTTGGATGCAATCTTCGATAACCTCGACGTCCTGGATCGTTGCTGTTTCGCTCTATGTTGCAAATCACTGTTACGGTTGGCTCTCAGCAACGAGCATCTAGAATATTTGCTCATCACACCCCCGAAAATCGAGAGCCTTCAACATTTCTTCCAGGATCAATTAGGTCGTGGTTGGATACCAAATGACCTTCGCTATTGCCCTGATTGTGGAAAATTCACCTCAACCGCAGAGTTTCGATGGAGAATTATCAGTGAGAAATACAGCAGAGAATTATCCGGCAGAGTGTCCCACATTTGGCGAGCTCGAAGGGAAGATGGATGGCTGCGTTACTGGATCGAAAGATGGTGCCGGAGCGGGTTCGTTTCCGACAACATGGCAACCGTGTCCTTGATTCGAGAGGACCCCACGACACTCGTCTGTCCGAAATGTGCAATGCAGAACCCGGACTGTAACAAATGGAGGCAGCTGAAATCACAGCCTGCTCGTGAGCAAACGCTTCAAGTGCCACGCCGATAGGAGGTGGCTGATCGCCTATGTCTCGGGAAACTACTAGGCTATTAATCCATGACTTTCTCGCAGCGGAGTCAGCATCCTTAACATGCTTGAAAACGGCCCCTCTCTGGGACCGGACAGTCAGATTCTTCCCATGAAACCTTGTCTGTCTCTGTGGACTGAGTCAACTCTGTTATCGTCCTTGCCCGTCCAAGACGCATATACCCAAGTCCGGATCTTCTTTACCTTGACGAGAACAGACAGTGCCATCCTACGACAGAGAATGCTCACCAAGCGAAAACACTTGTCTCTCCGTCGTTCAACTTGTCAAATACCCCAGTGTGCTGTCTCGACTGGACTGGCACGTGATGATTGCCGATCAAATCAATTCATGAAGACGCCAAAGTCCAACTATCTATCTATTCTCTGCATTCCCTCCACACGAACGACTCATCTAGAACGGAGCATGATACGATAGAAGAAGTGGATGCACAGAACACATAAACGCCACCAACAAAGTCACACTTTGCCATGATGAGAGACGTGAAGGATTCTGGCAATATTGATCCATAGACGCCAAAGGAGGCTGCGGGAGATGTACCCGTGCTACGTGTTATATCTGTACCATGTCAATATTCTATTGCTGTTGTATCCTGGACTAGATGACCCCGATAGTATCCAGTTCCAAATGCAGCACGGCGGGTTGCTGTCTACGCCAGCGACGAGAAACACCAGAGTTGAAGAGATTTTATATATATAAATACAAAACTGCCTTTTCTTGTCAGACTACTCTCTACAATGGCCCCCCATACATTCAACTTCATGACACGACTGGGACTGGAAATAGCTCTAACACGTTCCTTAAAACCGAGGCAAATCAACTTACCTAATCCCCTGCAGCTAGGCCATCGCAGCATTGTCACTTCCATTTCTTTAGATCCTAGCGGCAGAAGATTCGCGGCTCGAGCTGGAGAAGGCCGAGGAAGGCGGCGACTTGGACTCGGTGCTTTTCTCTGTGATCGCTGGACCATTCGCGAACAAAGGGTACGGATAGCTCCCATTCAGAAGCGCCCGGTTGATCCATACCAGCACAAGGACAATGAGATCGGACCCGGCTCCTGCGACGACGGCAACCGGTTCGACGTCCCATTCGCCGGCGCCATAGTTGCTTGGACGAGGATATTAACAGGATTCCCCCTTTTCCCTCCCCCCAACAAGAGTTGTGACCAGAAGACTAAATCCCTGTCCTCCTTCCGCGTAGACCCGTGTTCCATTTGGATAAGCGACGTTCGATTGGTCTCTTATTGAGTATATGTCCAGAGGATTCTCGACCAAGTATCCCTCACGATGGTATATTATTAAACACCAGAAGCCTTCCTGCTGGAGCGGCGGCTTTCTGTAGAATATGGAAATGTATGACTTGTTTCACTCCAGAGAGAGCGTGATGCCCAAGGTCAGATGCACTACCTCCATCGGTGCGACAGGCAGGTATCCGGAATCGGAAACCCAGGGGCGTGCAACGAAGTCGGTGCTATAGTTGGCGAAATATGCTGTCCCGGAGGCGTACCAGAAGTGTCCCATGCTGCGTGAGGTGCCTGGTATGTAAGGATAGGATGTGACATTTTTTTGGAACCGCTTGAAAATCGTTGGTGAGATTTGCTGGCTGTTAATTCCGGGCACCATTTCCGCTTGAGACAAGGACGGATCCTCATAGGTAGCCTCTTCAGGGGCTGGACGAGATGATATGCAAGAACGTGCGACAGGCGCCGATTTAAGATAATCTTGTAGACCTTGCACGGTTACAACATCTCTGAGCTCGTCCTAAGCATAATACCGCAAAGTATGATGTCAAACGTCGTAGGGAATAAATAACCCCTTGATATGCACTGCTGACTGTCCAGATTGTTGCTGAGCCATCCCCATGAAGCCAGTTTCGGCACATAGGTCCCCCGAGAGCCACTAGAAAATGCGACCGGTATGTGACAGTTGTCACCAAAACTGAGATTTATGCATCAGTCTTCAGAAACCTAACTTGATATCTCAGGGGACATTCAACACTTATGCGTCATAGAATGAAACGGAGTAATATCATCCTTCGCTTCCGTTGGCATTGTTATTTGTATATTGGTCTCTGAAATATTATAGACAGTGAACGATACGATTTTGAGTCCATAATCGGCCGTCGGACAGCTTTTTGCTGAGGAGCGGATATGCTAATGGGCTTGCGGACCGAATTGGCACCGGGAATGCGGCCAGACAGATACGCATATTTTTTAGAAGCAAGCAGGAGAAACCCCCACTGAGGATATGTCAATAAGTCGTTTCCCGTCCGCCGCGATATCTGGGCAGACATATTGTTAGAGCGAAAGTAGTCGCGTGGTCCGCAGGGCAGGGTGCTTGTGCTTGAGTCAACCCTGCCAGAGGGAGAAGGAGTAGTGTTATCCAGAAAGTCGAACGTTTTGTCATTTTCAATTCCATCATTGAAGATAGTCTTCTTGTTGTGCAAAGTGTGGTGCAGTGACAGTTCTGGACGGTGAAAATGAGCAGGAAAGCCTGGTAATCCGAAGCCATTTGCGGTCGACAAATCAGAGAGTTATAACAGGCGGCTTCTTCTATCATTCTCGCTTCGAGGAACTGATTCTGAGGGAGATAGCTGATGAGATTGCTCTGCCGATAGTTTCTCGGTATCTATTCCGGTTCACATATTAGTTCTGTTGTTCTGTCGAAAAATGCAACTCACTGTCTCACTATTGACCGCATTCAGACCGAAGTCGCTGCTCAGAAAGGCATCTCGACCATGTTCAAGATGCGGCTCTAGTATCTGCCGGGGGCTTTTGCACAATATGCGGATTGGTCAGTCATGTACCTTTTGTAAGAGGGTAAGTAGTCCCAAACTAGGGCATCTATGTCGAGCCCCGTAGTCCATTTTTACAGCCTAGCTCGAGCCAGTGTGCTCTTTGTAGCTGAAGCGGGGGCCGGTAGTTGACCAAGCGAAGCGACATGCCAACTTTCAGAGAGGCATATCTCTGATAGCGACTTTGATCGATAGTTAGTCAATACGAAGTGTATAATGACGCGCAGGGGCTATATCTAGTCAGTTCAACAATCGTAGAGGAATCTGCATCCCCTATTTGGAAGAGAATCATGTCCATGGAAGGCTTCATCGAGGTTGAGGAACTTGGGTAGTACCTGGAAGCAAGTAAAATTTGCTTCGTGCCTTCCAAAAGGGATGTCGCCAACATGAACGACACGTATCAGAAATCGGCTCTCCGCAGTCGAGACACCGCTATCTGCGGCTTGACTTTCGCTGACAGCGCTTGTGAAGAAAGCGAAATACAGAGGCGGCTTCAAATTGTTCTCAGTACCTCGCAAAACTCAAAGCGTTATTTCCTGCCTAGCGTCGGCGCGGCAATCTTGCCTCCTATTGGCTCATGCTGGACAACATCTGGCCGAAATAGGAAAACCCAGTATAGTGTTAGTATCTTGAGGATTAATTCAAGCTTCTAGGAACACTTAGAGGATCATAGTCGAAGTTTGAAGTATATGGAGGAGTTTGTAGAGGAAGGTTGATAAGAAGTCGAGATGGAATATGTACAAGGCCCGTTCCGATAGCAGCAAAGTATAAAACCAAACCTTCATCAAGCAGTCTAGGTCCAGTGAAAACGCCACCGTTTCTGATGATAATGAGCAACTTGGAACCATTCGCACCATTTCTTTGGTTCCTGTAAACCTAAATTACTGAGAAGGAGACCTACGAATCGAATGAGATGGAGTAGATCATACTCATTATAATGCCGTTAGTCTCTCGTCGTCTTCCCCATGCCTTCTGATTTCTTGTGTCCATGTCTGACCAAATGCAGTTTTCTGCCAAGTTCAACGTGACCGTGCTCGGCTGTGCGTTCGTTCTGATCCGGGCCTCGAATCATCCCATTCGTCGGGCCGATGTTGATCTCCTAGGCCGGAAAACCGGGGGGCTCAGTCTTAGTGCTGTTAGCTGCACTGTATGTGCCACCAATCCCACAGCAGAAGCATTCGTTGCCGGTCATGTCGTCCTCTGTACTGGAGCCATCACTGAGGAACTTCTCGCTATCGCGGCCGCGGTAGAGATAGTTCCCACAACTTGGCGCAGCGTGCTCGCAGCTTTGATTCTCTGTGCTCTTCTCCCACGATCTCCAGGAACATTATACGCAAATTGGATGATGAAAAGCAGTCGGACATGGATATGCTGCACTCTTGCGGTCTGGCATGCTCTGACTCTTGTTATCATCGCTATATCTCCACCATCAGCTCGCTCCAGGAACTGCTTGCTCTAGAGAATGAGTCCGTCGAAGACGAGACGCTCACCGCTATTATGTTACTCAGTCTCTTTCAGTACTCGATTACGATCCTTGGATGGGTCTCTTCTTTCTCTTGATTCGTGATTCGCGGGATGTCTCTGGTGAAAGGAAACGTATTGTAAGCGCTTACATTTCAGGAATACTCCAGATTTGCAGATCGAAAAAGGGGTTTGGGTCTAGTATACAGTCGAGTAGTTTGTTTGACTGGGCCGTCACGTACTTAGTAAATCATCAATCCTGAAGACGATTCCTCCAAGCAATATGAGTGTGCCTCATGCCAAATATTCGACAATACTTACAGCACGCTCAAGCATTGACAGTTGGACAACTCGTACATGTCGACAGCATATCTCTACTTGTTCTGGATGCTCTGCATGTTACCGGGTCCGAAGAATGGTCAGCAAAATGCCAGATTAGTGACTTTTGCTGGGACTACCCCAAATTATTCAGTCTCAGGACGGAGAAGAGACCAGAAACTCCTTGATATTCTTAATGAGGATTCTGAAATTTCATGGAAAACTCCACGCGAACAACAATGAGCATCTCCAGCCAGGCGCTTGGAGTAGCCAACATCGTAAGACTTCGTTCTACTCAAGCCCAATCAAGCCTCCGACAGAAATCTTTGTTTGGGACAATACAAAAGCCGCCTCCGTTTGAGTGGACTACCAGTCTGCTCATATTGCTTCT